TTCTAGCAGCTTGTCATGCGGAACAACGTCAAAACATTTAGATAAATCGAGAAGTACTAGAATACTTATCTCGCCGTTGTCCATAGCGTGAAGCGCCAGATCAGTGATCACGTGCAGTGCGGTTTCAGTGGAACGGAATTTACGGTACCCGTGTTGACAATCGGAGAGCAGGCAATTGTCCTCAAGATAAGCAATGAGCTGCGCCTGTACAACGCGCTCGACAATTTTCATTATTGCTGGCAGAATCGAGATGGGTCGAGTATCGGACGGTTCGGTGGCAATTCCGGCTTTAGGAATGGGTGTGACTAGCGCATGCTTCCAGGCGTGCGGCACTGTACCGGTGACAAGGCTCGAGTTTACAACGTCAAGCAGAGCATGTCTCACACCCAAGAAAAACTTTTGCAGCATCATCACGCTAATGCCGTCAATTCCTGTTGAATTGGACGGTTTCATCACCGATTCGATGTTATCAACCACGGCTTCCGTTTTGTTCGAGATGTTTTGGGAGCTATTTGACTCTGGAGATGACCTTGTGCTGTTCGGGACCCGAATCCCAGCTGTATGTCGTCATTTTCTGTAGAATTAGTGCAATGTTCCAAAATTTGTTGTTTTGGGTGGGAAACGACATCCAAATGAATATCATTTCACACTCTCACCTCCAATTTTGAAGAGCAATTTTCCACTCCCAATATTACGAAGAAAAAGCATTAGCGTGGATAATCGTTGTACATCTCATATTTTATCACGCATGGATTAAAATTAATGCCATCGATCTTTTCCCATCTTTCTGGGCCTCACCTTGGCCAGCAATTTTCCACTCTTATCCCCATTTTTGGAAAGCAATTTCCCCTCTCACACCCAAGCCAAAATGCAATTTTGGGACACTGAATTAGTGTGGTTTGGCCAGGGGCGCTTTGGTATGCTCGATGTCTGTAACTAATTGATAATTATCACCCGTGAGCAGTTTCTGCGTGCTGACTGTAGATCCAATTTTATATCATATCCGCTCAGGGGGTTTGAGACTGGGTGGGCGGGAGTACGCTGACAGAGTGCTGAGTAGCTGGGTCGCCCGGTCCGCCCGTGGTGTCGCGCCCTACTCAATTCTGCTCAGAGCCGCTGCCTGGGAGTGGCGGCCAGCGACCCGCGCTGGTATGTAGGCTCCACCCCGCTGTGCTGGGAGAGTCATGACTCAACCAGCCGGCGCCGACTCGGGGACTCCGACTCCGAGTCGAATTTCTCCCCGGCTTTGATGGTTCCCGTCTGGGTGAAACGGACAAACAGTGAAATGTTTACACAACGCGGGCTAAAAGTTCGTGTCTCTGATGTATCTGATGGTATGGTTGTCATCCAATAATATCGCGATGGGACACAGTTCATAGCCCTCTGTCTCGTATCGGCATTGTAGCGAAACTGTTATCGGGATGCTCGATGCTCTGTAAATGAACACTGATAGTGTGCGATCGATGGGCTTGACTTATCGAAATCTTTTGACCGCTCGAGGATTCGCTGAACCTGATAGTCACCAGGCACGGCCAACCATCGGGCAGGGGGCCTATGTCCTCTCAACGCTTTCTGGCCATTCGCAAAGGATCTGTGCCCCATCTTAGGAAGCTCATGGCACGGATCGATCATCGGTCCGCGGACATGTGACCTCTCGACGCTCGCTGACCACTCGAGGAGTCGCTCTATCTGGGTATCACCTGGCACGAGACGGGCCATCAGTCATCAGCTGATGGGGTCCGACCGTGACGGCGGGTGGGGTGACGAGACCGTGACGGGACGGTGGTAACGAGACGTGACGGTAAAATGTCTCGTGACATGACGTCTACCAGCAATGGACGTTAGAACCGCGATGAATGCCGGTGGTTCCTGTGTGCTCTTTTCGCCGTATCCGTAGCTTGTTTTGTCTACTGTCCACTATTCGCCATCGTCGTTTGTTTTTAATCCCTTCCCACCTGCCCCTCGTTCACAGTGACCCGTCCACCGTCCTCCGGGTCAGAGCGTGACAACCAGGGCTGAAGCGTCACGTAACACAGCGGGGATGGGCGCCGGGCTCCATCGCGCTCGGAAATCCAATCGGAGGTGGAATCTGGGCTCTGACAATGATGGATTCCGTAGTGGGTAGGTATCTCATATGATAGCCATTAGCCATCTCTGGGTTCCGGCCCTTCGGGCTACGTGAATAACTCGCGTCCAGCCATCCATACCTCTCAGTGAACCATAACAAAATCGGTCTGTTGTATATCGAGCAGTTCGGTGGTCTGGGTGCTTATTATTGGTGCCAATCGGAATTTCTTTTCTTGGAATTCCAATTTTTGTCCAATTCCAATTTGGAATTTGGACGGAATTCTTAGCATTTTTTGGAAATTAATCGGAACACAAGGCCTTTAAAATTTAAAATTTTAAAACGGAGGCCTTTAAAACGCTTTTAAACACTTTTAAAAATTTACGCAAAAAATGCAAAAATCGTTAAAAATTGGAATAGCCCCCGCTTTGGACAAAATTGGAAATTTACTTGGCAATTTCTTGGAATTGGATCGGAATTGGAATTGAAATTTCATGAAATTGGCACCACTAGTGCTTATCAGAGCTCGATAGAAACAGCATAGCCGATTTTGCGTCGATTGTATATGACACAGATTATTTCCGTAACGTATACGACCATCTTCTCAAATCGAATTTCCAGTGGACGGTTACTCATGTGCATTGGTAATACGTTTACAATACCGGTCGGCGGTCCATTCGTCAAATTCAAGGCCACCCGTCATGAGATCACTGCCGTGTTTAAAAAGTTGGAACTGCGCACTGATGATCAATGTGGGTCCATGTTATCATGGACTCGGCGTCTCTTGTGTGTTGGCTGTTGAAGTTCGGAAGTTTGTCAATATGACTTATTTGAAGCTGTAAACATTGCAGTTGATAATTTGTGGTTCATAATTTGTACCGAAGGGCTAGTGCAATAGACATTTGCAGTAAATATCTGTTTAACTTTTAACGGACTGCAATGCAGATCGTCCAGCCACTTACGGGCTTATGAGTTCTGATGCACTGTGCTATAATGTAGGCACAAAACAGGCTTATCGCAGGCTTTGCCTCTGCTCTCCCTCGCCTCCCACTCCGCTCCCCATCCCCCACTAGCCATCTCTCCTGGGGGGCTGTTGGCTGGACCCCAGAGGCCGGACAGCTCCGCCTCCCCGCCCCCGCCTACCGACTACCGTCTGAATATGCTAATGTCGCCTGTTGGGGAGCGGCAGCTCCGGTCCGTGCTACCTGAAAACCTGGCCGTGGTGGCGGGCGGGACTGACGTCGGCGCTGCCAGACGGCGGCGGTGGTGACATTCGGAGAAAGGATGTGGGCGGCTTAGAGCTGGTGGAGGCTGGGGACTGGAGATTGCCGGTGGGCGGCGGTGACTTATGGAGTTTGCTAGTTTTTTTTCAGGGCGGGGTGGCCGATGTAGGCTGTCTTCAGGACGTGCTGAAGATTGTTGAACCTTTCTTTGTGCAAGCTTTAACTTATTCAGCATCCATGCTTACATTTCTTTGAAGCCATTCTTCGCGCCACTTCAGCACTGAAACTCCACTCCCTCTTCCATTCTCTCCCAACACCGACCTCACCAACAAAACACACTGTCCCACACTGTGACATCATACACAAACCGCACCTGGTGACGTCACACACCATATGACGTCACACAAACGGACTACACCTGTTGACATGCCTGTTGCGCCGGTGAGTCAGTCTCTCATTGGTGACTCAGCCGCTCCCCCCCCCCCCCTCCATCCCCCTCGGTCTGGCTGGCAGCAGCTGTGTGACCAGCTGGGCCGGGCCGAACCGCCGCTGCCGCCGGGTCGATAGATAAGCTGACCCGTGGCGGCAGCAGCGATGTGGCGGGGTAGGATCGGGTACAGGAATGATGCAGGAACCGTGACGTTTTCGTGACGGGTCGTTATGGGTTGGAAAGGGTCTTTACGGGTCGTTACGATTGATCTGACTGGTATTAGGGGAATAAGATGTCACGGATGGACGGCAGACCGGCTTTCTCGTGACAGCCAGATTACAGGGGATTCGGGAACTTTTTACTGTCTTCTGTCCCCAACACGGAATGCTGTGTCTACCATTTATTCCAAGATACTTTATGCACAGTATGGTATCTCATGCTATGTGAGCCGGATGTTGGATCGATTGGCCACGTTTCGAGGATGTCTTTGTGCTCTTGTTTTTAATGCACAGAGGCTGTCGACCTTTCTGACGTGTGTTTAGGACAGCGGACTGTGTACCAACTTCTGTCGCTGCCGACGATAGAGCATATCTGCCGCCTCTGTCGAAACTTTGGTGTGAAATTTGGAAACTGTCCGCCTCATAAGTGTGTTGTTTGTTTGTTCGTCAGACTATACGGTAGAAAAGTTGTCAAAGTTTTAACCGTCTCACCTGCCCACGTGGCGATATGTCCGTGTCGATATATCCCGGATTGTTTCCGGATCGTCGCAGGACTCATTTTCTTGCTTCATGTTTCTTACAATCCAATCGGGGCCCATTTGAATCATGTGTCCGTTGTGATGAAACGAGAATATCGAGCGTGAGCGTGCTGCTCTTTTGCAGAGACGTTGAAAACGATCATTGTTTCCGTCTAGTGGCCTGCTCTGCTACCCATACGCAACCAAATTAATCCGGGTATATCTCATCTGATGTTGAGTTATCCAGGAGCCACATGCACATGCATCTGCATTGATTTCACGGAGCACAGTCGCATTCAGCAAATCCACGGACGTGGTGTCGGTCTTGGTCGGTATCCTGACATCTGACCGAACTTTTATCATACTGTGACCCTGAGTTCGGCCTGAGTTGCTGCAGGTCGTTGACCTTGATCCCCGTAATTCAAAACAACCGATCGTTGTTCTTCGTCCTCAGCTCTAACCTTACCGTTCAAATCAACGCCACAGACGTTGATCTTGCCCTGCATGGTATAACCCCACCCTTGACCTCAATATTTTGTCACGCAGGTCGTCGATTCTGACGGAGGTGGTTTCGGCCGAATCAACTAAACTGCCCGCCGATAAGCAGGTCGTCGTGCTGGGAAACAACCAGACCGGCAAGACCACGCTGGTGGCCAAACTTCAGGGCAATGAGGACCCCAAGAAGGGCTCCGGCCTGGAGTACGCCCACATCCTTGTCAGAGACGAGTACAGAGACGGTGAGCGGGGGGAGAGGGCGGGGACTGGGGAGAGAGATGGTGAGCTGGTGGGGAGAGAGGGGCGGAGGAGAGAGAGAGAGAGAGAGAGCATTTATTCACACTGCAACAACATAAAATTCATAAATTACATAAGCAATTGGCGCAAAAGTGCTACGCACTTAACTCTTTGGCGCCGCTTGCAAAGAATGGTAACACAATGAATGAAACTAAATAAGACTCCTACCGCCCTATGCCGAGCCGCAACCCCGCAACCCCGGCAGTACGTGCGTTATATTGCGCGTCAAACACGCCGTCATGACTGGACTAGGTACGGATTGGACTTTGGATGTATTAGGTTAGAGGCGATGAGTTTGGATGAGGAAGCGCTGTAGTGCGGTGGCGGCCTCGCTGTCGATGCCCCGACGCAGCCCAGTGCCATAAATGAGTGTGTCGAGTTGCTGAGAAGGAGGGATATTAGAAAAGTTGGTATCGAGGATTAGGGATAAGGATTGGAATAGGTTCTCTCGTTGGGTGTTATAGAGTGGACAGATTAGCAGGAAATGTCTTGTGTCTTCTAGGGGGTGTCCGCATGGGCAGGAAGGGGAATCACTTTTTTGCAAGGAAAATAGATGGGCGTTAAGTTTTGAGACGTTGAGCCGTAGTTTTGTGTGGAGAAGGTTACCGGTTGGTGATCCCAGAAAAAAATACAGAGGCGGGCGGGGTGGTTCTAGAAGCGCTTTTAAATGTTTGTTAAAGGATGTGTGTCTGCGATCTGTGCGCATTTGATCGGGTAATGTGTTCCAAATTCGTGTGGTGCAAGGAATAAAGGATCTGTAGTAGGCCGAAGTACGTACCTTGGGAAGTGTTTGTGTAAATGCATTGCGTAGCGTTCTTTGTGTGTTGTGCTGTCTTGCAGTGGGAATGGTGGATTTGATGAATGGTGGTATTGTAGAATCAAACACAAGCTTGTGATAAAACTGAATTTTGTGCATCTTTCTTCTGTCGGTCAGTGAAGTCCAGCCTAACTCCCGTCGCAGTCCGTCAGTCGAAGTCCGTAATGTTGTCCCGGTTATGAGTCGTGCAGCTCTGTTTTGTGTTCGTTCCAGTCGTATGCAGTCAGAAGCAGTGATATGTTCGTCGTATATTATGTCACAGTAGTCAAACAAAGGTCGTATATAAGTTGTGTAGATAGAAACAAGCATGGCTTTGGGAACGTGTCTAGCAATCGAATATAATGGGCCTAAAGAACGATTAAATTTCAGGATAGTTTCGTTGATATGAACATGAAAGCGTAAGTCTGTAGATAGGGTGAGGCCGAGATGTTTATGGTCTTTTACGATAGGAATGGGTTGTGGTCCAAACGTTAGAGCTGGAGCATTTGTCTGTTTTAGGTGAGAAAAAGTTTGTTGTTTGGTTTTTGTCGCATTGAATGAAATCGCCCATTTTTGCCCGTAATCGTGAATGGCGTCAAGGTCGTGCTGCAGTGTTGTCTGTACGTCGCTTAAATTGTGTCTTTGTGAGTAAGTGGAGAGTAAGGAACAGTCATCTGCATAAAAAAGCATTTCGTTTTTTGTCTTGTCGCAAAGTCCGTTTAAGTAGATTATCGCAAGAAGAGGTCCTAGTACGGAACCCTGAGGGACTCCGGCATCAAGTGTCAGCGTTGAAGAAGTCGAATTGTTTACAGTCACAGTCTGTCTTCTGTCTGATAGATATGATGTCAGCCACGTCAGTAAGTTCCCTGTTAGTCCAAACTCTCTCTCGCATTTTGCTAAAAGTCCTGCATGCCATATTTTTTCAAAATATCTGCTTATGTCTAAGTAAATTGTCGTTAAGTCTTGTCCTTTGTCGAGAGAATGATACAGTCTGTTTGTTAAGTACATAAGTTGTAACTGAGTGTTGTGTCCTGGCCGGTACCCACTCTGTCTGTCAGATAGAAGCGAAGATTCGGTGATGTGCTGATAGATTCGAGAGAAAACAATTTTACCAAATATTTTTGAAAGACAAGGCAAGAGGCTTATTGGTCTATAGTTATTGACGTCTGATGGTGTTCCTTTTCGCTTAAATATTGGTCGTACTTTTGCATGTTTCCAGGATGATGGGTATTTTCCGGCTGCGAGAGATTTATTGAAAAGCTGAGTCAGAGGTTCGTAAATAAGTAAAGCTGTTAGTTTTATAATTTTTGTGGGAAGTTGGTCTGATCCACACGACTTGTTGGCATCCATGTTATTGATAATTTTAAGAACCTCACCTGGCCTGATAACTATGTTATGCAGAGTGGGTACCGGCTCAGCGTTTGTGGCTATGTATTCTTGGAGCTGTGTGTTTTGTAGATTGTTTATGTTGAGCTGTGTTTGTACGACAAAGTGGCTGTTGAACATCATAGCTTTTTCCGTTTCGTCAGTCACCGTGTCTCCGTCAGATTGTACTAAAGGTGGTATGGTGGTGTGTCGTTTGTGTCCGGTTATATTTTTTAGTATTTGATGGTATTTGTATGGGTCGTGCTTGTGTTGAATAAGACGTGATATGCTATTTTTTATGTGTTCGTCGTAAAGCTGCCTGTTCAAATTGGTTACAAAGTTGCGCTGAGATTTCCAACGTACCCATGCTTGTTTGTCTGTTTGCCGTTTTTTTGCAATTTTAAATAAACGTTCTCGCTTTCTGATATGTCTGAGAAGTTCCGTTGTCACCCAGGGCTTGTCATGTCTCTGTCTTACACGTTTCGTTGGGATACATTTTCTAGCCGCGTCTATTATATGTGATGTAAATTCTGTAGTAGCACTGTCTAAGTCCTTGTCGAGAATAGAATTCCAATCTGTCTGCAGTAGTTCTTGCGTTAGTCTGTCAATGTCCATGTTCCGATAGTCCCAGCATTCTGTGAAAGGTACGTCTTTTTTATCGTCTCGTTGTATTTTGAGAGTGACGAATATAGGAAAATGATCAAGTGTTGAAAATGAGGAGAGAAGTCCACTATTGGCAATCAAGCCTTCATTAGAAGTGAAGAAAAGGTCTCTTAAATTATGTGTGTCATTCTCGAGGAGGGAGATGATGAGAGTGGGGCTCACGAGGGGTGACGCGGGATGGCGATGGTGATTGGTGATTGATTAAAGGGGCGGTGTGGATGTTTTTGTTAGCTGTTTTCGAGTGATGGTTTAAACTTGGCTGAATGGTGCGCGATGGTCGGATTCAGTGGGGTTATGATAACTTAGACTAGAGCATAGTTGACGCAGGCTAGCTGTTGATCATCAGTCCTAATTTAGAGGCTGCTTGCTTATGGACGCCGAGCTGATCCTCCTGTAATCTACGCAGTCGCTTGGAGGATGAGCTAATTAATTATTGGGCGTGTTATTGGTTTTACATTCATGTTAAATGCTTTCTGTTTGTATGAAAATTGCTTGTCGTTGTCATAAATGGTGCACTTGCAAGGCATAATCATTGTAGTATCCCATTATTGCCTTGGCTTGCTGAATTGCAGCCCCCGTATTTCTTTCCACCTCCCTCCGTTTTCTTCTCAGTCTCACTATAAATCGCCTCCTCAGAGGGCACTCATCACTCATCATTCCCCTGTGCCTCACCCTGTGCGTATTTCGTCTCGCCAGGCGACACCACCAGTCTCTGAATTACCCATTTTTCATCCCGCTAACGTGCCGTCTCCTTCGCCACAGCGACCACTCGTCTCTCTGTGTGGATGTTGGACGGGGACCCTGCACACGCACACCTGCTGCAGTACGCCCTTGGACCCGAGGCGGTCGGCAACACGGCCCTCATGCTGACCGTGGCCATGACGACGCCCTGGGACATCCTGGACCAGCTGCACGCCTGGGCAGGGGTCATCCAGGATCACCTGGATCAGTTGAACCTGAGTGCCGACCTCGTCAGGGAGAGACAACATAAAGGTGCGCAGCTGACGGAGAGGGAATGTAACTACACAGGGGAGAGACACTTGAATGAGTGTCGAAACCGTAGGTTTCGCGGAGAGGCGCTTGCCGTGCGGTGTATGTGACAGGCTTGCGCGGTGGGCGCGCCCCGTCACGCTATTCGTCATGCTAACGCCTTAGGTATTCGGGGACACACCTGCCTTTTGTGAGGTAAATGTATGAGTGTGCAGTCGCCACCTCCGTAAAGCCACGGTAAGCCACTGTAACTGTTAAACCCCAGCCTCCAAATCTTTTTCCTTTACTGCTTTCTTCATGTACTTATGCTACCTTCATTATGCCCTGCACTGCTACCTTCATTTCCCCGTAGCCGGGCCGGTTTCAGCCTAGAAACTTCCTACCTAGTGCTTTCAGTCATGACATCCTCCTCCGCCACGGCTCAGCGGCGCTGGCAGGAGTAAATTGAGATCTTGACCACTCCTTTATTGCCAGTGTGTGACTCTTCCTCCTTCAGCTGTATGAACATTGAACAGTGTGTGATCCTCTTCCGATATTGGCAGTGTGTGACACCCTCCCCTCCCCCACAGTCCAGCGGCGCTGGCAGGAGTACATCGAGCCGGGCGATGAACTGGAGGCGGCCTCTCCGGCCAAGCGGCTCTCCCAGCACCTGGGAGAGGAGGACGGAGAGGTTCTACTGCCGCTCGGCGAGAACACGCTGACGCGAAACCTCGGCATGGATGTCATAGTGGTAGTGACCAAGGTCAGTTTGGATGCCTGCTCGTTCCGTGCGTTGACGGTATTATGAATTGGCATATTCTTGCCATGTTGTCTGTCTTTTTTTATTGTCGTTTCAAAAACTCATCGAAGATTTATCGCACACTTCTTGCATTAGCATTGCAGGGGTTGGTTTTCGTCCTAATGTCTAAACCTTTTCAATCAGCGGTTTTGCTTTAAAGTTGCCGTTGTTTCGGCCGTGCAGTGTGTTGCATAGGCAACATGAGCCATTTGCTACATATGCCTATGCTTTTCATAAACGACCCACTTAACTTCTCGTGTGTACGTACGGTTCTCCAGGGTATTAGTCGTTGGTCGCTCGGCGGGCGGGAGGGCAACCAGTTCCGCCCCTGTATCGCGTGACCCCTTGTTCCGCCCAGTTACGCACGAGCGTACTCCACGCCGCGTAGTAGCGTGGGGAGGGGAGGGTTAGAATGGTGGCATGTGTAGAGGCTAGAACCGGTTTCCACCGCCATGCCACCGCCCAGCGACATGGAGCGGGGTCAGTGACCAGGGCGCAGGGAAAGGTCAGAGGTCAGCTATAACGTAGAGCTTTGTGTCTCCCTCCCCTCCGCGTGTAACGACCGCACGACAGCGGCCGGCCGCCGATCAGGCTTGACATGTCAAGGTCACCCGCAGTCAACGGGCTTAGAGGATTGGTCGAGTGCGCGTCCGTGGCTGACGACAGTCTCGACCATGTGCTATGGTGCCGATAGACTAGCGTGGGTAATGAGTTTTTGTTCAGTGCATATGGCTGCTGGGGTGTGTTATCTTGATATAATGCTTTGTAACGTGTATGATACGTCTAAAACCTCGCTGGCAGTGGCCGAGAGGAGAGGGGGAGGCGGGTGCTGCCTCCACATGTTTATTTTTGTTGATAGCTGCGAGAGCTGAAATTTGGCAAGCCTGACCTTTGATTCAAGGTGAATTTTTATGACAGCAGCTGTATTTCCACCCTCGCCCAGGTATTGGTGTTTTGCCAGCGTCTATCGTAAAGGGGGGGGGGGAGGGTCCGTTGGACCCCTTTGCCGTTCAGTCCCTGATCGAGCTAGAGCTTCGCGGAAAAAGAGCTTGTTTCCCGTGACGAGAGGAGGCCGATGATACCCAATTTTAAGGTCCTAGGTCATTGGTTGACAGTATAACTCAAAAGTCGGGGAATCGGGACGTGTTAGAGCTTCGTAAAGTGAAGCTGTTATAGGGTTTTGCGGGGTGCTGACCACGAATTTCAAGTTAGTTTTGATCACAGATGATGTTTTCGTGCATTTAGGCCAGGTCGGGTCAGGTCAGGTCAGGTCACATGTTACGAGGGAACCAAAACTACTTATTAAATGCTCAAACGGTTTCTAAATGCGAAATCAACTCCAAAATCTACCCTAGAAGCATGTAGAACTCGAAAGAGTGAACAAAGGTCATCAAAGGTCAGTGACCTGACTGACCTTCACGTGACCTTGACACCCACTAGAATCCATGGGATCAACATCCTTTCACATGTTTGATCGCTTAAAGCCACAAAAAGACAATAAAACGCGCTCTACTCGAAATACGCCAAAACACGATTCCGGCCAAACATGGTCTCGGAAAACAGGTCACAAGTCAAAGGTCTTTTGAGCCAGGGTCATACAAATTATAGGGTAGGCGTAATATTGATTAACTCGAGGGTACTGAAAGTTTCGTCGCAATCAGCCGCTTTTTGCGCGAGTTATTTGCGAAAAACTGAGGGTAGGAGGTCTGTTCAACACCCTCCTACAAGTGCGAAGGTTAAGGTCAGGCCGTTGACCAATGACGTCAAAAGTGAACCTCTGTAAGGTCCCAAAATGTCGCGACGTCGCAGCACCCTTCGTGCCAGGGGACCTTTCAACGGGGAATGAAGCTTATATGCTCTAGTACTATCTCCCAGAGGCCTCACAACTTGTATGTAGCTACCTAGTATTTTTCTTAAGAGTCACCTGAAGTCAGGTCGGTCACGCAACCTCACGATTATTAATCAATTGGGAAACATGAAAACTGTTATTTTGGCGCCGGGAATCATCTAAAGCTGTCTCAAGCGCATTAATTCGCGATTTTATACAATCTTTGGAAGCCCCAGCATTCACTTTTCCATTCTTAAGGTTAGGCGGCTTCATTTATGACGTCACTAAGGTCACAGGAGTTTTCACCAAAAAGTCCCGATCAAATTGAGCTAGCGAGTCGGGAAGCCACCAGTGGACTTGTGAGGACCTACCGAATCAAAGAAGCGATATGACCTCCTTGAGCCAGCCTCGTGGCCTGAGTGGCTCTGCCCTGACATGACCTGAGGTGAACACCTTAACCCGCGCCCTGGTGGGGTCTGTTTATAACGCGACCTGGTGGGGGGGGGGGGCTATTTTTTGCCCCCCCCTCGTATCTCCGAAACTACTGGACGGATCCGCAAAATTCAAACGGCGTTCGAAAGGCCTGTCAAATTTGTTGAGGGAAACCAAATTTCATTGACCTCGGGGTGACCGATGACGTCACAGGTCAGGTCAAAGATGAAATGTTTCACCGTTCACGGGTCATCTAGGGAATGCGCTATAACACCGAAGAAAACGCATTTTGTCGAGAATCAGCGATAGGGCGTCAGTTGCCTAGTACATATATTGCTATAAGAGGTCACTGACATTACCAGGTCAGGTCACAGGTCAGGTCACCAAGGGTCACAGGTCAGGTCACATGAACCTAACTTTAGGTACTAAGGTTGTGCGATGCATGTTTTATGGCCAATTTTTCATTTCCAACTCAATGGTGTTGGTTATAAGACTATCAGGTACGGCTTAGGTCACTTCCTGGTGGAAGTCAGGTCAAGGTCAGGTCAAAAAAGGTCAAATTTCAAAGTTGATATTTTTGCATAAAATGGGTATTGATTCGATGCAGCTCGTCACGGGGAGTCTAATGGTGGTCTTTGTTTTGCGCTACGAGGTCTAGAATTGCAAAAAATTGAGTTTGAAAATTTGACGTCATCAATTTTGAACAGTTTTTTCGCTGTAACTTGGCCAAAAAAAGAGGTATCGTTCTCAAATTTGGTATGTAGATAGAAGGTGGTAAGGACTATCACATATATTCCGGTTTTTTCGAAATTCAAGAAACTTTTTGGATTTTTCGGCTATTATAATCAAAAAATCTATTTTTTGATTTTTGGGGGTCAAAATCCAAAAATTTTAAAAATCCGAGATAGCAGTTTTGTAGCCCTGTCAATTCTACAGCTTTTATGTCTTTATCGTTTTTCTGTATTTGCAAAGCTATAGGCCTGACAGCTCTTCCCGCGAAACCCTTTTTTGGGTCGAAAACGGCAGAACATGACGTCACTCTGACGTCATTTCCGGCCAACCTATCATAGCCTTTGGAAAAATTTTTGGTCACAATGTGTAAAATTGATGTCCGGGAAGGTACTGAAAGTTTGGTGACGATCGGCGAAGCGGTTCTGGAGATATATCGAAAAGTCTGGAGGGGGGGCAAAAAATAGCCCCCCCCCCCCACCAGGGCGCGGGTTAAATTGACCTCAACAAAAACAAAGCGCTATTCGACGCGCTTGATAGTGCCATTATCTTGGCTCTGTAACCACTTATGGTGAAGTTGTTTACCAAAAACCGATCCCGCGACTTGGAGCACTTATACTGACCTCAGAGTTTATCGGTTGACCTGAGACATTCAACTCGGGTACCAGCTGCTGCATCTCATACGACGCACGCGCTCAGTTTTATCCGCAAGGCGCTAGCTCAATTAGGGGCAAAAAGACGGAGAGGGGTCGTAATCGCCCCCCTCCCCTCGGCCGGGGTATATGCAGAAAACCCAAAATTCCGTTGAAGGTTAAGCACTGAAGTGATATATTATGATGCGAGAAGGTATAGGTCAAAACAAGTATGCACACGAGCGGATGTGAATAAAACTGTGTTTGAGGTATGCCTTTTTTATTAAACATTCAATTTGCTTTAGTTATTGGTAAGAACAGATACAACCAAGAAGAGCGCCCCTGAAGAAAAGGTGGCGCACCGGACGGGTGCGATTTTAAGGTCTAAGGTCAGTCGGGGACCTCTAAGTTCGGATCAAGCGCTGCATGTTATGGGTAAAAAAAATGGGGGCAAAAAAGCATCCCGATTTTGGCAGCATCGTCATGCTTTGTCACGGCACTCATCCACTCCCTCGGCCGAAATATTATTTCCTTTTTGTATGAGTTCTGGCATAATACCGCACATTATGCTGCATGTTGTTTGCTATGAAAAAAAATGCATGTTCAGCTACGTTCTACGCAGTACGCACTAACCTAACCACCATCCCATCATCCACCACTAGCCACCATCCCGTTCTGTGCTTCCTTCCACTCCACACGAATCAGCCGAGATACTAGTCAGTCGGGCTAGCGCTATCCTATCCTCCCTTCCCGACTGCACAGCGCTAAAACCCTGAGCCGAGACTTCCCGAGCGCGACCTCTGACCCCACGCGGTCCGAAGGGTCGGCCGATGCCTAAGGGCGCGCCGCGCGCCGGCCACCCGGATAGCCTCTGCCGAGTCTCCCTTTCATACACCGTTTACTACGCGCTCGATTCATTCATGTTTCTGTGTTTCCGCGTTCCTCTCGTTAGATGGCTCTACTGATGTCATAGGCGATCCCAGGAAGATTGCGGCCAGAATACCCCAAACGGCAGAAAATGAGGTTTTTGGTGAATATCTCGGAAAGTATTTGGCATACAACGATGCAATTTCACAGTCACGTGGTAAATGTGCATACACATAATTCGGGTTGATACTTATGCATTTGAGCATTATATAGGACCAGATATGTCCGAAAAAGCAAAACCAACAAGACTTTTACTGGAGAGCCGTACCTCTATCGATCATTTGTCAATCAATCACCTGCCTTTGCCTTTCACAGACTGACTACATGGCGACCCTAGAAACCGACCACGACTACAAGGACGAGCACTTCGACTTTATCCAGCAGTACGTGCGCAAGTTTTGTCTACAGTACGGCGCGGCGCTGTTCTACACCTCCGTCAAAGAGGACAAGAATTGCGACCTGCTCTACAAGTACCTGACACATAGGATATATGGATTTCCGTTCCGGACACCGGCGCTCGTCGTGGAAAAGGACGCCGTGTTCATGTGAGTTGCACAATGCACATTTATCTATAAATATTATCTTCGCTTATACTTGCATGCTGTATACGTAGCTCATATTCTGTTATGTGAAAAGTGCAATATGTAGATAGGTCTAAGTGCGTCACCGCTTATAAAAATAAGTGTTCTTTCTCCAACGTATTATCAGCACCGGTAGTTAGCCCCTATCATTCCAGTGTCGCGTTGTCAGTTTGCGACTACACTTGGTTCAGTGTCCCTTATCGACTCAATTGCGCTGGAACGAGTGTGACAAGCTGCTCGTAGCCATAGCCCCGGCCTCCAGCGACTCGTTGGCTGGTAGATGAGTTGACTTTAATGTGTTCTCAATGGCGTTTGGCCTTCTGCCACAGCCTAATGTTTTATTTACACGCCCAGCATGGTACGGGGCGGGCGTCTGTAAAACGTCGTCTGGTGATAGCATGGTAATTACGAGTGTTCGACTTTCAGACCTGCCGGCTGGGACAATGACAAGAAGATCTCGATTCTGTATGAGAACATGCAGAGCATACACCCGGAAGCCTACTATACGGATGTCATCTCACGGCCCGCCATCAAAAAGGTACGGTGTGTGCTGTTTGATTAAACAAACACGAGCTATGACCAGTAAACAATTTCGACAAGTTAGTGCGACGTTATAGTAGGAGTTATGGCGGGGATACCTGATTATGACGGAGCATTAGCGAGGGTACGGCGTGAGCTCTAGAGACAGGTCGAGCTGAATGACTCGCTTCATGGTATCCTCCCGCCTGCCAGAAATGGGGACAAAAGGTCCCTCAGATGACTATTTCCCCACCGCAATTTGCGTTGGAGAAACTTTTTGGACCCCTTCCCCTCACCCCCGACGCTATAACAGAATGAGAGACCCTCAAGACACCGTGAAAGACCCTCTGACTGTCGTGATTTCCCCACAGACTCTGGTACGAGACACCGAGCTGCAGGCGGAGGAGGAGCAGACGTTCCTGGCGCGGCAGCAGCAGCAGCTCCTGAGCAGCGGCGGCGCCTCGCCCGGCCCGGCCGGCGCGCCGCGGCCCGACACGCCCTCGCGGCTCTCCACCAGCGGCGTGCAAAAGACGCCCGAGCGGCGCGGGACCGCCTCGCCCAGTATCGCCAATAACAGCTCCGTCGGGAAAAAGGTACGGCTGATGGAGACTGCGGGCTTTCGGAGATCTGTCTTCAAATATCGTGGGATGGTGGTCTGGTGTTAACTGTTGGCTTTGGTTGTGGGGATTGGGGATGTATATCGTCAACATGTTGAGACTGGTTGCGTGTGTCCAAATTAGTTAGTCAGCACTAGCTGTCAGAATAGCCGCTGCTTATACCAAATCTTGTTTAGCCACAGTTGAATTAATTTTTTACTGCCGCGCTATCCATGCAGCAGCAAAACGAACGCTTTCCATTGGGCATTTGCACTTTTCACGGCCTGCCCTGTCCTGTCCTGCGAACTGTGCCACGCACTGCGTCGATCGAGCCGTTCCTCCCGTCCTCTGCCCGTCTGTCCGGCCCTCTCCCCACTCCGGTCCTGTAGGTGGTTCTCTGCTGTGCTGGACCGGATAGCCGCGATAGCGACACAAGTTACTGATCCCGTGCCCTCGCCGATCACTGCTCCTTGTCTATTTTCCTTGCCAGGTGAGGTCAATGAAACACTTATTCGCACCTGAGGCTAGGCATAGTGACTGTGGTACACACAGTGGCTAGGCTTGAGTACACATCTCGTAGTTAAATGCCTAAACGCACGGAGTCCTACGTTTAGTATTTTCATATTTCTTTCCGTTAGTATTGTTTTGCTACCAGGTTATGACAGTGCAGGACAGGGCAGGTCTTTTTTTAAATTGGCTGCTTCAATTTTACCAAACGGATGAAGCAACTGTACAGATCTGCATTTAACAAACACTGACAAGTTGGCTGCAAAATGAGGAAGTGGGAATTTGAGTGCCGAGCCCTGTGAATGCTATTCTAACTCCAGTTGTCATGGTGTCATAGCCACTCATCAATTCGACGCTCGACTCAATCGACCTAGGACCTGACCTCTGACCCCTTCCACCACAGCTGGACCCGACCAAGCCCGGCGCGGGCGTCACCTCAGAGGGGGTGCTGGCCAACTTCTTCAACTCGCTGTTGAACAAAAAGGCAGGATCTCCGGGCGGCCTGAACAAATCCGGCACTGACAGCGGTAAGTGAGAGAGGGGAGTTGGAACTAGCGTGATGACTTCATTTTGTGATGAGAGTAATCTACCTGGTCTGTTTATTGATTCAGATGTGTGATGTAAACGGTGGGCGTCGTCCATCTAATTTATCGTAATTATCTAGAACGGAGGAACCGATGTTATATTTGTATTCTGCACTTCCTCAAGGCATACCTTACACGGCGTAAGCCATAAGTTACGCAGTGCCTGTGTGTATGAGCGAGTGTGTCCACCGGCCTGTCCCGTTCACCGCACCGTGTCCTGCCCGCAGCGGATACCTCTCTGGTACGATCAGACGCGGCGGCCGAGCTCGACCGGCTGACGCGCACCAAGAAGACAAGCACGCCTCTCAAGTCGGCCGACACGTCCGGCGCGCCAGACACAGACTGCTAGCGCATGTATGTACATTCCCCCAATTCTGAGCGAGAGAGGATGTGAGTGGACGCCGCGAGCCCCAGAGGCGCGCGCGAGAGAGTGTGATACCTGGCCGGCGCCGGCCGGCCGGGCGGTGGTTCGCGTCTCGGCCGCCAGAGGCGCTGCTGTCGCGCGATGCCGGCGACACCGGCACTGGACGCGATGGAGGAGCGTGAACTAGTCGATAGCCGTTGCAGCTTTATTCGTGTTATGTGCAAACGTTGTCGTCACTCTCTTTTGGGTCTCACAAAGGTACAGGTTTGGCTAACCGATTTTTACGAGGCGGCGCGCGGGCGACGTTGTTCTTCCTTTTTAGCGGCGCCCCGCGTCGTGCCGCGCTGTTTTAGTGTGGGCAGGTCTACTCCGTACGTATGCTATCCGCCCCCAGGCTCCGTTAAACACGCGCTGATTTCGTTTGTTAGTCGTGTGGTGAGATGTGCGCCCTCTGGGATGAACCGGAACAAACTAGATTTGTTTTCAATTAGCATGGCCGGGCCATTTTGGTATTGGAGCGGTGGGACGGTCTCCTTGTTTTGGAGGAGTGGGAGTCGTTCCCTGTGTTGGCTGAACGGGGAGTACGTTCCTCGTTCGGGAGAGTGGGAGCCACTGAGCGTTTCTGGTTCATCGGTGATCGGGTCGGGTGGCGACCGGTGGCCTGCGGTCGGTCAGTCGCGCCCGCGGCGGCCGCTGCGTGGAGCCGCGGAGCGCGGTGGTCGGGCTGTCTGGCCCCGCCGCCGGCCGGAGAGCTGGTCTGTACGTCTGGCCGGCCCGCTGTGGCACCATTCCTGCGTCCCGGCGCGTGTGTGGCGCGCCGCTGATTCTCCTGTGCTGCCCCCGGACGGCGCCGCTGCCGTCCTCACTGAATGGTGACGACGTGCAGCGCCGCCGGGCCGGTCTCTCGCGAACCAGCAGTTGGACGTGTGGCCGTGCGGCGGCGCCACCGTCGCCGCAGCAGCGCCCGCGCAGCCTGCGGGCGGCGCGGCGCGATCTGTTTGTGCTGTGGTTTTGTTGAAATGAGCGGGCGTCGCTCGGACCCGCACGGGGCCGGCGCCGTTCCACTCTAGTATACGGCTTGACTTGTACTTGAAAAAATAAACTAATTTATTATATGATCTGGGTTTACCTAACGATGTTTCAACTAACTAATGGTTATTAGTTATTTTATCTACATAGTCCTCTGTTCCCTGTTTTCCATCCTCATGACAGACAAATCCTCCTCCACGCCTCTTTCCCCGCTCCGGACTGGACGGGCAACTTTATCCCATTCGGGATTGTCCGTAAGAACACGCCCGTAGCCGGGTGCGGTGAGTGCTTGGGGGGACTGGTCGGCCTGTCCTCTGGACGGGCTCTCAGCCCCGGCGACTCACCAGGGTGCTCGCCCAGACCAATGTCTGCTCCTAATTCCTATCATCCTACCGGCCCTGAAATGGTCTTGTCAGATCGAAAGGGCCTACCCCCCCCCCCCCCCAATACATAGGAGCTCGTCTTACTCTTACTCTTACGTTAGAAGGAATTGTGCCGTGTTGATTTTCCATCTCCTCGTTATTCCCATCAAGAAGAAATGTCAAGGCAGTGTAAAAGGCTGACTTCCTCGGAACTGAGAAGCCAATTTCATCTGAAAGATTTATGCCTACATGGTCTGTGTCTTCTGCAAGAGTCATTATTTTCGGATTGTGATAATCAGACTGAACTAAAACATGCCATCTTTCATCCTCCGTAATCGCTGCCTAGTGCTCTTGGTGTGCAAATAACCTTGAAACAGGTTAAGAACACCGCCCAGCCCGTCTAATTATAGGGTGCTTCAAGGCCTGACGACCTGCGCCAAGCCGTTTTTCTTTGGTGCCTCACGGACTCTTTGGCCATGAACCCAGCAGCCACCGTTAAGACGGGCTAATTAGTATGGGCTCAGCCATTGCTAGCAGTTGCATGGGATTTTGCACGTTGCAAGGTGTTCCTCTGTCCCGTGGGACGGTGCGGCTCCCCCCCCCCCCTCCCCAAATCATGCCTTTTCCGGCTGGCACCCGGTCTCCAACGGCGAACCAAAAACGGAACCTGTGCCGCGGCCGTCCGGAGCTGATGGAAACGCCTCAAGGTGACCGGAGCGCCGCGTGCTGTTCGGAGACGGCTCACAGTGATTCCTCGTCCCATCTGGGTTGTCCGAGATGTCGTCATCCGGAGGCTCTGCTACGCGGCGTGCCAAACTTGGGCATTAATCACAAATGGTAACAAGTGAACTTCGAGAATAGAGATGCCCTTTTTGAACCCGCGAACCCGCTTTCTGCGGGTTTTCAAAACCCGCAGGGTTTTTGGCGGGTTTGAGAAGCAAAACTTGTCGTGTGGCGGGTATTTGGCGGTCAGACTTAAGAACCTATAATTTTTTTTATTTTTTTTTTAGATGCAAAACACAATGCCAAGTGCATTTGCTCAGGTTAACAATACAACATTCATCAAAACAACTTTTAAAACAGAACCAAATATAAAAATATATCAAGGAAGCACATTTCAAATGCAAAACTGAAAACAACCAGCAATAGCATCCACAGTCTGGCAATGACCAAACCAGGGTACAAGCAATAAACTACTAAGCATAAATAAATGCTGATGAAAGCATTCCATAAAACATAAAAGACCCTGAAAGCAAACTTATAGGAAGCTGAACTGAAGTCTATGTGCACTGTGCAGTGTGCACTAGATATACATTATGGAAGAACCCAGACTTAAATGAGATGTTGAAAATCAGAGCAAATGCCACATGTTACTTTATTTGCGTCTGGTCGGCATAAAAAAGAGCTATCAGCTAAACAAAATTTGATGCAAATTCATTGATTACCTATCCTACTCTATGTTCTGTTCCACCCTATATTACGAAAATAACACACCAATCACCCTTACAAAAAATCAAAATATAGACTGGCCGGCCCAAACATAACGCAATACAATACTGGCGCACTTCCGACATTCTGACAAGGATGGGCATTTGACTGCGTCAATTTTGGTCTCTGAGGTGAAGGAAAGCTGTCATTGATGACGCAATAATTTTCAATCAGTTTTTCTGTCTTGGTTTTTGAATGCCTCAAAATAGCAGTTATACATGTTACAAAACCACGTAGCTGGTCGCATTTATTTCTTTTGTCTTTTTACGTCCTTATCATTTGTATGCCGACAGATGACCAGCCGGAGAGCATTACCAAGACCATCTATAAAATCATTACATTTAATTTAGTATTTACTGTCTCTTTATTTCTAAACCGGTGATTAACCTCTAAATTGTAAAACTTTAGCTGTTGTGTAAAATAATTTAATCAGAATGGCACATGAATATGCATTATACAACAGTGTTTTCGCAACAAGTTCGACTAACTACGGCCGCAATAATTTAGTCGCTGTAACATTCCTTCATCAGCTGTTGGTGACGCTTCTGACGCATGTTTCCAGAAATGCGTGGTTCATTGGTGGTTAGTTGCAAGGCCATATATGTTATTATAGTTGGTTTTTGCTGGGATTTTGCATGATTTGTTTTATGTGTAGATCGACTGGATACTCATTATTCACTGTGTCACTATTTATTTTTAACTGGAAATCGCATATCTTTTTATATCAACATTCATTTTGATAACAATATCATTCCAGAGGCCTAACATTGAGAGGGAGCCAGAGTGAAATTTTGATCCTCAGCCAATGCTGAAGGGTAAGGTGAGAGAAAGATTTTACTGAACTCTTCAGAAAGGAATTTCAAATGTATTGATGCATTATTCATTTTCCACTATCCAGTGTGCACTTCCTGAGGACTTAGCATAGCAATTTCAAGTCCTTACTATTTGTTTGGCTGTCTTTTTCTGCACAGCAATGAAGCAAGTAAGGTTTATATAGCTCTAGCATTGACTCAGCTGTATTTTTTTCTTGCAAAAGTATGTTTTTAAGATTGCGGGTTTTTTGCGGGTTCGGCTCAGACAAAATCAGCTTGCGGGTAGTTGTGGTTGGGCAAGGGGTAGCTGCGGGGCGGGGCGGGTAATGAAATTGCAAATTTGGGGCATCTCTATTCGAGAACTCCCGTCGCCTTGATATTTTACTGCTGATATAATCATCTAATGCAATGGACTGCGCCTTTGTAGGAGATCCTAACAGCTGGAAAAGTATGAACTGATCGCTCATCCGACTGAAATTCGCATGCGGAGCGTGATGAATTCTTACCCTCAGGCAGATATGCATTGTCTACCACCTGTTCAAGGGCCAAGGCAGTCGAGGTTTCATCGACAATCATTGATCGGATTTGCAAATTGTAAGATGAGGCGTAGGTATATACTTGGCAAACTTTCTCACGTATGCTCCTCTTGTAGAGTACTGAGTAGTCATCTCGCGTGACTGATGTGCGTGGGCTAGACTTCTCCAAGAAGTATTATCCAGAGAAGTAATCCGAATGAAACGTGTTCGATCATTTGTTATGTGTAGGTATATCTCCGAGAAAATACATTGGACAGAACACAATTTGTATCTCGCGAAATGAAATTTAGTAGTTTTATTGTGATACCAAAATACGTATGAGTCAACAGCTTGCTTCTTAGCCCCCACTTAACTGCTTTTCTGCATGCCTCCCGTCCGTTTCGGGCCGCGCGCGCGACTAGACTTCCTCCGCCAATCTGGTTAAGATCTCCGGGCGCTCAGACGGCTCTATCTTGAGCTTTTTTAGGCGCTCTGGATGGTCCGCGAAGACAACTTCCCAAATGTGCCCCCACAGAAAGAAATCTGGAGATGGTGACTTTGGAGGCCGCGCTTTTAGAAATCAACCTATCGGCCATTAATGTGCGATGAATGATGATCTTAGGAAGAAGTCAGAAAACGCCCGGCGTTTGTTGCAGCCCTACCTAATGTTGAATGTCCCCTCCCCCTCTTGTCCCACCCCTGCTTCATCCCCCCCTACCCGGCTGTGATCCCGCCCCGCTCATTCCGTTCTTATTCCCCCTCCGGCCTCCTCCCTGAGTGTTCCCGCATGACCGGCACTGTTACAGCGTGGCCCTCGCGTGCTCCGCACCGACCGCCCCGGGCCGGGAGGTCGCTGGGTACACGATCGTGAAGTGAGGAGGGTGAACGCGGACTCGGGAGTCGGGAGTCACGACCGTGCCAGGTGACCGGCGCGTCCACACCGCCGTGTGTCGCAGCCGACAAGGTCGACCCCCCCCCCCCTCCTTACTGAGGGGGAGGGGAGAGCGCCGGGTACGCGCGGCCGTCGGACGGCCGTGACTTGTGAACTTCAGCCACTGAGTTATGGCCCACCGTGTTCCTATAGTCGCAGCATTGGTCATTGATGATTGGTGCGTATCAGTGATACGGTATCACAGTATTGGCCAATTACTGAAGTAATTAATGTTAATGGAGTTATCCATTAGCACTTGCCTCCTCAATTTATTGGTGGTATTATTTTGTTTTTCAATTTAAAGTGTAGAACACTAGCCAGCATGGAGCAGTGCGCCAGATACAGTGCGAGATAGAGCTAAAAAGTACAGTCACACAGAAAGCACAGTCATACCTACATCATGTGACTCTCAGTCTCGAACCACAATGCCGTGCTGAGGCCGACAGCCTGACCCATCTCGGACTCTGCAACCCTCTCGGGTTTCCAGTCACTCAGAGGTCAGAGAGCCCGCAGAAGATGGCCCGCTACAGGGCTCGAACCGATTAGAGTACACCATGAGCGGCCGACTGGACACCTTGCCACTACGTCTGCAGGTCCATGTCGTTCGGCAAACGGCCTGAAGTGTCTTGAGGTCATCATGGCTACAGGTGATGACGGGTACGTCATCATAGTACGCTGGGGTTGGGGTCCAAGGGCAAGAGAATGACTGACGTGGCGAGCTTTTTTATCACTCTACATACCTGTTCTGGACAAGCACGCGCCGATACGGAGCCGCAAGGTTCACAACCCATCTGCCCCGCCGGTCACGGCCGCCACTAAGGACTTGATGGCGAGCCGCCGCGGCGCTCTGCGCACCCTCGGCAGAGACTCGAGCGAATACCGCGATCTGAACCGATCTGTCCGGTCCGCCATCCGCCGCGACACGCGCCTGGCCATAGAGTCCCGTATCAGGGAGCAGGGACCCCACACCGTGTGGCGCAACATTCGGAGTGTTGTTGCTGGCCGGAAGCGAGATGTCACCTCACCACAGCTATCACCGAGCGCGCTGAATGAGTATTTCGTGTCTGTCGGGCCGAGGGTGGCGGCGGAGGTGGCCGGTGCGGCCGAGCACGCGGCGGACCTGCCCTGCCGCCTGCCGCGTGTGGGGGCCTGCGGCTTCTCAGTCTCTCCCATCGACCTCGACACGCTGACGATCGCGCTGTACAGCATGAGGAACTCGCCTGCGTGCGGATCTGATGGTTTGTGTGCTCGTGCTCTGAAGGTTGGCTTCCCCGCCGTCGGCTATGTCATCCTACATATCATTAACGCATGTCTCACCCAATCCGACTACCCTCCAACCTGGAAACATTCGCTCATTCACCCCATCTTCAAGACCGGCGACCCATCCGATCCTTCCAACTTCCGTCCTATTTCCATCATCCCCACCATCGCCAAACTAGTAGAGCGCGTTGTCCAGCGGCAGCTTTACCATTACCTATCCTCCAACCACCTCCTATCCCCCAGCCAGCACGGTTTCCGTCCGCGCCATTCGACGGAAACCGCGCTGGCTACCGTAACCGACCAAATCCTCACAGCTGCCGACGGCGGGGAGATCACCCTCTTATGTCTTATTGACCTGAGCAAGTGTTTTGATATTATCGACCATGACATTTTACTTCGGAAACTCGAGCTGCACGGTGTGGATGTTCAGTGGTTTAAAGCTTACCTGACCGGCCATACCCAGAGTGTGTCACTCAGAGACCACACTGGAGCTGCCAGCGTCTCCCCGCCGATGCCGAACTCGATGGGGGTTTTCCAGGGGTCTGCCCTGGGCCCCCTCTTGTTTACCGTGTTTGCAAATGACATGTCACTGTTCGCTGCGGGTGCAAGTGTCGTGTAGTACGCTGACGACACCCAGGTGATTGTCTCTGGCAAAAAGAACGAACTTTCGGCTGTTATTCATAGCATGGAAAACTCATTGACTGCTTTGGATCAGTGGTTCTGCGCAAACGCCCTTAAAGTAAACGCAAACAAAACACAGCTCATCACTCTCGGAACAGGTCAAAATTTGCGCGGCCTTCCAGACATCAAAATTGCCTTCCGCAACACTGACCTCGTACCTTGCCGCGAGGTAAAAAATCTTGGCGTTATTTTCGACCAGAAATTATCATGGGACAGTCACGTGGGTGTCGTCGCCAGGCGATGCAGCGGTACTCTTGTCGCGCTGTCACATGTCCGTCACGTCCTGCCTGTCGGTGTCATCAAGACACTTGTAGCCGCCTTGGTTCTCTCGCAGGTCACATACTGCCTTTCCGTCTACGGCAACGGCACTAAGAAAAACATTGACAGAATTCAAAAGATACTGAACTTTGCTGCACGAGTCATTTTTGGTAAGAGAAAATTTGATCATGTTAGTGACATGCGCGGGAAACTTGGCTGGCTGCCCGCTCAGCACATGGCCGACCACCGTACACTGTGTCTGGCGCACAAGGTGATTGCTGGTGGCGAGCCCGAGTCACTGGCGGCTGCATTCGTGTGCAACGGTGACCGGCGGTCCCGGCGCACGAGGCAGGACGGGCAGCTCTACGTGCCGAGGTCCAACACCGAGACCGGCAAGAGACGCTTTTGCTCGAGGGCACCTGCCCTCTTCAACCGGCTGTCGAGTGACCTGACACCGCTTAGCCAGCAGCGTTTTTCACGTACCGTGAAGAGACGCCTGCTGGATCTCCACCGAACGTGACCGTTCCGACAGCCGTGGCCGCCACAGCACAGGGGTAGCCCTGTGTACCGTGTATGAGTGCGTGTGTGTGTGTGTGTGTGTGTGTGTGTGTGTGTGTGTGTTTTTTTTATCCATGACAGCGACCATGTTTGACTCGGAGCTTAATAGCCACACTTTGAGTGGACCGCTCTACGATGGCAAATACAAATACAAATACAAATGCCTTGTTTGCGAGTTTGCGGTATTCCCGACTCGTAAATCAAACGGCACGTCGGCGATAAAGCATCTCATTGACGGACGACGGTCTAATCTCATTGATGAATTGTGCTGCATATGCGGGAATCATACCGGCAACCACGGATAACAAAAAGTTTCTGTTACTCGTTTCTTGTAGCGTATATGTTACAGGCAAAGTGAAAACTCGGGCATTTTGCAAAATGCCTAGGCAATTTGCAAAATGCCTGACCGGCTAGGCATTTTGCAAAATGCCCAAGCAATTTGCAAAATGCCTGACCGCCAGGCATTTTGCGAAATGCCTAGGCAGTTTGCAAACTGCCTGACCCACCAGGCATTTTGCAAAATGCCTGAGTTGTGATTGATTTATTTTACCGTTTTTGTTTACCACAGGCGTTGACCATGTCGCTCCCATGTGCCTGAGCCCCAAACACATTCAATATTTACGAATATACCCACGTCTTGCGCCACTTCCGTCGAGATGGAACCACTACTGAATGGTGTAGAATGAGCCAACGTCTCCATGTAATTTTCGTATACGGAGTTGTAGCCGTTCGTGTGTAGGAATGCTGCGATGGGGCGCGGAGCATGGCACAGAGAAACATGGGCGCGGAAAAATGCGGCGACCGGCCGAATATTGACCCGACATTCTTCGCTTCCCGTGCTTATTTACATCACGGCAAGAGAGGGCCGCAGCGACACGGGGTTGCCAGCGAACGATAGAACAGAGACAAGCGTATCCAATAAACATTTTTCCCTCGCCCGCACATGGGGGGTGGGGGGGTGGGGGTTGTTGCCACCCCCCCCCCCCCCCAAGGTAGTCTTTCTGCTCTGCACTCAACATTTTTAGAGCTAGAAAGCTGATTTTTTGTATAGCTGCTTGTCTATCCTTTCTTGATGTTCGCTGATAATTTCAAGTTTCTGTGATTTTTGGTTTCGGAGATATGACCTTGTTTTTCAGGTCATGTCATGACCCAAATGGCCAATTTTCAACATCTTGCGTTTGCCATGGGCCTTGTGAGCTTTTGACACCCTGATTTCGGCCTTTTTTGCCAGTCTTACCTCCCACCTATCATGGAACATGTTGTTCGACGATGTACAGGGGTCAAGGTCAGGGTCAAGGTCAACCTAGGTCATCTAAGATAATTGCGTTTTAGGCAAGCTGAATTTACTTTTTGTGAAGTTTTTCGATTGCATTTTTGGTAAAAGCTTCTCAGATCATGATTTCATGTAATATGGACCCAAAAACAATCGGTGCACACATCAGTGTACACACAGACACACACAGACATACAAACACATATAATTGACCTTGACCTAACTTGACCTGAAATGACCTCAGCAGCAAAATTCTGGTCGGGTAGTGTGACAAAGAGGTTCTAGCTGGCTTGGCACCAGAAAACAGCATCGTCATCGGTATTTGATAAGCAGCGCACTTGATATCCAGCGGTGACCCAAAACAGCAACATTTTTTAGTTTGACCTTACCTGGAAGGTCAATGACTGACCTGAGAAGGTAAAACTGGGTTTCATTGGATTCGTCTCTTCCCAAAGAATCTTTTTGGTCTTTACCGCTAAGCTCTATCTCCAACAGGAACGAAATGGCGCGGGGGGGTGGCAACCACCCCCCCCCCCCATGTGCGTTCTAGGATGGGAAAATGGCATGTGCGGGCGAGGGTTAATTACGTGTCACGTGGAAAGAAATAGTCTATATCTTGAGAAATCAGCCATTTTCGGTACATTTCAGGAAAAACAGAATTTAAAAAACAATGGAAATGCATTGGAATGAGATGAGATACATTCCATAGACAACAAGGACATGTGGCTTTTCCGCTTTTCCAGAAAAACAAGTTTTTGGTCATTCACGACCCACGTGCACACCTTTGTAATAAAAAGACGCTTAGAAATTACAAGTTTTATATGCAATGGGCATGCTCATCTTTACACAGTCACAATGCATTGATAATGTAGACGTGTGGCTCGCCAACCAAGCTACCGTACATCGAAAGAACATTATTTTCTGATCAATATCCACACAAAGTATTTCCAGAGTCATCAAGGCTCTTAGAAACATAACCGTGTTTAACGCGCGTTTACCGATAAAACCGCGCCGGGCGTCCGGTAGCCGGCGCGGCGCGGCGGCCGGGCCGCTCGCGCTGCCTGGGGCTCAGTAACCTTGAACTCGGCAGCGCTACCCGGAGAATGTCTCACTGTGTGTCCTCCCACTTGGTGCGTATCGCTTGTGATCAACCCCTGTTGGCGGCACTTACAATGATGCTTACGCATCGTCGCTGGTGTGAGTTCGATGTCAGGCATTTTGCAAACTGCCTGAGAAAATAATTTCAGGCAGTTTGCAAAATGCCTGGTGGGCCAGGCAGTTTGCAAACTGCCTAGGCATTTTGCAAAATGCCTGGCCGGTCAGGCATTTTGCAAATTGCCTGGGCATTTTGCAAAATGCCTAGCCAGTCAGGCATTTTGCAAATTGCCTAGGCATTTTGCAAAATGCCCGAGTTTTCACTTTGCCTGTAACATATACACAAACGCTCCTCGTATCACACAAATCACTATTCGTGTATTCACGGTGGGTAGCGGCCATTTTCGATCAACGTGACACACTGCTCCGCACAGTGCACACGTTGTGCACTGTGCACGCGGGACAGGCAGCTGTCTGGGGGACACCGGACCGACGTACCCTGTGAACCCGGCGCGCGGGCGGCGGGCGGCGGACCCCAAAAGCGGGCATGTCGCGGTCACCGGCCGCGGAGTGTATCACGTGCATCAGCGCGGCGGCCAAATCACCGCTATTGCCCCAACCGGTCTTCTATTCTGGGTCCCTGGCAAACATTGACGCGTGCTTGTCATGATTGTTCATATATATAGTGAGCACGCCTTGCCTCGGTCTCGACTAATGGTCACGTTATGGTCTGGTAAGACTGTTCATCGGTTACCTTTGGGAGCAGCCCTGAGTTGCTCCTAAGAACAAGTTGAAGGGCTAGAGGGGGTTAAAACAACCCATGAAAAATTTAGGGAAAATCAGGTTTGGCTATAGGATCCAGTGAGGACGGTAAACGGGAGCGCCAGTTTTGATCTTGTGGTTTCCAACTTGTAGTGGTACCTACACAAAAATTCAGAATGGTAACTTTTTTTAAATAAAAATACAGGTGGACAATGCTGCCGCACACTTTTAGATAAAATCGGGCAACTTTGGCCCAGTTTGAGATCTGCAGTCCCTCCCCCTAGTTTATTGTTCGCGATGGCTCCAAGCACGCCAGCGATGTGGAGCTGAAACTTGGCATAGCTGACCTTTGATCCAAGCTGCATATTGTGATATCAAATGCATTTTCTGGTCCGGTCAGGTCACTGACCTATGACGTCATAGATAACTCTCTGCACGGTCCTCAGATATGTCGCAACTTCGCAACGCCCTCAGTGCCAGGGGAACTTTCACAGGGAGATGAAACTTACAGGATGTAGTATCCTCCTGAGGTTTCACAACTTGTTTATCTCGGATTTTTTCTGAAGGTCACATGAGGTCAGGTGGTCACGTGACATCACCATTTTAACCCGGCAGGCGGTGGGCCTCCCGGCCACCTTCAGCGCGGTGGGGGGGGGGGGGCATTTTTGCCCCCCCCCCCGTATCTCCAAAACATATACCTACCTACTGTTAAATTTGTCGAGGGGAATCCAATTTCATTGACCTCGGGGTCACCGATGACGTCACAGATCAGGTCAAAGATAAAATGTTTTGCCGGTCACGGGTCTTCTATAGAATACGCTATAACATCAAGTAAAACGCATTTTATCGATAATCAGCGATAGGGCGTCATTTGCGTAGTACATATATTGCTATTAGAGGTTACTGATAATACCAGGTCAGGTCACAGGTCAGGTCACCAAGGGTCAGCACGTGAATCCAATTTTACTAGGGCTGTGTGATGCATGTTTTATGACCAATTTTTTCATTTCAAACTCAATGGTGTTGGTTATACGAACATCAGGAACGGTTTAGGTCACTACCTGGTGGAGGTCAGGTCAATGTCAGGTCAAAAAAGGTCAACTTTCAAAGTTGATATTCTTGCATAAAATGGGTATCGATTCGATGCAGCTCGTCACGGTGAGTCTAATAGTGGTCTTTGTTTTTTGGGGGTCGAAAACGGCAGAACATGACGTCACTCTGACGTCATTTGCGGCCAACCCATCATAGCCTTTGGAACTTTTTTTCTGTCACAATGTGTAAAATTGATGCCCGGGAGGGTACTGAAAGTTTGGTGACGATCGGCGCAGCAGTTCTAGAGATATGTCGAAAAGTCTGGAGGAGGGGGAGGGCAAAATAGCCCCCCCACGGGCGCGGGTTAACACTGTACATAAACAGATAAATGAATTAGGTACTGAGGCTCGACCAAAAAAGTGGGCCAAAATTGCACGAGACTATACGGTACCTACTGGGAAGAGTGAATGTGATGGGTAGCCAATGGGATGTATGATATAGGTAGTTAGATGACGCTCTTGTTTAAATGTTGAGTACGTCTGTCTGTGGGAAGTCACTGTGGATCGCTACACCCGAATAAGAGTCTGCCTCAGTCCCACCCGGATCTTCTGTTCTACCGTCACGGCGTCACATATCATCGTCAGCCGCCACACTGCACCGCTGGCGCGGCCCGCCGTGGTCGCGTAGGTCAGTTCTGCGCTGCCGGCGCGGCGCGCGCGGGGACGCTCGGACGGCCGGACACATCCTGGTGGAGCGGGCCGATCGGACTCGGCGTGCTGCACCGTGTGCAGAGAGCCAGTGCGGCCGCCGCGGGCACCCGGGCAGGACGTCGTGCGGCGAGAGGGGCGACACTGCAGGAACGCGCAGAGGACAGACTGGCCGACCGCGGGAGCAGCCAGTGGCCGCGGGACAACACGCCTCAACAGAGCCGGCACACGTCATCAGAGATCGCCATGATTTGGCTTCTGGGAAGCGGTGAGTTGCAATGGTTATCGGGGCACCGGCATCTAAAGGAATGGGGCATTGTTTGGTGTCGCATGATTTGAAACGTGGCTGCACTTCTACAATCTACATCCTAAGAGCAGAACGGCCATTAGCTCTCAAACTTGGTGCATCATTGGGGACACGCATAGAGGGGTGGCCAGCACTGAAGTCATTTGGGATCCCCTCTGCATGTGCACAAGTGAAGGTTCGCCTTTACATCTCATGATTAACACGGCATCGGGTCAATTATGTTACACTTGCCGTGCAGGGCTCAGTAAAGGCTCACTATTGCTCCTATTTGTCAGTCTATTGTTCCCGCAAAAGAGTCTTATTAGCTACAGAAACTGTGCGAATGCTCAGGACAATCTTGGTTAATGCTCACATGCCCCAAGCATTCACCCTTTCCATGTCCAGCTATCACTATCGTTTTCACCTCACCCCTTATGGCCAGTCGTTCAGTTCTCAGTAGGCATTGCATCAGATGCCGACAATCTTGACCGGACGTCCATGAGGACTTCGATAGTGCAACAGAACGTGCATGACGTTTCCGGATGAGGAGTCGGTGAATGGAACATTAGCCCATTTCCCCATTGAGGTACCTAAAAGTGTTGACCTTAGGTTTAATTTGAGGTCACGTAAGAAGAAGAGCTTTTAAGAGCTACATGGGTTGTTATCCCTTCGATGTTGAAGCTATATCACGAAGTATGCATTAATTCGATCACGAACTTAACCCTCGCCGGACCTATTGGTTCTCTACATACCTACGTCCCGGCCGAGGGTGAAGGGGCGGATGCGACCCCTCCTCGCCCCATTTTAAGCTCGAGCCCCGCGGAAAAAAGAGCGTATGCGCCGTTACGAGACGCATCGACTGGTACCCGGTTTCAGGTCAACTGGCTACCTCTGAGGTCAGGTCAAGTACCTACCCCAAGGTATGGGTTATAGGTTTTTTGTCAATAACATCGACAAAAATAGTCGCAGAGCACGATGTTGGCACCACCGTGTTCTCCATACTTAGGAGCGTCGAATATGATAAGCTTTTTGTTTAGGTAAGGTCAAGTTAAGGTCAGTTCACATCGAGGTCAAGGTCAGGTCGAGCCACTCAGGTCACGCAGTTGGTCGAAGGAGTGTAGTAAATCCGTTCCTTTTATCCTAATTATTTAACACAAGTTCAACACATATGCATTAATTTGGTTCCGTTCATATAGGTCCACACTCTCTTTAGGGCCTTGACACTCTCCGTCACCCTCAAAACCTATACAATAACTTTTTAAAATAGCGTCATATGCGAAGTCCCTAAACGGCACCTCACCGTTACAGCTGCAATAGCACACAATTCGTGTGCAATAAAAATACACACTTTTCGCAACAGGAGGTCATACTCATATTGCACATCGATTCGGCAGGTCTTGCCGAGTCCATTGGTGCCTTTCCCGTCTCGCTAGCTCGATTTGATCGGGAGTTACATAGTGACGAAGAAGTCCTATGACGGCGAGGGTTACCTAAAGGCTTGGGATAATTTCATCGTTTTTGATCTGTGACAATCCTCGCCCCGCTGGGGGGGGGGGCAATTTGGCCCCCCTGTGGTTTTTCCTGAATAGCAAGAAAACGGCGGCGCTCAGCGACGCCAAATTTTCAGTACCTTTCCGGGCATTAATTTCACACCTTCACACCAAATTTCAAGTCTTAGGTCACCTTAGGTCAGGAGTTATGGAGGTCAAACTGAGGTCATGTTCGAGCAAAAATGAGCAAAAAACATGAAATCGTGAAACGCTCACAAAAGTTACAGTTACCAAGCAATTTCAAAGTTCTTTATATGGTCATGTAGACAAAAGATAGCGCTACAAAACTGCTATCTCGGATTTTCAAAATTTTTGGATTTCGACCCCAAAAATTAAAAAGAGATTTTTTTAGCAAACTAAAAAAACGAATTTCGAAAAAAACCCGGAATATATGTGATAGTCCCTGCGCTCTTCTATATACATACCAAATTTTAGATCGATACCTCCTTTTTTGGCCAAGCTATAGCGAAAAAAAAAACTTCAAAATTGATAACGTCATATTTTTAAAGTCAATTTTTAGCAATTCTAGACCACGTAGCGCAAAACAAAAGCCACCATTGAACTCCCAGTGACGAGTTGCATTGAATCAATACCCATTTTATGCAAAAATATCAACTTTGAACTTTGACCTAATTTGACCTGACCTTGACCTGACCTTCACCGAAACATAATCTAAACTGACCCTAAAGACTGCCTGACCCACATAATCGTATTTGGCATATAAAATGGACCATAAAACATGCATCACATGATATTTTCATAATGTGACCCTCAGTGACCTGACCTCTGTGACCTGACCTGGTACCAGTGACCTCAAATAGCAAAATATGTGTTTGACGAACATTTCCCCATCGATGATTTTCAATGAAATGTACCTATTTTGCTCGATTTTACAACGCATTTCTTGAAATGCCTGTAAACGGTGAAAATTCGACATTTGACCTAACCTGTGGCGTCATCGGTTTGACCTAGGTCAACGAATTTGGGACACAAGGTAGTTCCCTGATAGGGCTATCCAACACCGTTTACCGCTTGTCGCTATGTTGCGTGGTTCTCGAGATCTTAAGGGGGGGCCAAATTGCCCCCCCCCCCCCTTAAAAATAATTGGTCGGCAGACCCCAGCGGGGCGCGGGTTAAGACGTGTCACAAATATGTACGTACGATTGGACCACCATTCCGTTCTGGCACGCGGATAACAAACGAGCAATCTCGACATAGCATCGATCCTAGCGCAGCCAGCTAGCACATGGCCACGTTTTCAGTGATCCCAATCACCATATTTTCACAGCACATGAATATTCAAAAATCCAGCACAATCACCGGCTCCTAAAAGTAAACTGCGAAGAAGTCAGCACTTTTCCCCGCAACTCGCAGTCCAGACGTAAATATGCGTGCGGTTTATTGTGTTGGCGGTTCCCATATAGGTAAGGATGTACCACAGACTTCTCTATATATGGACTGTGCGCTGATCCGAGGAAATCAGCATTGGAGGCCCAAAAATAAGTGCACTTTTATCCATCTTTTTACAATGAAAAGGGTGTCAGAATATTTACAAATTTGGATATAGGATAGCCCATACTTTTATCTACCTGTCGGATTACATTTTTTTTTTGTTGAATTCAAAATAAATAAGAAATAAATGTATATAAATGAGAACATGTTTTCTCGTTCAGTTAGCCATTTGTTCACGCTGGAGGTATATACTTCACAAATGCAGCCGTACTTTGCGCGCATTTTCTTGCTTTTGAATGTTGGTTGCATTGTTGGTTGTCGTTGCTAATTTGTCGGAACTATAGTCTGTTCCATATCAAGCTTGCAGTTGGAGTTTCTTCGGTAGATCGCTCCTCCGCTCAAGAATTTGCGTCTTAAAATGTAAGAGCTGTATATGCAGAAATCACGCACTGCTTTCAGCAGGGCACTTCGACTGCAAACTTGGAAAGAATATTATAAGGAAAGAATATTATCCATATTATCGATCACTACCTCATCACGACCGGATCAGAAAACGTGTGGTGCGAAGATATCATTCCGGGTATCAAGCCAGAGTCAGGGCAAGAAAAATGTGAAACGAAACATAATTTCTAGCAAAAAGGCAACTTTTTAGCCTCGCGTATAACTAAAAGGAAAAAATGTTCACAGACGAAACCATCAATCGAGATAAGAGATAACGCTGAGGACAATCAGATTTGCAAGTTTACTTTTGCAAACACTGACTCCTGTGAGACTCACACAGCAAGAAGAAAAACAGGACGCTATCGACGGCGCCAGTCTCAGCATACTTCCTATAATGCCTAGTGCCTTATTTTATTCTGGAGAAAAAAAGACTCACTGAAAGGAGCTACAAAGACAACTTGACCAGCAGTTAATGTGAAAAGAACAACTCGCCATCGCAGTTCGAAGCTACGCCGCGCTAAATAATGCCATACCCATGGCAGTGATACGCCACTACATCCAAAAGAAGTAAGCTTATTCAATCAAACAATGAAGTTTATCCAGTGTGTCGTATGGGGTTCATTATGGTCTGGATCAAATCATCTCGGAAGAATGCTCGACGAAATGATGGAATTCGTACCCTTCGCATCAATGTTAAACGATGAAGGTTGCCGCTCTTAAATGTTACCGCAAAACTTGCATCGGGATCGGGAAGCTCAAGAATACGCCAGTCTGCGAAGAACGGACGGAAAAATAGCGGTGGAGCAGAAACAAGATGCATAGGACTGATTGGAGTATAAGTAGCTGGGACAAACATCTGTGCCGGTGGTGGCCTGTTATTACAGGAACTTCTACTTTGGATATCTCAGGAAACTGGCAGGTCACCATTTCTAGGCCAGCTGTGGACATTTTTGATGGAGAAGCCAAGAAATGTGCCAAGGGCGAAGAGCATACGAGTACTGTAACTAACGAGCTACAGAATATGACGGAGGCGCCGGGGGCACTAATCGTTTGACCGAACGGGGAAGAGCACTCGATCCGCGCCCCGGTAGGTTACCTGTGCTCCAGCTGCCGAGCTGAGATGGTCGCCCTCCGAGCTGCTCTCTCCTAACTGCTTGAGAACCCGTCGAACGCCGAAGACCCATCGTAGCCTGCACCGACTCGCAGTCCGCCCTCGCCGCCATCCGAGGTGGCTGGGCCGCCCAGCACTCCTCGCTCGGAGTGGACATCTGGAGAGCCCCCTGGGGACTGACAGCTGGAGGCCTGTTGGTCTGCCTACAGTGGGTGCCCTCACAATGCAGGTTGGAGGGCAACGAGAGGGCCGACACCATCGCCAAGAAGGCAAACATACTCGACTAAAAACAAATCCTTATAGACGTCCAGAAGGCCCACTGGGCCGCCGCCAGAGTGGCGAGAGCTCGCACCGTCGGGGCCTGGCCAGCCGGCTAGTTCCACCAGCTGACGGGGATCGACTCCCGCCTACCGTTGCCGGCGGCGACCGGCCAGCGGCGGTGGACATCCACCAGCTCCGCGCCGGCCACTGGACAAGCTCCTCCCAATGGCGCCACAGAGTCGGGTTGGCGCCCTCCTGGCTGTCGAGGTGCAACCAGTGCGACGACCGACAATGCAGAGCCGCACTCTACCCGTCTGCTGAGAGGAGGCGGACAGCCCAAGCATGTCCTCCTGCGGTGCCCGGCTCTGATGGGCACCCGACATCGCCTGATGGCGACCATCAACCCCAACATGGAGGAGGTGCGGACTGCGGAGCGGCAGCATCGTGGTGGCCCTGGGGGCCGCCCACAGGTCCCTTCAGAGCTGCTCGGCTACGTCTCCATGGGACGAAGGGACACAATAAAAGCAACAATAGCTATAGCATGACAACGTGATGGGAACGACCGTCACAAGAGCTATCGCCTTATCATTCAGCAGCGAGTGGAAAACGAGCAGACGGAGGGATACGTTGCAATTGGTGATGCGCATGTGCGAATGTGTGAAAGTGCGACTATGTGTAGATGCGTGGTGCGAAAAAGTGGGTAGCAGAGAAGAACAGTGAAGACACCGTTGCAGCCGACACACATTTTCCCGTAAAGTCCCCCATCGGCATTACCGCCAACCTTTACCACCAGCGCGGTCGGTGCACTGTCGCGCGAGTTTGTAGCCAGCCATGTCAGAGATGTGAACAATCCAGCACACAGGGGAAGAAGAAAGGGGTGATAGCCACCCTTTCTCGCTGGATCCCGCGGTGAAAATGGACTAACGCCATTTTCAAGCCCACTGGGGCAATGTGAGATGAACTTGACATGAGGACATCAATGGGTGTCGATGAACGTGAAATGATGTTCCAATACAGATTCATATCGACCAGGAGCCTTTCTTATTCTGAGCTACGAGCAATAGATAGTACAAAAACAAAATATATTACATAAAATTCAGCCTGTCGACAGGAAACAATAAAAGGGTATTGTGTTACAACATATGGGTTCATATTACGGCTTCAGAAATTTGGGCCTCCAATGCTGATTTCCCAAATCAGCGCACAGTCTATATATAGAGAAGTCTGTGGATGTACATATTACATGTGTATTGTGTAATTAATAACCCATAACGTCTATATTTACTCAATAAAAATTAACTGATCCAGATCACACGTGCCCTTTAGGCCTATATAGAGACTACGTCCATCTGCAAGCATCAATCGCTAAATCACAAGGACCGAAGGTCCTGCCCGCGGCATAGCGAACGTCCTGTCACTCTGCTTCGGCTCGTGCAGCGGCAAGATTGGCTCAGCTTTACGGCCAGCAATATCAATTCACGCACGAAGTCTACGATGTGCGACGGCGATTTACGTGCTCATTTATGGGACGCGCAGAGTAATAACTTCCAACTCTGAGCCAGTCCTGCCCATATAGCCGATGATATTTCACCGAGTTGAAGTAAATTGTTATGGTAGCAGCGGCGGCACGTGCTTGCGAGTCCTGCCATAATGAGCGCGAGGACACGTGCGCCAGTTTAACACTCGCCCGTACAGGCGTTTTCACTGATTCTTGCATAACGACAGGATGGTTCGACCAAGTATAGTTTTGGGGTCGATCGGCCCCCCAGCCGCTCATCCTCTGATCGAATATGTAAAGGACTAGCGGAAAAACGAGCGTTTTGCCCATTACGAGAGGAAGACAAATGCTGACGGTACCTACTCAGTTGTAAGACCTTAGGTCAATGGTCAATCTTCCAGGTCAGGTCACTTCGCTACTCTTCGGTGAGCGACTGCCCTCGTCAGTGACCTCTCGCGGCCGAGGTTAGAGGTCATTGGGCTGAGCGGTGGCCGCGCCCTCGACATCTGATCACGGCGTGTGGCGGGCGAGTGAAAATGACACCTACACGCTCCCTGTGGGCCAAGAGCGTCCAGTCAGCGGTTCCACCGGGACGATCGCGACCCTGTGCTCCGATACCACCATGGACTCAGCACGCACCATCCGGCCCGCGGGAATTCGTACGGCTCGTCTGGCACTTTTCAGCGGCGATATCGGTGGCGCATAACATGCACAGTGATTGTGTGGCGCTAGACTCCTGCAGTCAGTGGTGGACTGACAGGAGGAGACTGCACTGCGCTGATACTGGTTTTAAATGTCTTCCAGTATCCAAAGAAATCACCAAATCACCAGCCTCAAAGTTTCCACCATTCAGATAATCACAATTAATCGACTGAGCCGGGCCTTTAATGCGAATCTTTATGCCCTTCAGATCTAAACCTTAGGCCGATCGGATCTATTCATGTGTCACACTGAAAACAATTTAACCTAAGGCTGGCGAGTAAACCGGTGTTTTACGGGTACCCCTATCCGCAACCATTTTTAACCACCCTCCCAGGAGTAGTGCTAGGTCCCATTGCGGTGTAGTCGTACTTGCTCTGAGCGGATATAACCGCTGTCAGCGAACAAGTCCGCTGAGAGCAGGGACGACTACACTGCAATGGGACCTTACTGTACTCCTGGGAGGGTGGTTAAAAATGGTTGCGGATAGGGGTACCTGCAAAACACCGGTTTACTCGCGGGCCTTGGGTTAAATTGTTTTCAGTGCATGTTTGCCACTTCGGCATTCTTTGACAGTACGAGCGACCCGTTCCCCAGCAGCCGCGCGTGCTCCCGGTGCCATGACCCCGTGCGGTGTACCCTGCCACAGTAGCGCTTCTGGTGACTGCGGCGGCGACGCTCTGCGTTCTGGTCGACTTCCTGCGCCGGCCGCGGTCCAACTCGCTCAGCCTGCGCAACCAGCTCGCCATCTATGGGATCCAGCGCTGCGTGGGCGTGTTTGGCGCCTACCAGGGCCGCAAAATGGAGCGTGACTCGAGACGCTTCATGGAGGTGAGCATATACGCGAGATGTAACATCAGTCTACGTGTTGAACATAACCGAGAGTCATTGCTTGGGGCCGATTGAGTCTTTGAATGGAGCCTCATCCCGTGACCCGAGGAAATAACCGCGGGGTGGCTCGCACGGCGATCACCACAGGTTAATGCGAAATTCGTCCGGAACGTCTATACAAGCGCAGTAAAATATGTGCAAACCCTATTCGGTGTAATAAAGTGGTTTTATGGCACACGATGACTTGTTCCAGTAGTACTGGCGAACATGAGCTAGGCATAACTTACGGACCATGTGACCCCTCTTCTTTACTGAACGTGTCTGATGCATTCGGTTCGCTAAGCTCATACGGCAAGCATTATATCGTTTCAGTCCCAAACCTATCTCTCTCTTGAGATATCTCCGCTCTTGAGATCACATACTGCCTTTTCATAGCGTCTTATGCCGCTGTTCTCCGAGCTCGCCTAAACTCCTGAGTCTGACCATTGTCCTGATATGTGCCCCGGTCAGGTGCAGCACGCGCTCATTTCAACCATCCTCCGAACTGGCGAGCGGACCCGGTACGGGCGTGACCACGGCCTGGCGCGGATGCGCTCCCTCTCCGAGTTCCGCGCCCGTCACCCTGTCACCGAGTACGGTCACTACGCCGCCTACGTGCAGGCCGTTGAGGCAGGAGAGGAGACGGCAATGTTCGGCGACGACGAGGTTTACCTGTTTGCCACCTCATCCGGCACGACTGGCTCCAGCAAGCACCTTCCGATGGGCCGGCAGCAGTTGCGGCGCATCATGCGCAACATCGCGCCGCTGATGGCCACCACGCAGGCGCAGTACAGCGGCGGCGCCATCGCGCCTGTCCTGGTGGTCACCTCGCGCGTGAAGCCGTCGCTGAGCACCTCCGGTAAGCGGATCTGCTCGCTGTCGCCGGTGCTGCAGGAGTCTCCGCTGGCGAGCCTGCAGTCGGTGACGCCGCCCTGTGTGACCGAGGTGGAGACGGAGTGGGCCGCCTGCTACCTGGGACTGCTGTTCGCGCTGGCCGAGCCCGAGCTGCACGCCCTCTTCACCAGCTTCATCTTCGTCTTCCTGCGGCTGATGGACGTGCTGGAGGAGCAGTGGCCCCGCTTGCTCTCCGAGCTGGCTGCAGGTAGGATCGAGGACCATCTCTCGCTACCGGAGCCGCTGCTGCGGCGCATCAACGAGCACCTCACCCCGGCACCGGACCGAGCCAGGGAGCTAGAGCCTATGTTCACGCAGGGCTTCGACCGCATCATCCCGCGACTGTGGCCTCGACTGCGCTTCCTGCAGGCAGCTCGCTCGGGGCTCGCCAGCGACATGTACCTGACGCTGGCCAGACGGTACATCGGGGACCTCCCCGTGCTCGACATGGCCTACTGCAGCTCGGAGGCGTGGCTGGGCATCAGCGCCGACCCGAGTGCCGCAGAGGTGCCCTTCACTCTCACTGCCGACTCGTGCCTTTACGAGTTTCTGCCCGTGTCGCACGAGGGGGAACACGCGCAGGCGACGTCCAATCCCATACCGGACGGCTCAGACGCCGGCGAAGGACCGAATGACAGCCGACTCCGGCGGAGGGGAGACGCCTCCTCCGTGACACGCACGCACAACGTCCAGGAACATAACAAGGAGACGGATGACCCGCGAAGGACGACCACTGACCGGGGCGAGTCTCATGACACTGCGGACGGAGGGGAGGACCTCCGACACCGCCTGCTGCTCGCCAACGAGCTGCGCGTGGGAGAAGACTACGAGCTGGTCGTGACTACCCGCTCTGGCCTGTACCGGTACCGACAGGGAGACGTGGTGCGCATCTGCCGGTTCCACAACCGGGCGCCCGTCGTGCAGCTCCTCTACAGGTGAGTTGGTGCTACCGCGCCCACCTGGCCGGGCAGGGTCATGGTTTGATCAGGGCGGTATACCGATGGAACCGTATACGGCCCTGGGTGGAACTCTTGATAATTTCTCACGCTGTTAGGAATCCCCTACCAACATGACTGTTTCTTAAAAACAGTCGCCAGTCGCCATTGTGAGGCCAGTAACCGTTTGACCGGAAATGAGATTCTGTAATGTCAACCTGCTTACTTCGCTGGATAGTGGATACCCGTTTCATGAGTTACTTGACACGGCTCACGTGTTGCGGAACCGTTCTCTCGGAAGTTCTGGCACCTGCACAACAGATTGCTTTCGGATACGGCCAGGTATGAATAAGATTTTCATGTCACCCGCAGTCACTTTGCAATGATGGCATTGCAAAGACTATGCTTATGTAGGCGTCAAACGTGTTTCGAAACGAAATCGGACGGGAGTATCCCGTATTTATGCACAGCATGTGACATACAGCTGTCAGCTGGTAATGTATGCTCTGTAAGCCGTGATTGGTTCAACACTGCATAAATCCGAACAGCGCCCGTGACCTAACGGCCGGCCTGGGTATATACGTGCGAGTGTCCGTCGCACCAGGCCGCTCCGACTGCGCCCATTGGTTGGAGATTGGTACGGGCTGGTTCGAAGGAACTGAGGCATTGAAACATATTTTTCATCAATAATGGCAACCAATTCAGGCGTCTCGAAGCGCTCTAATTCTTTCGGCCTCTTCATTCCCGACTAAATGTCCAAAATCGCTGTCCGTATCAGACTGCTCTTCCCGTCATCACACTTGCCACATGTCCGTCAAAACAGCACATCTCTAGCCCAAATTGTGCTAGCAGGAAAATGTTGTAAGTAGAGCACTTCACGGATAGGCTTTTTAGGATCCGACCCGGCCCATATCCGGCAAGTCATATCCAGATCCGCCCATTATCCGCCTTTCTTTGAATATCAGAATCCGGCCCACCCATGGCCCGTATTGCAGCCAAACTTCCAAAAAATATCCGTAATAATCCGTTTCACCAATAACTGGTTTCACCCAAAACTGGACTAACAAATTCAATCTAAGGGACCAGACAGCCATACAAGTCTTATGACAAGTGAGTGTCATAAAATGATGCCTATTACTTTAATCAAACCTCTGCTGCCGCTTAACACATTAGGTTAATTTTTAACTTCAATGTTGAATGTTAAAATTTTGATCCGTTTTGATCCGGGTTCAACCTTCAATTCCCAAATCCGGCCCGCCCATATCCGTTCTTTTTTAACAAATTTAGAATCCAATCCTATCCGGTCCGCGGATTTATCCGTGGATAACGGATTTATCCGGCCCATGAAGTGCTCTAGTTGTAAGTAATGTTATATAAGTAAATAATTTATTGTCAACTGCTAAAAGTGCGGCGGTGGCTCATTATGAACCGCGCGCGCACGATGTAGGAAAATGTGTGCCGACTGAAAGTTTGTGTCGGCTGGTTTTGTTGTTTTGTTGGTCTTGAGAGTCTCCAGCGCTAAATATGGCTTGGAATTTGGTTTAGTTCTTGGTTTGAAAGTTTGTGTTTTGCTCTGAATACCAAACATTTTTTATTCATTGTGTTTCAATCCACCACAAGCTATTTCGGCCTTATTCGTAATTTATCATTTAATTCAAATATCAAGCGAATAGCACAGTGAGCAAGAATGGCTTCACCTAGCTTCGACATCAGGTTAATACCGGAATTTGACGGGTCAGGTGATGTCGTAGACTGGCTGACCAAAGTCGAGATGGTCTGTAATCTACAGACCCCGCCGGCTGAGGAACTGATTGTCATCCCTCTGAGACTGAAAGGTGGTGCGTCTGCAGTATACCAGCAGCTCTCTGTAGAAGAAAGGAAGGACGTGACAAAGGTGAAAACTGTGCTGAAGCGTGCGTTCGCAGCGGACAAATTTATGGCATACGAGAAGTTCGTTGACAGAAAGTTGAGAGATGGAGAGTCGGTAGATGTGTATCTAGCAGAACTCAAGCAGCTGTCAACACTGTTCGGAGGTCTCAGTGAAGAAGGGCTAGCGTGTGCTCTTATGGCGGGCTTACCGGATGCGGTAAGGCAGATCATGCGCGCCGGCGCTCGCATGGAATCGCTGTCATTGACAGAGATAGTGGCACGCGCGAGAGCAATTCTCTGTGAAGAGCAGACAGTACCAAGCGCATCTGCTTTCCTCGGACAGACTCCCCGTTCGCAGGGCGTCTCTGCGATGCGAGGTCTCAACCCCTCGAGTAGGGTGGTGTCCAACCGCTCTCAGAATAACAGGTCAACCGTGTCTTCAAGGAACACGGGCCGCGGAAGACAGAGTATCCAGTGCTACCGATGCTCCGGATGGGGTCATATCGCCGCTGAGTGCCCGAGCCAGCCTCGCTCGGGAAACGAGCTGCGAGGAGAGGACTCAGCGCCGGCCTCTGCTCGGAATTGAAGTGGATGGGCGCGCTGCCAGTGCGATCACTGGAAGTTTGCGGAAAACAGTGCAATGTTCTTATTGACACAGGATGCACCCGCAGTATCATTCATCTGTCTGTCTGCCAATCATGGGAACGGCAACTTGTGAACGTTGCCACTGCAAGCGGCCACAATCTGTTGTGCATCGGAGTCGCGGACGTCAGTGTGCTCATTCCGGGGCTGAAGGCTGTGACAATAAGCGCACTGGTAGCGGAAGACAGGCCTCTGGGATTCCACATGGTGCTTGGAATGGACGGTGTGCAGGCGCTTGGTGGTGTCTCCGTCCGGTCTCCAACCGAGGTACTCTTCTGTAGCGAGAAGAACACCTGCGCTGGACTCCGAGAACAGAGTGTGTCGACATCGGGTGCGGCTGCAAGGTCACGCCAAGGCGCCTCGGCCCAGTCTCCGACTGAAGAACTCTGTCGCAGCGAGAAAAGGCCGCGCACTGAACTCAGTGAAGAGGCTCCTGACTCGACGACTGGCGTAGATGTGAAGCCACAGCTGTCCGTGGAGAAAGCTGATTTCCGGGCTTGGTTTGATGAGCGCCAAAGATGTTGGATCGTGTCCTGGAAGTGGTCTGATGGCAAAGCACCTGGAGTGCTACAAAACTGTGTGGCTCAGTATCGCATCTCAGCTGAAGCCAAGGCGGCATACGAACAGGAAGTGGCCCTTTGGATAAAAAATGGATGGCTTCTACCGTACGATGAAAGTGAGCTGGGTCCGCCAAAGGGATTGATCCCCATGATGGCTGTCGTGCAACTGAACAAACAGAAAGTCAGACCGGTGATGGACTTTCGAGAAATGAACACCCACGTGAACACTTTCACGGCAGATGCGGACGTGTGCAATGAAAAGTTGAGAGAGTGGCGCAAGCTGGGGAGAGACGTGGCGCTTTTGGACCTCAACAAGGCCTATCTGCAAATTCACGTGGAAAAGGAGATGTGGCCGTACCAAACGGTTATCGTCGGTGACGTGCGATACTGCCTGACGAGGATGGGCTTTGGCCTCAGCGTATCGCCCTGCGTCATGAAATCCGTGCTGGATCTGGTCGTCAGCCAGGATTCGGACGTGCAGCGGGCAGTGTCGACGTACATTGACGACGTGCTGGTTGACGAGGCCGTGCTGCCGGCTGAGAAGGTGGCCGAGCACCTGAAGCGCTTCGGTCTGGAGTGCAAACCGGCAGTAAAACTCAAGGACGGAGGCAGAGCTCTGGGGCTGAGAGTATCAGCGGGAACAGACGGACTCAGATGGAGACGTGATAATGAAGTCACGGGGATCGAGCTGCCACTGACAAAGCGAAAGATATTTTCATTCTGCGGACGTCTCACAGGGAATCTGCCCGTATGTGGCTGGCTCCGACCAGCTACCTCGTACCTGAAACGACGCGCGAGCGCGCTATCCGAGAGGTGGGACGATCCCATCGAAGACAGTGAGGTGAAGAACATGGTTCAGGACCTGTTGGAGAAGGTGGCAGCAGATGACCCAGCGAAGGGCAGATGGGACGTGTCTGGAAGAGATGTCACAGTCTGGACTGATGCAAGCTCGTTGGCCCTCGGGGTAGCACTGGAAGCAGACGGCGAACTGATAGAGGACGGCTGATGGCTGAGGAAAGACGATGGGACGCACATAAACGTCGCAGAACTGGACGCAGCTATCAAAGGAGTAAATCTGGCGATATCATGGGGAGCCAAGAAGGTTGTCCTAATGACAGACTCCCGCACCGTATATCACTGGATATCAAACTCATTGAGCGGAAAGATGAGGCTAAAGACGAAAGCCGCGTCTGAAATGCTCATCCGAAGACGTCTCTCAACTCTGCAGATGCTGGGTGAGGAGTACAGACTGGACATGTCTGTGCGAAGTGTGACCTCTGCTGCCAATCGTTCCGACAATCTCACAAGGGTGCCACGCAAATGGCTGAGTCCAGAAGGGAAGACCAAAGCGCCAGGTACTCCGCGAGGCGCCACTGAAACCAGAGATCCAGAAGCAGGGAATGACAAGCACAGAACCCTGTGTGCCGCGATTGGAACGACAGCGAGGAGTGATTCCTGTCAGATCGCTGAAGCTGCTGTACAGCGGGAAGAGGACGGTATCTCTGCGAACGAGCCCGGTGTGACTGGTGTCGCAGCCGTGGCAACAGCCGTGCAGTGTGAACAGGACCGCGTCGCTCAGATTCATGCTGATGCCGGCCATCCCGGAATCAGAAGAACGCACTTCTTCGCTAAACGTGTCATGCCCACGGTCACAAAGACCTGTGTCAGGAACGTCGTGACGAGCTGTCAAGTCTGCCAGTCGATCGATCCTGCCCCTGTCAAGTGGAAGAAAGGCGAACTCAGTGTCAAGCAGGTCTGGACAAGACTTGGGATCGACGTCACAGAGTACCGCGGCAGATTATGCCTCACCATCATCGACTGCGGCCCAAGTCGATTCACCATTTGGCGTCCACTGAGACTGAAAACAAGTTCAGTTCTGGTGGCCGAGCTACGCTCCATCCTGTTGGAGAGAGGAGCGCCGGATGAAATCCTACTGGATAACGACCCAGTGTTTCGAAGCAGGCGTTTTGGTGCATTTGCTGCAGAGTGGGGCGTGCGACTGACGTTCCGCTGTGCCTACGTCCCGTCCGGAAACGGTGTCATCGAACGCGTCCACCGCACCGTCAAGACCATAGCAGCAAGGAAGGGATGTGATATCTCAGAAGCTGTGTACATTTACAACATGACCCCGAAAGACAACAAGACGGACAACTCGACGCCAGCGAACCAGCTGTATCGCTACAACTGGAGGACGAGTCTGCCACACTCCGACCCTTCAGCGCAGCAGGAACCGGCTGGCGGGTACCGCCCGCCAAAAGAAGCGTACGAGCCCGGAGATGCTGTCTGGGTGAGGCCACCCGGCGCGCGCTGTCACACACAGTATGAGCAGGGCGTGGTGACACGCACGCTCTCGGAACAGGCCGTGGAGGTGAACGGAGTGCCCCGCCACGTCCGAGAGCTGCGACATCGGCTCCAACAGGACCATGAAGCTGAGGATGACAGTGACTCAAGCGAGAAAGGACCCATGCTGGTGTCCCTCCCCGTCAGACAACCAGAAGTGACGCCACAGTCCGAGACCGCCCCGGTCACAGGTCGAGACCGCCCCGAGACCGTTTTGCGGCGATCAGAGAGGCTCCGAAGTCGTGCCGCTCGTGAATCACAGGTGTGATATATGATTTGATGTGTCTTGAAAGACAGGGTGAGGTGTGCTAGCAGGAAAATGTTGTAAGTAATGTTATATAAGTAAATAATTTATTGTCAACTGCTAAAAGTGCGGCGGTGGCTCATTATGAACCGCGCGCGCACGATGTAGGAAAATGTGTGCCGACTGAAAGTTTGTGTCGGCTGGTTTTGTTGGTCTTGAGAGTCTCCAGCGCTTAATATGGCTTGGAATTTGGTTTAGTTCTTGGTTTGAAAGTTTGTGTTTTGCTCTGAATACCAAACATTTTTTATTCATTGTGTTTCAATCCACCACACAAATTCAGCCCATAAGACACATCAGTTGTCCCTGCCAGTTGCCACCCCGCCGGGTGCTGCCCCCGTTATCCCTAGCCATCACCTCACTGCTTCCCTCCCCCCCTCTCCGACAGACCTCAGCCCACTGATGCCTCATGTAATACCTCCACTCCCTTTTCAGCCTCTACTTCCATCTCTGCTACGCCCCGTTGTAGCCCCTTTTACTCCAACCCTTACCGCTCCCCTGTCATCTCCCTTTCTCCCTCAAAACCCCACCGTTTCCCCACAGGACGGGCACCAACCTGAACATCCACGGGGTGAACATATCCGGCCTGGCACTCTACAGCGCTCTGCGGGCGGCGGCGGAGCGCTGGCCGGGTCGAACGCTGCTCGAGTTTGGGACGGCTGAGAGCGCACTGGACGGGAGCCGGGCCGGGCTGCCGCCACATCACCTCATGTTCGTGGAGCTCTGCGGACCGCGGCTCACCGAGGCAGAGGCGGCACTGGTGAGGGAACAGGAGTGGAGGGAGAGAGGGAGTGGAGGGGAGAGAAGTGATTGAAGATGAGCACAGGTGGGATGAACTGCTTTGGGTTGGTTTACAAATGTTACGATACACAGTGTATGCGGGTGTATGTATAACGGTGCCATTATAGTCAGCCCCGTGTCGCCCCTCCCCCCTGTAGCAACTACCCCCCAGGCCGCACCACAACCCTGTGTCACCCTACCCCTCCCCTGCCGCAGCTGGACACCTGCCTCCAGTCTCTATCGGAAGGCTACGCGCTGAAGCGGAAGGAGGGGGCCATCGGCGCCATCCAGCTGCTTCAGATGGAGCCGGGCGTGTTCCTCAAGCTGAGAGACAACATGGCGGCACGCGGGCAGGCGCACTGGAGTCAGCTGAAACGACTGCACATCCTCCGCCGTGCAGAGGACGTGGAGTTCCTCATGAAACACGTGCTGCCACCTATCGAGTGAATGTGGAGGTTGAGTCTGGACTCTGGTGAAACGAACTCTTGAACGACGCGATTGTTCGGTACTGCTTTGTGCTTGCGAATACGGTATTACGATTCCTATGCTTGCTATGCTCTTATTTTAAAATGAATGACAACCATGGTCATGAAAATAGCGTGTTTAAGGACAGCGTTCGGGTATTAGACATAAGGCAACATAAAGTGACGAAACTGGCTAATAGACTAGTATGCATGGGTTGAATGCGTTCAAGAGATTCGTGGAAGCTTACTAGCATCTAGAATGTCTTAATGGGCGTAGCTATGTACATTTTATGTGTGTATGACCGAGCTTCTTTTGTCGCATTTTCATCCCTAGTTCGAACCCTCAATCGCACCCAGACCTCTGTCATCTGTGTAACGGTCAATACCTCAATGCATCAGAAATACGTCATTCTAGCTTAGTTTTACGTGGTTTCTACAAATTAAAGGCAGTAGCGGTATGCAGGGCGTTCGAACGTATCTTTTGCCAGTTTGGGTATGCCACGTTTCCTTCGCTCGACTAACTGGCGAATATTTGAAAATAACATGGGAAGCCCGGCCGTCCGGAGCGTCCTATTGACCTCATATGTGACGTCATTAGGCTTGATATCGAGAATACACAAGAAGTGTACAAAATGAGTGTAAATCGTTTCCTTAAAGCCTAGCCTTCTTCCCATACCAACCCACGCATCACAGTCCTTTTCCCCAGTCACTGTTTATTAAATTAGCAAAGCTTAGTCAATACAAATCTGAGCACTCGGGAAAAATATGTCCTTGTCCACGATAATACAGACATTTGATGCGCTTCTTCCTGCGCGATACAACTAACGAAACGCAACACGTCTTAACCGTACGCCGATTGGGCACAACCCTAGGCACCTACAAAAATACCATCAGAAATACCATAAACCGTATCACCGACCGGGATATATGCTCCATCATAGTGGCTCCTAATAAACAAACACAACGGTCGACGGTAGCGCCAACGGCGGCCCATAGAACCGCCTCGGGGCACGGCCTGTTGACCCCAGTCGGCTCACTGCCGCCGGCAGAGTCCACTTCAAACGATACCGCGCGGGGGGGGGGGCTGGAGGAAGGGGGATAGGGAGACGGGCGGGAGACGACAGCTCGTGACGACATGATGGAACGAACGGGGATTATCAGGCGTGATTTGGATTGTTTCAACTGCAAATTGGTTTCCATAAGAAAACACGCACCATGGATTGCATAACCTTGACACGGCGAGGGAACATTGGTCGCATGTCACGCTACACCCTGTTACGGCCGGTGTCACCACTAGTCCGCCCGTAACCCGTCCCAGGCGCAAACGACAACTCACAGAGCCCCTTGTACCCACACCAGCACCCGGCAAGTTTTGTCACAGTCGCTCTTACCACAACCCCGATACACAGCGCGCCAAAACGGGAGCAGCCAGTCCCGCACGACAGGCGCTATTATGCACAGAATCGCTTGCATCCAAGCCGGCCCGACACAAGTGTCGAGAAAACCCAGTCGATCGTTGAAGTCGATTATCAAACCCAGTCGACCCATCGATGAAAGGGTCGAACACAGTGGAATGTCGGTTTGGGGACGGTAGGGGACTACAGTGGGGGAGGCGGTCACGCAAAACGTTCGGCTCTGAGAGCCACTCAGATAACCACTTCGCGTCGGACAATAGCATTTCTTCAGGCACATTTAGTGCATATTCAGGGATTCCGAACGGAAGGGAACACAGTCTCCTTCCTTGTCTTAAAGAAAATCGAACTACTTTGCGGTCAAAATGCCTTTCATGTTTTCAGAGGGATGGGGAGGGGCACCACCCAACTAGGAATGTAGAGCGGGGTCGGTTCGGGGGCAGCATTATGTGCCCCTGTTGCGGAGCCAGCTCAGGCCCCTCGTCAGCCTTTGGACAGCCTTCGGTTCGGAGCCGCCGGCGGGGTGCCACACGGCGATATGCTAATCCGGGGACAGTTTCCATCGTTCGCCAATGGGAAACGCGGCGCAGCAGCTGTCCAGACCGGGAAAAGGGGCGTATAAAAATAGGCGCTACAGTGCGTTTGGCACCCTATTTTAGTTGGAAGGTGGTGCGTTAGGGAAACGTGCACGCGCGCGGGCTGCACGGCGCCGCCAGGCAAGAAGTCTGCCGCTGCGACACCTGGCGATAGTGGCGCCACGGCTGTGCAGCGGCGACGGCTGGAAGCTCGGTCCGCCCGCGGCTGCCCTCAGAGACCCTCCCGGGTTACAGACGGCACTGCAGCGCCGCATCGCCCTGAACACAAATACCCAGGCCGAGCCGGGAACAGTCCCCTACACGGTACAGCCCACCCCTCCCCACTCAATACGGCAACACCCTCCCCAATCGCCGCGTAAACCCCGAACGCGCCGCCGCGGCCCAAGGCAACAACGATTGACGGCACGCTGCCGCCGCTCGTTAACACCCACACCGCGACCTGGAAGCCGCATTTAACTAACCCGCCCCGCGGCCGGCTCAGCCGCGGCCCCGAGCCGCCAGACCGACCGACAGAGCGTCAGTGGGAGGGGTATAACACGTGTAAGAAGTGTAGCATGTGGGAGGACGTGTAAACAAAGCGCGAAAATGTGTGTCTACTGTGAAAAGTGCTATCAAACGTAACGTGAATTTCCTGGCTGTGTTTTTGGCGTGTGTCTTTGTGGTTGCCTGCACGTTTGGGTGGAAGTAAGGGCAGAAGGAAAACAAATGAGAAATCGTTCGTATAGGCGTGTGTGTATACACGGGTGCACCTTTTGCGTCTCGGCGGTGGTGTGTCCTCTGAGCTCAACACTGCGCGGTGTGTTTTGGTGGCGGCTGCGGGGCGGGGCGGGGCGCCGGCGCTTAATCACCTTCGGCTAGTCCTTCCTACTCTTCTTTTTCTTCTTGTTGGGTTTCTGCTCGGTCCAGGCATCTGAGAAAGAAGGGAAGAAGAGGTCAGAAGTCGGTAATGACAGCCGACAGCAGACATCGCGACAAAACACGGCAGGCGTCCGAAAGAGCTTAGGACTCCTCGGAAAGACATGATAGGTCCAGATTCACAGCAATATCCAACTCTGCCTTACCATTCCTTTCCCATCACAGGCAAACTATCGGTGTCCTCCCCCCCCCCCCCCCTCCGCCCGGGTATAAGCCCTCCATGAGAGCCGACGTCAGCTGACAGCCCGCGGTTCACCCCTGACCTATGAGTAACACAGCGGTGGACATTGCAGTGACACCGCTCGGACGCCAAACCGGAACCACAATACCGGACGGGGGCCTAGTCACCAACGGTGACATTGAGGCGTAGCGCAGCTGATATTAGTGCTACCAGCGGGATATTGAGCGCATCAGCCAAAGCATATTATGCTTTACAATTATACATCACATCACTAATCACAGTCATTTCATACATCACTGAGACAGCACTTCCTGGCCCACTAGTCAGTGGTACACAATGTGTACCACTGACTAGTAATAACGTCATACAGTAATGTCATTTATACTGACTGTTGCTCATTCCCGCAACTCACCAATCGTCACTGACTCTCTCATCTCACGCAGAAACTCGCTCCCACCAGTCGACCCACACACGGGCACACTCACCTCCCAACTCGTCGAAGGCCACGTTCTCTTTGGAAGGCGCCGGCTCGGCGGCCGGTTTGCTTTTAGCCACAGGGGCCGCCTTTTCGGCAGGAGCTGCAGGCTTGGCGGCCGAAGCGGCGGGAGCGGGGGCGGCGGCGGGGGCAGCCGCCATCTTGGTGATGTCTTCACCAGCACGCAGGCGGGCCATCATCTCCTCAATGGGAATGGGCTGGGGAGGGAGGAGCGGGCGCGTTAGGCAGGGGAGAGTTTCCCCCTCCCCTAACCGCACGCGTCGGTTAGGGGAGGGGGACGCACGCGCGGTAGGTCAGGGGAGGCTGACTCGCCGTGGGGAGGGGTGGGCGAACGGCGATAACAGTGTCATCAGGACGTCTGATATCGCCGCCCAGCAGACAGCGCGCAGCTGTATCAGTATAATCGCTAACAGGGGTGCGTGGTGATACCGACTGACGATTGCTGCGGTGATACCGGCACACTAGTTATAGGTGCGATGATACTATCACACTACAGTCGCCGTTGCGTCGTAGCGCGATAATCGCGTAAACGCGGCTTTGTTGACCGCAGGATAGCCGCAATGCGACATGACGTCAGCGCCAGTGAAAGACTAGTATGTTTCAGCAAACACACTAAGTACAGACTGTGCTGTTAAAGCTCTCCTAGTGTTGTTGCTTAACAGGCGATGATGCGCACAAACGAGAAACAGAGAACTGCGCACGCACAATTGACGAGGGTATATGAAAAAGCATAGATAACATGAATCATGACATGATTCGTGTTATCATGAAAAAAAGGATTAATAATTTGCTGCACTGAATATGTTCAAAGAAATAAAATCGGACGACGAGCCTATAGTTCACATCGGACTGCTTAAGACCAAAGGAGCGGATCTCAATCAGTCCGATGTACCGCAAATGTGACGTGACCGTACATATAACGTTTCGTGAGCGTGACCATATTTTGTCAAACGAATTGTATTCCACCCACCCTGGGCCATGACTGCACCCCACCCACCACGGACCACCGCATTTTACAAACCCGGCCCCCGTATTCCATCAGACCCCAACCCACCGTAATCTGCGCGCCCGACCCACCACATTCTACCCGCCTGACCCACCGTTCTCCACCCATACCGATTCACTATCTTCCACTTGGTCCGACCCACCGTATTTCACCATCCAAATCCCCAGTTTTCTTCCCACACCAACCTACCACCCGTCCTGACCAAAGTCTCACCTTCGGCGCCTCCGTCTCTTTCGGCGGCTCCGGTTTCGGTTCCGCCTTCTTTGGCGCCGGTTCCACCTTCTTCTGTGCCGGCGGCTCTGGCTTTGTCTCCGGGACCGGCTCAGCCGCCTTGGCTTCGTTCTGACGCATCACAACCGACATCGCCTCCTCCAGGCTCAGAATCTGAGAGAAACGGTGACAGAACATCAATACCTACCCATGCTTGACAAAGCACCATATGACCATAACAGTGTTCGTTATCTTTGATGCATCAAGCGCCTTGATTTCACAGCGGAAAATAGAAACAAGTGCAAGTAATAGAACGTTCTCTTTTATGTAAGCAATGCCAAATGAAGTAAACTAGCTCGGTAGGTGGAGCTTGAACTATTGCTTTCATGATACTACGACACAGTTGTTCATTTCCGTAATGATATATACCTACGTAGTTGTATACGTAATGACCCATCCACTTATCAAACGGCGTTTACGTCAACAGAAGCCAACACTAAAACGACCACTATCCAGCAAATAAATCACGGTGTAAATGTCATCCAGCAGTCACTATATGGCTCTAAAACCATCCGACCAGGCTCTCTCCCTGACCTACCCGCTTTCCGTTGCCACTGCCAAACAGGTCCTCCTGAGTGAGCTGGGGCTCGGGTGGCTTGGCTACCTCGGCGGCCGCCCCAGGCTCCTCCTTCTTTCCCTTCTTCTTCTTGGAGACGGTGGTGAAGTCGTCAAACTTGGACTTGGGTCTGTCGGGGAAGGAGAGCGGCGTCAGCGCAAATGTCAGCTGCGCGCCGCAGAACATTGTGATGACACTCGAGTTGGGTACAGGACTGTACACGCCGTTTTAGGTCTATTGCATTACACAAAACCGTACAAAGGGGATAACTTAAAATTGCAGTGTCTGAAGATGACTTGCTCATCAAATGAATTTAAAGGATCCAAGAGCTGGTAGCACTACGCTGTTCAGACGTGCTAACTCAACAAGTCATCAGCGCTTGAAACTTAGATGACGTATTTGGATGACGTAGCCGCGACGCAATCAACGCCAAATGCGTTATATACACATAGCCATGTATCTAATCTAATGCAGCGTTATCAGAGTAGTCGTCATCAGTGCGTCATCATATCGTAGCTGTGACGTTACTGATGCGTCAGTAGAGCAGTTGCAAACGAATCGGGAAGCCACTTGAACACTATCAGACATGCAGCAACAAACCGCAGTTTTTGCGCGACTGCGAAAAAGTTTCTTTAGTTATGGGCGTCATCACATCAGCGAAAATTACACCCGGAACTGGACAATTTCAGAATTTTATCATAGCAATAAAAAGGTCAAGCTATGTTCTGTGCATGTGGCCTAGTGACTAGATAAAACCATGTAAACGATATCATGTACCGAACACTTTCCCAATTCAAAGACTCTGAAATTATATTGTTTTGGCATCGTGTGGCGCTGGCGATGGCGAATACTGACGGCTGGCAGTGACCACATTCACTATCCCTACACTTCAAGCCACTGATCGTATCTATCCTTTGCACTGCGTACAAGGGTGCGTAAGCAGCTACAATCCGCCACCGGTAACGGATTCCGGAGTAAACCGGAGCGAACCCGGACTTCACAAAGGCAAAAAAAATACGGCGACAGACACGCAAACATGACGCAACGGTCCGGTGCTCTGAGGTGCGTCAGCGGACCTGTCGGCCGACCTGTCGTCGACACCGAGCGACAAAACCGGTCCCCGACATCGACACTAAATATCGTCAGCTGCTTTCGAGCTGATCGGCCACCTCGGATCGGCATCTTCCGTGACAAAAAAAAAAATCATTTGGCTTTATCGGCATGCAATGCTGATCACGGTTCAGAGGAGACGAGCGTTGCTGACAATTTTATTGTTTTTTTTTCTTCTTTCAATGAGCCCAGGAATGTCTTTCACGAAACCAGTTTGTAAACCAATAGTAGCAATTATAATGCTACACTGTTTATGAGAAAACATCGTTATCGTACCGGTAAACGCCAATATGTCACCGGTGACTTCCTCCAAAGGTCTCATTTGAATGCTGACAGTAAGTGGCATTTTAAACTTATAGGTTTCCCGTCGGGATGTCAAATGCCCCTGGCACTGACCGCTGAGCGACTGAATAGCCAAGGTGGTACGGCTAGGATGTGTGACACAGAGAATAATACGAAAACATTTACCGAGTGACCCCGAATGGGTTAAAATAAGACTATAAAACGGCGAAGACCAAGCCAGTGTCATAAATCATCTTACGTGAAACTAAATATGGTCTTGGTATATCAATTCTGTTGTTCAGAGATAACGGATCCCACAAGACGGTAGATGCAGTTGCAGCATTGCTACTACTCACGCTTTCTGGGCTGGCTTCTCAGTGGCATTGGCAGTAGCTGGCTTCGCAGCCGCCTTCTCCGCTGGCTTGGCGGGCTGCTTCTCAGCCGCCTTGGCAGGCTGTTTCTCGGCCGGTTTCTCAGCAGCCTTAGCAGGCGCCGGAGCCACGGCAGCGGCAGGCTCCTTGGCCTTGGTCTTCTTCTTTTTCTTGGTCTTGTTCGGAGAGGCATTGGCGATACCAGAGTCTGAACGACAGAACAGGGAAGATGCGTTACAAAAGAGAGCCATGGAATACCTTGGGTGTCGCATAATGAAAGTGTCGTCTCAGAAGGTACGGTCAAAGTGAGGTACTTCACCGTACCGCACTTCCAACAACACAAGATATAATATGACAATCGCGCGATCATTCTGTGACCGTGGGCCGATGTAAAACCCAGCTAGCACGAAATAGGGAAGATCGGTAAGATACATTGTCGTTCTTACCAATAAATGAGAAAGCTAGCTTGAAATACACCCCGGAATGTTATTCATAAACCACTTTCCGTTACAATAGCATCACCAAACGGTTGTGCTGGTTAGAGCCGTTCTCACAAAGGAAGACAATTTCCTGTCGTTCGCGGAAAATTCCGGGAAACATTTCCTGAATCAAGCTGAACCAGACGCAGACAAAGCAAAACAACTGCAGACGTTGGATGGTAGTTTGCTACCAGGAAGTAAGTATTGCGGTCTTTGGCTCTGTCAACCCTAAGGTATGTTCACATTCCCTTCGCAACCGAACCCTATCACAGTACCATTGATGAGAGTAAACAGTACAAGTCAGAAACGCAACGGGGAAAAAACGAAAATGCTGTCTCAGGTAAAGTAAATCGATATCACAAATGTTTGGTGACTATTTTTGCCTTCATAATATCGACTGACTGAACCGATGATTGTGCTAAAATTGGTGAATTGGAAAGCCAGAACTCAAAACCAAACCACACAAAACTCTGCCGCATTTTGGGAGAATTCCAGATTTTTTTATCGAGCATTTAACGCGTTAATATAGGTACGCGGACAGTCTGACCAGCCTCAGAACAAACTTTTTAACAGCCCTAGCCATGGTCAATAAAAATGGTAAAATTGACCTTATGCTCATAATATCGGATAAATTAATTGAAAAAAGGTTCAGAATATATTTTCGAACTTGGTTCTTCTTCTGGTTATTTTATTTTATTTTATTTTTTGTTCCACCGAAGAAAAACCAAGTTCAAAAATATATTCTGGACCTTTTTTCAATTAATTTATCCAATATTTTGAGCATAAGGTCAATTTTACCATTTTTATTGATGACAATCATGCTAAAAGAAACGTTGTACCATATAAAACTATGTTAGCCATGGTCGTTTCAAATCACAGTCACAAAGAAACTGCAGGTGCAAAAGAGTTTCCGGTCGCGGGCTGTCCCCTTCCGAACTATTGGCTGATGGTTCGTTGATAAACGAGTCCAGAATTGATATGTTGAAGCTAATGGGTTACTGTAGCTATGGCCTATGAATGCTACAAATGTGATCAAACTGCAAAATCCCACTCGTATCCACCATTTCTCCCAACACCATTGCAGCCCTTCACCCACCTGCTGAGTCCTCGGCCTTGGCGTCTCCGGATCCGACCAGCGTCATCGCCTCGATGGCGGCTGCGTCGGGCGCCGGGTCCGTCTCGGTCTTCTTACCGCGCCGCGACGTCACCTGTTCCCAATCGTCCGTCTTCTCGCGGCGCTCCTTCGTCTTGGCAGCCTTCTCGGCCGGCTTCTCAGCGGCCTTCTTGGCCGGAGCCGCGGGCTCGGCCTTCGGCTTGGCGGCGGCAGGGGCGGGAGCGGCGGCGGTGGTAGTAGAAGTGGTGGTAGCTTCTTGAGCATCCTGCTGTTTCTTGGCAGCCTGCCAGGAGAAGCAAAAAGTCACCATGTGAGCCTATCAGAGATGGGGACATATTTTCTATTGGAAAGTGCAGGACATTGCGCCAGAGAGCTGACATCCTCAATGCCTCAAGCTTTACACAAGATCACCTTAGAGTATCTAGCAAAGGATTTAACTACTAGTATTAATGAGCATATAGCTTGTGTTTATGATTGGCTCAAAGACACTTGGAAATAAGAATGCATTGACAAACTTAACATTGTATAAATGTAGCCAGATATCCATTTCACAAGGAATGAGTGTGTTAGTCTGCAGTTTTTTCCAATTTTAGCCCTAATATACCTAGGTTACTGCCTTTTGGTCATATGGTAATAGCAAAATCTAATGAGCTTGCTTGATGCAGCCTAGTGCAGAGTTGGTGCACCTGGTTGGTACATTCTTATGTGATTTTGCTTCCCAACTAATGATAGTGGTACGCTTACTCAAGACGGCGACGATGTCGGACGACCAGGAAAGGACATACCTAGTTAAGAACATCGGTGACCTCAATTGACAATTGACATAATTTGCTATCTGGTTGCTCCCATCCCATCACTTTTTCTTCACTACCTATTCCCCTTTACCTATATTTAATGCACATAGGCAACCTTTTCCACAACAAGTGAATGATACAGAGAGCAGGTTGACAGAAATAAAAGATAGCTGGAGAAAGATGAAGAGAGATTTATTTCATTGGTTAGAGGCATGGAGAGGGAGAAAGGACTAGGAAGGAATGGAGGGACAGAGGGAGGAAAGAGGAAGAAGAAAGAGAGAGAGGGAGAGAGGGAGAGAGGGAGAGAGGAAGAGAGGAAGTGAGAGAGAGAGAGAAGAGACAAGAGACAAGAGACAAGAGAGAGAGAGAGAGAGAGAGAGAGAGAGAGAGAGAGAGAGAGAGAGAGAGAGAGAGAGAGAGAGAGAGAGGAGAGAGGAGAGAGGAGAGAGGAGAGGAGAGAAGAGAGAAGAGAGAAGAGGGAAGAGGGAAGAGGGAAGAGGGAAGAGAGAAGAGAGAAGAGAGAAGAGAGAGGCACTAAGAAACAGAGAGACACATAGACAGAAAATGAGTGAAATGCTGCACAAATGCAGAGAATCAGAAAAGGTTAAAACTTCCTGCTGGCCCCTTACAGAAAACTGGTTGCCTGTGCTATGATCCAGGCTCTGATGATTGCAGTTGGGGGAGGTTTGGTCAATGGTTGTCATTTTTAGCACATGCCATTTTTGGCAACCATGTGCTAAAAATGACAACGCTATCAGCTATTTTTAGCAACGATGAAGCCGATTTCACTCCTCAGCGAGGAAATCACGATTTTGGAAATACAAGCACTGATTTTGGAAAAGAAGTGCTGCCACCTGGTGCAAGAAGAAGAAACCAGCTTTAATATGGCCGTTGTTTGTATGGTAGTCCAACGTTGAAGTATACCCTTTTTTGTGGCCCGAAGTTGGAACTTTAAATTGAAGCATCCGAAAACGATCGATATTGATCGAAATCATGATGTTGATGAAAAAAATAATATGTTAAGTTGAGAGAGGAGGCCATTTTATCCAGATGCGGTGGTTTACTTCTTGAAATTATTTTTGCTTACGACGACTGCCATGTAATGAGGGATAATTAGCAGCCGTCATTAGCAAAAATAATTTCAAGAAGTAAACTACTGCATCTGGATAAAATGGCCTCCTCTCTCAACTTAAAATATTATTTTTTTCATCAACATCATGTTTTCGATCAATATCGATCATTTTCGGATGCTTCAATTTTAAGTTCCAACTTCAGGCCACAAAACAAACTACCATACAAATAACAGGCATATTAAAGCTGGATTCTTCGTCTTGCACCAGGTGGCAGCACTTCTTTTCCAAAATCAGTGTTTATCTTTCCAAAATCTTCATTTCCTCGCTGAGGAGTGAAATCGGCCTCATCGTTGTCAAAAATAGCAGAATCGTTGTCATTTTTAGCACGTGTGACAAAAATAGCACGTGCTAAAAATGACAACGATTGACCAAACCTCCCCCGACTGATTGTGAGCAAAAAAATCCATACCAATTGAAAATAAAAGTAAAAGCACAGATGCACCACCAGTGTGCAACAATTTTGCTCATTTTAAAATTGTGACTGACCAAATACAAGAGTGAAAGACATACATGAAGTGAAAGATAAATGTTCATAAAAATAATAGCTAAGTTGACAACCTGGAAAAAATGTCAAAAAGGAATGAAGTATGCCTACCTTCTTTTCACTCTTGGACTTCTGCTTCTTCTTTTGCTGCTTCTTTCCTGGTTCCGTTGCTTGCAGGTCCAGGAAAACTGGCTCTGCTACTTTGCGATTGAAACCAATGCCATATATGAAGATGACAACGGCAAGAAGCACCACAACAGTTGGTGACATACCAGGGAAATAAGCTAAAATTAGAGCGCTCTATTTATTGCTCCTGCCCCATGTTGAAGAGATACCCCTAAAAGCGTGATCTTTTATCGGCCCTTACGCAGCAAGGCAGTAATTCTCAGACCGGTGGATGGTATCAATAGAAAGAGAATGCGTCAAAGATTAACATGAATTAATTAAAATAACATTGAAATGTTAATTAAGCGTGGAAATTAGTCCCAAACATAAGCTTATTATTGCTCCTACCTCGGCGACGGCGCTCCCCGCAATCAGCGGAGAAGCTAAAATATAAGCCACCATCCTCCTCCGTAAGTCAATTTTAGAGCGGCCGAGTGGGCCGATGCGGGGCCACCAAACTGAGGTGAGACGTGGCTAGCAATTGCAAACCGACATAGAAATCAATATCTTAAGGCGTACAATATGGGATGATTACTCTGAAGCTGGAGTGAAAGCATGAATAGATTGAAAGAAACGAAATGCATAGATTGGTTGAATTATGTACAATAGGCACAGCTCAGATGAAGCCATTTCTATGATGTTGACGTATGACATAACCCTTCCTCTCCTCACCTATGACCTAAGTGCATTGGCAGTTACCGGCATAGTTTTTTAGCACGAGTGTAATTCGCCATCGGACCGCAATGCATGTTGCTAGGCTGCTGCAATTACAACAAACATACGAATACTGCCTTCATTTGTAGACGTTTGTTTTTTAGGCGGTCTTTGACGTGCAAGGGGGCATACCTGTCGACAACTTGAGTTTCTCCGAATTTCAAAAATGAAAAACTCCCAGAATTTCAATTCCTCATGCACTGTGGTAGGTACAGCTAAGTTCACAATTTTTCGTTTCCTCCTGTTCTAAAAAGGATGATATTTGTCGATTTCGTGCGTCGCTGATAGGAGGGTGTGTTTAATAATTAGGCCCAACGCTTTCTGCATCCGCGAGTACCTTCAAAAGGGAACATCAGTTTCCATTTGTTACACTATGGGACATGTGACAAAATGACCACTGGAACACGCATGAAACGGAGCTCATATTCCTAAAAATGTCTACAATCACTTCTTTTCTGACACTATTAGCAAATACCATCTCAAGTTAGGTGGTTGACAGACAGTCAATGGAGATCTGGGGAGACTGAGTGATGCCAATTCACCACTTAACTGATAATGAGGGCCGAGGGAAGAGAAACATGCAACATGCACAACTGACAACTTGACAAGTGACAAAACACTACCACTATTGCGCAGTGCACAACAAATTACAGCAGCCAGCCCAAAAATGCTTTTGGTAGCTAATTGCAAAACAAGTCACTATAAATGTCTTAGTTGCAGCTGAACACTGCACAATAATCACACTGTTCACACATTGAGTGAGATGCCACAGGTGGTTTGAATCACACTTTGGTTCAACTGCAAATCTGAAGTGTTGTCATGAGGTTCATGCCTCCATGATCACAGCACTTTGGTTGTGGTTGGCATAACTTGTAGTCTGCAGAGTTCCACATGAACTGCAGACACCTCATCTGGTGGTCTTCATGTTGCTCAACTTCTTCAGGAGGCAAATGTCGACCACCCAGCGGAAGCATGGTCCTGCAGAAAAGAAAGGTAATGCATAAGGTACAAACATTATCTGCTGAAACAGCCCCTTCTGTTGGCTGTTATTAAACTTTTAACATAACATAACAGCATGTATTCCATGTATATTACATTTGTTGAAGTAAAATACTGCCGGCTATTTCAAAACCAGAAAATGAAATTATATTGTGGCATAATCCACATGCTCAGCTATCAGTATCAAATAATAATTAATTTAATATTTGGCATATTCTATATAACACATTCATAGAATATTCTACTTCACGTCACAAGGACTCACAATCTTTCTGTTGGGTGTTTGATTGACGCATTAACTAAGTTTGTCTTAGGTTTTATTATTGCAAAAAATTCATATTGCATTATTGTATCAAAATACTGCCAGCAATATCAAAACAAGAACATGAAATGTCAATGAGCAAGCCGCCTTTCCTAAAAATGGATTACTTAGAAAGGAATTTTAGTTTCTTTTAAGGAAAAGGAGAAATGATTATCAGGTAATTATCAGAAAACCACTCAACCAGCAAGTGGCTGGGTGGTTTCACAGCAAACATCAAGCCAAAACATATACTTACATTTATCTAACAATTGAGCCATTTGACTACTACAAGGATATGTGAGCAAAATATGAATCCAATTATCCAATGTTGACTTCCTTGCAAAGTTTATGCCTTATTTTATGAAAATGTGTCACTAGAATATGATACTTATCATCGAATATTATTTAATTTACGATTAATTTCGATCGGAATGCACATGGAGTCCCGCGCCATTTTCGTCGACTATGAATATGATCGTGTTTCATGAAGAGATAAGGGGTTTCAATGGTCTTTCAAAGCAATAATTTGATGCAAAAATTTGTAGGAAATAATATAAAGCTGGTTCAAATGGCCATCAACCATTTAAAACACCGAAAATACTCACAACTCCGTCCCGACGACCACGCAGCACCGCGCACGCCACACTACTGGCACAATGCCAAAACTGCTGTCACAGCGGAAATGTTTTTTTTTCTCGATTGCAATTGTGGAATTATTTATTAAACAGAAGATGATCTTTCCGAAAAACCGACTGATTTCATACACAGATGCATGGAAAATAAAAAAATCCCGGTAAGTTTATTTGTATTGTTTTGTCGATTTTGACATGCTCCTAGTTTGCAGCCATATTTCGATATGTTCTACAGGGAGTTCAGAATTATTTCAGGACCAATCTTTTCCTCATTCATTTTCCCGTCGATCATGAAATTTTTAGAGCGGAACAATTAGTTTCCAGGCGGTCCGAGCGGTTTTCGTGAGAAGGGTGCAAAAATCGGCGTCATTTTTAGAGCCTCGACACCAGCTCAACACAGGACCCTATGGGAGACGGTGAAGTAGCGGGAGCAATAAATAGAGCGCTCTAATTTTAGCTTATTTCCCTGGTGTGTCACCGACTGACAACACCAGTGGCGGGTGCCGCATAGTCCCACCATATGTCCGATGTCACAGAGACTGTCATCGTCACAGGTGTTGTGAAACTGAGACAGTAAAATCAAATAAACAACCCAAATAAAAGTGTCATGTGATAGACCACACCATACGCTTCCCTTCAATCCAAGCCCACAAAATTTAACCTCCCTCCCTCGACACCGGCTTCGAGCCCGTTTGCTCCCGGCCGGAAACGCGGCAGTTTACGGATTGATGTCGCTGATGTGGCAAGGCCTTGAATAGTTGCCTATTTTTTGCACTGTGCGTTGGCTTCTGATGACATCATTCACAACATTAAATGAGTGATCTGACGAATCACCTTTTAGATTTTGTCCTCCATGACGTCATAGTTTGTGAGCGACCAATAGAAATCGTTTGTCAAATGAACATGCTGGAAAAATTTTATCATTCTTCAATTGCGTGAACTATATTTTTTCATTCTAAATATATCAAAAAAATATGCAAATATAAGCTGTAATTACAAACGATTTCCAAATCATAAAAAGCACAATTTATACAAACAGAAAGAGAAGAATATTCGTAGTGCTGGGCAGATGTAGAACAATTATTTTTCTTGCAATTTTGGAACAAAAATACGAATAGGGTAGAATTTCATTTCATTATTTTATTTTTGATTGATTCTCGTATTTTATTGGTAGCATCATTGCAAATATTTTATATTGAAAATGAGACGATTTTTGGATAACTGATGATCTTTTTCTTGCATTTTAGTTAGTAATCAATTTAATGCTTATTTTGAAATATTATTTTGTTGTTGAAAAATAAAAATATCAAAAGACTCTGCTTTATTTCTACTGTTAGTTCAATTACACTGTCCATCGCTTACCCAGGGGCCTGCGCATGCGCGTTCGCTACATTGCAAATGGCGGATTTTGTTATTGTTAGGTGGCGCATATGAGGTTGAAAAAGTATTTTCGTTTTTCCTCCTCTTCCTTCCCTGGGTAAGTGTTAAGATTGCGCTGTGTTGAAGAGCATAATTTTCTCTGTATATTTCACTTTTCATATAGCATTGAAGGTTATGCCTTTAAAAATGCCGGTGCCTGCAATGTGGGCGTTTTTAGAATCTTTCTACCGGACTTTATGCTGAAATTTGGTCGAAGGGCTGGGCTTTATGGTAGTTAGTTTATGAAATATGAAATTTCAGGGGCAATTTCAACTGGTTTTGCTATAGTTTAGGTGATAATAATCTATTTTGTGCTGAAAAATTTTAACTCAAATTTTTGTCTACAATTATGAAGCATGTTGGAGTGTGATCTTTATGCCTTTTTTAGTGCATAATTTTGACAGTTTTAGATGCATTTGAAGCATTTTTGTGTTCTCTTGTAAGTTTTACCATTTTCACCATATGGGAAATATGATATTACTCAACTGGTATCATGGATATCATGACAGATTTGCTAAGATATTCTGAGCATGTGTTTTTGAAGTCGGTAATTGCAATGGAGAGATACGAACCTGGTTTGATTTTGAAATACATTGTTTAGTTTTCTTTTATCTTGTGCTCCACCCTGGTTATCTTGAATGTCTAGCAGCAAATCATTGTTGTTCTGGTGGAAACTGAAAACAGGGTGCCGGAAGGCATTTTTAGTCCAGTGACTATTGGGATATTCTTCCCCTCCTGGTGCCTTTGAGAGGCTAATTATCATGTTATTAGGTCAAGCAAATTTCAAGATCCTTGATCAAATCACCCCAGGTGCTCTGTTTTCAGGGTCCACCATAGACATCAGTTTGGGCATTTGAGATGACTTGTGACGGGAAGGTACATAGTTAGGCACTTGGGTACCTAGGTGCATACCGGATATGGTGGAATCTGAAAACAGGGTGCCTGGAGCAATATTATCAAGGCTCTTGAAATTGTCATGTGAAAACCCTTATCTTCAAGGCATTTAAAGCTGAATAATTTCACAATACTCACGTGGCCTAATTCAATGCCCTCCGGCACCCTGTTTTCAGATTCCACCTTGGATACCTGCCTGTCCATGTTTTATGAAGTTTTTAATAACTGTGTAAAGGAGGTTATTACTACATCATGTATTATGTTTTGCTGGGCAGGCTTTACTGGTTTGGGTGTATTCACTGAGACAAAATTAAACTGATAATACATGAGGCCATAAAAGCATATAGGTACCTGACTGCCCCATTGTCATTGTAAAGTTGAAATTTACCCTTATAATGTTCCATTCAATTGGTGTCTTTAGATAAAGGTATAATTCAAGGTAAGTAAAAGTTGAACACAGTAAGTAGGTAAAGTTGAATCCAACTTTTAAACTAATATTTGAATGCTTGTGATTTTATGCTTACCATATTGCTGTTTTTATTTCCAGAGTAGCATTGTTATATTATAAAGGTTTTTTATAAATGTTTTAAAATTTTGATGTTAGAGTAACAAGTTTGACCAAAAATGTTTGTTAGGCATTTAATCAGCTTCCAAATCAGGGGTTCAGATTTTGTAATAATTTTTTAATATAAATCTGATACCGTAAAACGGGGTGTTAAGGGACAGTTTTGAGGTGTTTTGTTATATACCGTAAAATGGGGTGTTAACCCTCGCCGGCCGAGGGGGGGGGGGGGTGCCGCCCCCCCCATAGGGTTTTTTCGCGATAGCTCCGAACACGCTGGCGATAGAGAGCTGAAACTTGGCATACCTGACCTTTGATCCAAGCCGCATCTTTTGACACCAACCGCATTTTTGGGTCAGGTCAGGTCACTGACCTATGACGTCATAAGTGAACCTCTGCACGGTCTTCAGATGTCGCAACTTCGCAACGCCCTCACTGCCAGAGGAGATGTCACAGGGAAATGAAACTTGCAGGATCTAGTATCCATTATGAGTCCCACAACTTGTATATCTCGGATTTTTCCTAAAGGTCATATGAGGTCAGGTCATTTTCGTGACCTCACCATTATAAGTCAATGGGGAAAAATTCAAACTGCTATTCTGGCGTCGGGAACGATCTCCAACTATCTCAAGCACACAGAATCGTGATTTGATGCACTCCTTGCAAGGTTAGATGCGTCACTTTTGCAATGTTGACCTTGCGTGACGTCATTTATGACGTCATCAAGGTCATATTAGTTTTTCGTCAATAACTCTTGATCAAATTGAGCTAGCGAGTCGGGAAAGCCACCAATGGACTCAGGAAGACCTGCCGAATCGAATGATATGCGACATGACCTCTTTCGACCAACTTCGTCACCTGGGGGTGCTGACCTGACCTTGACCTGAGGTCAACACCCCAAGTTGACCTGACCCGGACAAAAAGTATATCATTCGACGCGCCTGAGCGAGACGAACACGATGCTGCCAAAATCGGCGCTCTGCGGCCGTTTTTTGCGAAGTTATTCACCAAAAACTGAACCGTACCTTGGGGCACTTGACCTGACCTCAGAGGTCACCGGTTGACCTAGGACCTTAAAATCGGGTACCAATCTCTGCGTCTCGTAACGGCGCACACGCTCGTTTTTTCCGCGACGCGCTAGCTCCACCAGGGGCGAAACGGCGAGGGGGGGGTCGTACCCGCCCCCCCCCCCCCCTCGGCCGGCGCGTATGTAGAAAACCAATAGGTCCGGCGAGGGTTAAGGGACAGTTTTGAGGTGTTTTGTTATATAACTCAAGAAGGGTTGGAGATAGAAGCATCAAATTGTCAGCATCTTATGTGGAATTTGGGGCTTTACATGCCTGCCACATTAAAGTTTTTAAGATTGATACCTGCATATTATTTTTTATTATTTTTCATCACTGTCCCTTAGCACCCCAATGTGGGGTGTTAAGGGACACCTATATTATTCCAAGAAATGGTCATCAAATGCCCACAATTGGGGTGTGGAAGGGCACACAATTTATTTATTGAAATGTTTTGCATATTCTGTCACAAAACAAGTCAGGTTCATTCACCACTAATGACCTTTTTAGCCAATTACGTGTAATGCAGTTTACGCTTGTGGAAAATGTGCTAATTATAAAGTAAACAGAACCAAAAAGTAATCTTCTGTCATCAATAAAAACCCATGTTGAAGCTTGCCACTTGTCATTATGTTGCCCTCTTTATTTTAGCCTTTTTATGATGACATCACATTTACTTACCTTAGTCTCCATTGACCCATCATTGTAAAAGAGAGTGTTGAGATGTTTTGTTACATAACTTAAGATGTGTTAGAGATAAAAGCATGAACTTGCCAGCATTTTATGTGGAATTTGGTGTTTTCCATGCCTACTTAATTAAATTATATTTGGATATTATTTTTTATTTTTTTCTTCCCTGTTCCTTAGCACCCCACATCCACCTCAAAATATGCATGTATCCGGAAAAGAGAAAGAGGACGATGAATGAATGGGTGGATTTGCACAAGTTTTTCAGGAAACATGTGCAATACATGTGACAATACACCTATGCATTCATTTTCCCTGTACACCCACTAGTTTATGTGGTACACACAGAGTTTTGGAGATGTTTCAATTTTGTGAAAATGTAGCATGATTTTCAAATCCATTTTTGAACCAAATCACTTGCATGAAAGACCATACCATTTTGTCCTATGGTCAAGAGCAAAACAGTGTCAACTACCACACTGAAGTTTTTATTGAACCTTCTCAAATTAGGAAGTTAATATGACTCAAAGTTTTTCCCATGCAACTGTCCCTTAACACCCCACTGTCCCTTAACACCCCATTTTACGGTAACTCAAGAAGGGTTGGAGATAGAAGCATCAAATTGTCAGCATTTAATGTGGAATTTGGTGCTTTACATGCCTGCCACATTTAAGTTTTTAAGATTTATACCTGCATATTATTTTTTATTATTTTTCATCACTGTCCCTTAGCACCCCAATGTGGGGTGTTAAGGGACACCTATATTATTCCAAGAAATGGTCATCAAATGCCCACAATTGGGGTGTGGAAGGGCACACAATTTATTTATTGAATTGTTTTGCATATTCTGTCGCAAAACAAGTCAGGTTCATTCACCACTAATGACCTTTTTAGCCAATTACGTGTAATGCAGTTTACGCTTGTGGAAAATGTGCTAATTATAAGGTAAACAGAACCAAAAAGTAATCTTCTGTCATCATTAAAAACCCATGTTGAAGCTAGTCACTTGTCATTATGTTGCCCTCTTTGTTTTAGCCTTTTTATGATGACATCACATTTACCTACATCAGTCTCCATTGACCCATCATTGTAAAAGAGTGTTAAGATGTTTTGTTACATAAGTTAAGATGTGTTAGAGATAAAAGCATGAACTTGCCAGCATTTTATGTGGAATTTGGTGTTTTCCATGCCTACTTAATTAAATTATATTTAGATATTATTTTTTATTTTTCTTCCCTGTCCCTTAGCACCCCACATCCACCTCAAAATATGCATGTATCCGGAAAAGAGGAAGAGGATGATGAATGAATGGGTGGATTTGCACAAGTTTTTCAGGAAACATGTGCAATACATGTGACAATACACCTATGCATTCATTTTCCCTGTACACCCACTAGTTTATGTGGTACACACAGAGTTTTGGAGATGTTTCAATTTTGTGAAAATGTAGCATGATTTTCAAATCCATTTTTGAACCAAATCACTTGCATGAAAAACCATACCATTTTCTCCTATGGTCAAGAGCAAAACAGTGTCAACTACCACACTAAAGTTTTTATTGAACCTTCTCAAATTAGGAAGTTAATATGACTCAAAGTTTTTCCCATGCAACTGTCCCTTAACACCCCACTGTCCCTTAACACCCCATTTTACGGTACCAGCAGATTGTTAACACGCGCAGTGGAAGGGTTGCGAGTACTACGCCCAGTGGAAGGGGGGCGGATGTCGCCCCCCCCCCCCCTAAGATCTCAGCTCCCACTGGACCTAGAAAGACGAAATTTGGAGGGTAGGTGAAGGCCCTGGGGAACTCTGTTGTGTGTGAATTTCATGACCCTAGGTCAATATCTTCAAGGTCAAATGAGGTCAAATGTGGTGAAATCTGCCATATGGGCGACTTTTTTGAGTTTACACGCCGATAACTAAAAAGTTACCGGCCGATTTTCTTTCTTCTTTCACTACACGAAAGAATATACATTTGTGAGTATGTATGGTGAATTTCTAGTTAATCCAACAATAAATATGGCAGCTAGAAGCCTTCTAAGAGTAAGATGTCGCCGGCTGAAGCGGGATCGGCCGACGCGGGAAACGCGGCAATCACAACTTTGTGTTTACACACTCATAACTCAAGTTGTTACCAGCCGATTTTCAAAATTATTTGACCAAGACATTGCCTGTACATTGCTTAGTCTTCTCACAAAATTTGACGCGAATCGAATATAATCAGCGGTAAGGAGCGCGATGTAAAGACGGAATCGTCCCGCCCCGGCACAGTCTACAATTCAGGCGGGGCGTAACGGCTAGCGCCGGCCGCCGCGGCGACAGGATGTTTGATTTACACCGCTATTACTAGAAAAGTAGTGACCCGATTTTCTTATTTCTTGCACGAGAAGATCCGCAGTTCAATTCTGGACAGGTAGCCAAAATTTCACATTAATAGGTATTATGTTTGCGGCGCGAGTTATTGGCGAAACTTGAAATATAATTTGTGTTGATGGTCAACTCACATGCTATACAATACATTCAACTTTTTTTGTCAAAAGGAATCCTCTACTTTTCTATGTTCACATTTTAGTCCTGCTCACAAAGTATTATAATTTTGCTAAACCATATGGTGTGGTTTAGTGGCAAATTTTGCTAGATAATACCATAGGTCAATTATTCTGTCATTAGTTTCATATACTATTTTTATTCTTAACTGTCCTCAAACTCAAGGTCCTGTCTCTGCCCAGCTTCAGCTATTGAGTTGCTTGAATGAGCCCTGCATTATGAAGTATGTTGTGAAAAATGTATTAATGATAAGGCAATGTCAAGCTATTAAAACATTGAATTCTTCATTATTTTAAGTAAAATTACCAACAACATTTTTTACTTTTTTCTGTCTTGACTATTAGACAAGTAGCAATGTTCGATGTTAATATTAGTACAGATACCTATGGTTATTTTATTAGAAGGTAATTATTATCTCTGATTAATGTTTATGCATCATAAATCGCCAACCATTACTGCCTGCATACAGCTGAATTCCTCACAAAAATGTTTGCAGGACTCCTCTGAAACGGTTCTCCTTGAAGACCATCCAACCTCATCCTAGATTTTTTGGAGGACCCACGGGAACAGACCCAATGATAAGGCAACATTCGTTAAGCTTGAAAGATCTTAACACTGTTTCAAGAAAGTTGTAATGTTGCCTATTTTTGTTTTAAGTTAAGTGTTGTTTCTCTTTGTTTTCTTCTCTCTGCATGGGAGACTATTTAATTTTACCTTGTCTCAGCAGTCTGTGCAGTCCTGTTGAATTTTTAACTAACACTTTCAGAGATGCTGTCAGCTAGTTAACCCACCTGTTTTCTGACAATCTTCACCTGTTCAGATGCAAGGAGAGGAGAATATCCATTGTGTGCAGAAACCCACCAATTGCTGAAATGGGGAGAATACACTGGGCATTGCACAAGGGAACCTTAACTCAGTTAACAGAACTCTAATGATTGGACTCTCTGGTGGTCGCAAGCTGCTCAGCACCACTTCTCCCTCCCCCCGTAATGACGTTTATGGTGACACTAGTATGTGCTCGTAATCGCTGAGTCAATGCATTTATCAACCTAACCAGCTTCTATATGGTTATTGATAAGTAGCGAAGTAGCATGAGGCAACATGAACTTTTCCATGTTGATGCTATGTTTCTAAGTTTCTCTTCTAACTAAGTTTAGTTTCTCTTCTACTAACTTTCTTCTTCTACTGTAATGCTCATTCATGAAATGCTCATTCATGTAATGCTCATTCATGTCACCACCAGGTCTGGTGACAAACTGTGCAGCATCACTAAGGAGGCTGCAGCATCAACGTCCTGCCTCAAGACATCATGTTATGTATGTTTATACACTGACAAACCCCTTTTTCTCCCAAATGACTGCGCTGTGAAATAAGTCTTGCAATTTCTCATATTTTGTGTTTTATGTTTCAGATATGGAGGAAGATAGTGGAGGCGAAATTGTGGAAGCAGTAATTACATGTAATGGTGAGCTAGAGGATCCAAGTTTTAAGAAAAACTTTGGGTCTCTGTTGAGAAGGCTAAAGAAGAGGATAGCAGGAAGCTTTGGAAAAGGCAAGTTGATAAAATAGGGGTATGGGATATGAAGTAGCATATCTTTTTCTCTTTTCTGGGTACATGGTTATGCCTTTGCTATGTTCATGGGTAGTGTTTGAGATGAGATACCTGCCTGGATTTTGGAAAGGGAGACATATGGTTTATATTTTATGGCAGTTTTTTTTCTGTATTGCCTTCTCAGAAGAGCCAAGCATTGTTTTTATATTGGAAACCTTGTACTAGAGTGGTCTTATTGCCAGCTTGTTTTTATATTCATTGTTCGATTGTCTTCTGAATGTGTTAAGAACTTGAGGGAATGGACCAGGGTGGCTACCTATGCTCTTATATCCTACATTGATTCTGTAGTGTGGATGAGATTGAATTTGAGAGAGGTTTGAATTTGGCCTAGGAACACTGCATTTTGGTTCACTTGAAATGGTTAATTGGTTAATTGACTGGGCAACCTGAAACATGACGCAGCTTAGTTGACACATCAAACACACCATTTAGCTGTTGACACAATTATCCTCATGAGAATTATGCATGACCCTTGTCAGCATGCATTAGCAATTATATAGCGTTTTAGTTACAGTGACATATGCCGGCATGTAAATGTGATACTTTATTATTTGTAACTTCCTATGTGCCTCCTAACTAGCTCCTATGTAACCTCCTAGTGTAACTTCCTATGTAATCATCACACTCACACAGTTGTCAATGAACTGCCTTGAAAACACTTTTATTTATTCATTTTTAAAGCAATACAGTTTCAGATTCTTGTTGATTTTTTGTCTTGTATATGAATCTTTTTAAGCCATGTCTGAACAGGCGAGACTCACCTGCTTAACTCACCTGGTTGGGTTCCAATTCCCGTTTTGAGCCCAAAACATCGTTAAAACCTAGATAAAAAAATGTGCCAGTCAGATAGAAACACTACTCACATAATTACAATCAGGGCTGCGGAGTCGATTGATTTTCGGCGACTCCGACTCCGACTCCGACTCCGGCTTTCAAAAACCAGCTCCGACTCCGACTCCGACTCCGGGCAGAATTGTCGACTCCGACCGACTCCAACTCCCGACTCCGACTCCGCAGACCTAGCAGGGCTGCGGAGTCGACAGATTTTCGGTGACTCCGACTCCGACTCCAGTTCGGGTTTCTAAAATCGACTCCGACTCCGACTCCGGTCACAACTGTCGACTCCGACCGACTCCGACTCCGCAGCACTGATTACAATACACATTATGGCTGGAATTAGGCATCTTCAATGAGCATGAACATAATATCGATGGTGTATTGCTGTATGCCTGGGTACAAAATTAAGACAGACACTTTGTTCACTCTGCCACACAGATGACCACTGAAAAGTAGATTTTCTTTGTTGGATCATTTCCTGAGCCTTCAGTTCTATGCTCATTTTGCTGTCCTGTGATTGAAGTTTCCCAAATTTTACTTGTAGTACCTATGTAATCAAATCATTTTGATCATTAAAGTCATTTTGTTAGAGAAAGTAGCAAAGCCACTGGTCTAGGTTGGGTCCCTATCCTTTTTCAGTCTAGTTTATTCAAGAATCCAATATTGTGATGCTTTTAAGAACGAACTATTTGACGTTCATAATAAACAAAGTAAATGTGTAATGGAATATTACTAGCAGTGAAAATTTCGAAGAATGGTAGAGATGAGTGTTTCTGCTTGTTGGCATGACAAATAGTACAGTAGTTACCGCCCAGTGCCCATTCTTTTGTCTTCCATGGCGTTTCACTGCTCTGCATTCCTGTGCACAGTCGTCGCACAACATTTGCAGCAGGCACACCATTCAGCAGACTGGGGCTACAAATGGGTTAAATGATCCTCTCTAATGGCATATGACATATTCAGTTAAATGGTGAAAACGTGTTTCTCGTGAACGTATATTTCGTATATTATTTCGTATATTAGTTCAGACATCACAAATGCTGTAAAGCCCTGGTGATGGTAGTACCTAACTATCGATATTCTATCTACAGCATATGTAAGGTCCAGCACCCCTCCCACAATCCCATCCGGACCAACCATGCTCAAATCACCCCACCCCATTCAAATTAAACCACCCTACCCTATACGTCGTCGTACATGAAAATAGCATGCTACACATACACATTCACAGATATCACACACATTGTCACATCACGGTAACACAATAATTTCATATTTCGTACATCTTGGAATGCTTAGCCAGTCAATTCTTTAAAAGTTCCTGAAAATCTTTGAAACAATTGACTTCAACCACACTACGTGGGAGTCTGTTCCATTCCCTAATCGTCTTAGGGAAGAATGAATGATGGTAAGGGAGAAGTCTAGACTGAACCATTCTAATTTTTTTCTCATGATCATGCCTACCAACATAAGAGGGCTGGCATATAATGCTGTTGAGTTCTGTGGATAACTGCGATAGCTCACCGTTGAACATTTTGAACATAAGGCACAGTCGAGACTCACTACGTCGCCTTTCCAAAGTTTTCCATCCAATTTTTTCTAACATTTCATCAACACTGCTATATCTCTCGTAATCGTTCAACACAAATCTCGCAGCACGTCTTTGAACCATCTCAATTTCTTTCTTTAAACCCTCTCCACATGGGTCCCAGACACAGCTTGCATATTCCAAAATTGGCCTGACTAGTGACATGTAAGCAGTTTCCTTCACAGCTTGAGGGCAGTCTCTAAAATTCCTTTTAATGAATCGAAGAATTTGGTTGCCTTTTCCAGCGACATATTCTACATGTTTTTCATGTTATTCTACATGTTATTCTACGAGGGGGTATCGAAAAGTTCTGATCATCACCACGAATGAGATGTGATGGAAATTTGATTTTTTACATGATGTTCATTACTCCTTTAGAAGTCACCACACACGACCGCAAACTTATTGCATCGTTTCTTGAGCTGCCTCAGGCGGTCATTGTGGGACATTCGCACTGTCCCGTAAATCACTGCTCCATCTCATCAATGACGTCATTTCTGTCCTTATATCACCGGCCATACTGTGGATTCTTCATCTCCCGTAACAATCAAGAGTCAGTTACTACCCGGTCAGGTGAATTTCTTAGATGCGGTAGGATTTAATGTGCACATCATGTTCTTAATCTTCAATCGCAGCTCAGGATGAATGGGCGGGAGCGCTGTCGGTGCGGATAAAACATCTTTCTTGGGCTTTTTTGCGGCGATTCTGCTTGAGGCCATCTCGCAACTTCTTCAAAAGTGTGCAGTGGTGCTTGCTTATCATTATCCGACCATAATCAAGACAATCGGTAATGACTATCTTACGCCAGATCCAGAACACTGATAGCATTGACCTTCCATATCGGCTTCTGCATCTTCGCCTTTTAAGAAGGACAGATGTGCCGTGCTTAAACTTCTTGATCATCTTTTTGTCTCTGGATCATGCACATAGACCCAGCATTCGTCACAAGTCATCAAATTATCGAAGATGTCTTCAATTTCCTAAAAAAAAGCCTAGTTTTGATTTCGAAGGGCCAAGACGCATTTTTCTCTTGAACAAAGTAGACACACGAACTTCTAAGCGGGCTGACTCCTTTATCGTCTGTAGTTCTTCGCTGATAATATTTTCAGGCACTGCCAGCATCGAGGCCTTTCTGTTGCACAATCATCTGAAAGGTCACACGACGATCTGTAAGGATGAGGTCCTCCACTTCCTTCACAGTCACCACCTTGTCAGTCACTGGTAGCCACTCACTTCTTGACTCCCCTGCAAGGGCCATGCAACCAAGTTGAAAATTATTTCTTCATTTTCGGTAAGTGCATGAGATGGGCTTTCCTCGCCATAAACTGATTTCACGTTCTTGATGTATTTTCTCAGTGTGATACCGTTTCAAATGCATTAGTTGGATGACGGTTCGATCCTCAATGGGCCCAATACTCATCTTTTTTACTTCTAAGTCTCTCCTACATAAGATAAAACCACTTCTCAGGATTCTCTTTGCGGGAACATTGTTCTTAAGAACCAAATATAATACCAACCAAAAATCATCAAAATCGGTCTACATCTTCTATGTGATGATCAGAACTTTCCGATACCCCCTCGTACAACGTATTTGGCGTAGTAGCCTTTCGGCCTATCTTGCCAAACAGTATCTGTTATAGTGTGTGTCTGCACATCAAATTATATCTAGATTCTAAGTAGGTATCAATAAAAACCCATAGCAGTGTCTTTCTGAACAGAAAGTTCCAGGTTGAAAAGCAAGTGATTTGGCTCACTCATTACTTCCAGCCATCAGCCTTTGCATTGCCACCAACTGCAAACCATCTTGTCAAAAGTATCTCGTACTGAGTGTCCGAGAGACTCGAACTCGGGACCTGAATACCGGAAATATAATGCTCTACCAACTGAGCTTTGGTTCGGTCAAGTTAGAGAAGCACCCTAACTATCTTAGGGACGTTTGTTCGTACTATTTTTGCACAGGTGATACGCATTTTCTGAGTGGAATCGTCATGGGTCATCGAGACCGTCGCGCCTGTTCGCGTTGACTGTAGTTGAGAGCGATGAGTGCCACTGAGCTGGGTAGGACGGCTAGGTTTCGGGGGAGAGCTCCCGTTCCGGCGGCAGTGCAGACGACTGCACTGCCGGTGCACTAAGCCGCGCGGTCATTGTGCGGGTATTGTAATGTGAATGATAGCGTGATGCTGAATGGAATGAATCGGTGTTATTGGTGGGGGCTTACAATAATACCCATGAATGAAATGGGCAATAACAGGTGTCTGTGGGAGGATGGGGGGGGGGGGGGTCTGTCTGGACAGCACGCATGAAGAGCTGTCTGTTTTGTCGTAGCGGAAGCCGGTGCAATAGCGTTGCCGTTGCACAGTTGTTGTGATTATTTAATGTACAGTCTACAGAACGGGGCTGAACTTGCATGATTGATGGCACTGTACGAAGTTGGCGGTTACGGTACTTAATGGGTATTTCACTAGTTTGATGATGCTATCTCTGGCTGTTGAAAAATGTAGGAGGCAGCCTAGGTGATTATTATGGCAACAACCTAAATGAAGTATTCATTCTTTTAACAAAGACAAGGCAACTATAGTTCTTGTTAGGTATTTTGCATAAGAAACAGTGGTCTTATGTTTTTCCGCTGTTGATTAAATGTTTTCAATCGAAATGTTTCCATAGTTGCATTTTTTAGCATTGTGGGAGTTATTCCGAACAATGATGGAAAGTTACAAGGGAATTTCTCGATCGATTAGATTGTTTCATATTATTCTTCACCCATATTTACACGTTTGGACAAGGTGTGTCCCATCCATCTTCAGTGGTCAGCACTGATACAGACCACATCGTGCCTCCGAAACAGCCCCGCTGACCCCTCCACCCCACCTCCACTCCGGCAGGACCCGAGCTGGTGGTTACCAAAATGGAGCCGTGGAACTCTGTGCGCGTGACGTTCAGCATCCCGCGCGAGGCGGCGCTGCGGCTCCGGCAGCTCGCCCAGCAGGGTGACTCCACGCTGCGCACGCTCGGCATCCTTACTGTCCAGGTGGAGGGTGATCAGGTAAGCGCTGCGCGTGCGCACGTGCCGGAACCAGGTGGTCGTCATAGGGTACGAGGCGACTTTTCACTTGACTTATTAAACATGACTTCATATGATATGGTGTTTTTTAGGGGGGGGGGGTCATTGCAGCGAGGCTTGCGCTTGCCGTATGGTATTCGATTGATAATGTTAGATACGTGTTTGTGACGTGATCAGCTGTTTGGGCTAGTTCATTGGAAATCGTCGATAATTTGGTCACTGCAATAGTCGATCGGATTGTAAAGCGGATTGATCCCGCACTGTAATTATCCGCCGGTATTGGTAGGATGCTATCAGCGATCTCTGAACTCTGCTGATTGCTGGTGATGCTCCACAGGTGATCTCACTGACGCTGGCCGGACGTAACAACGGGCCGCCGCAGGAGATCGTACTGCGCACCGAGGAGGCCGGCGCGTCCACGGCGCCGCAGCGCAGTCTGGCGGACGTGCTGATGGCGGGCGCCGGCGAGCGGGCGCTGCCGCCCCCGCCGCCGCCGCAGGCCGCCGCGCCGCCGTCGTTCCGCAGCCCGAACGTGGTGGCGCCCGTCAGTCAGGCGGTGCCGTACCCGGCCAAACTGCAGCAGCGCGCCGGCGCCGCCACCTACCCGTTCAACAGCATGTCGCACGCGGCAGCGGCCGCCGTCGGCCACCGGGAGCTGGCGCAGCCGGCGCTGCCGCCTCCCCCGCCGCCCCCGCCCCCGCCGCCGCCACCGCCGCCCTACCGTGGGCCCGGCCAGCAGCAGCAGCAGCAAGTGGCGGCAGCCCAGGCACCGCCGCCGCCTCCACCGCAGCCGCCGCCCCCACAGCCGGTGGCTATGGCGGGCGGCCCGGCACAGCGCGAGGGGGCTCCGCAGCTGAAGACTCCTACTCTGACCAGTATCGGCAGCCCGCTGCTGGTGAACCTGCTGAAGAACGAGCCGGCCGTCTCGGAGGCGGCGATGCAGCGCACGCAGCTGACCCAGTCGCAGCAGGCGGGCCAGCCGCCGCCGCCGCAGTCGCAGTCTGCGCCGCAGCCGACCCGATTGTCGGCCCCGCAGCAGTCGGTGCGGCTGACGCTGCAGCACCGGATGTCTCCGGGCCCGCTGCAGCAGATGCAGCACCGCGCCGGCCCGGCGGGCGTGCAGCAGGTGCGCCGCTCGCCAGTCGGCGTCCCCGCGCGCGTCTCGTCGCCGGCCGGTCTGGCGCAGGCGGCCGCCGCGCGGAACTCGCCCGTCCAGCTGCCGCTGCGCGTGTCGCCCGTCCAGCTGCCGGGCTCGCCGGCGGCGCGGCCCGCCACGCCCGGCGTCGCGCGGCCGCACCCGACGCGCGTGGCGTTCGTGGCCCACCCGGGCCGTCACCACGCCACCATGTCGCACGGCGCGCAACCCGTCGGCAACGGCGGCCTGGTGCTGGTCAACAACGGCCCGGCGCGGCCCGGCCACCAGCAGCTGGCTCGCGCCTTCTCGGGTCACATCAAGCAGACGCGGCCGTCCCTCCAGCACGTGCTATCGGGCGGACCGCGACCACACCGGCACGAATCGCAGCCGCGAGCGGCCGGCGCGCCGCCGGCCACTGTCGTCGCCTCGACGTCAGCCACATCCTCCCCCTCCTCCGCCCAGATCCGTCCCGGCCTGGCGGGCGCCAGCGGTGCACCGGTGACCACGTCGTCGCCGCCGGCGCCGCTGGCCAAGACGCACCTCAGTCCCGGCTCCTCGCAGGGGGGCGCCGGCGTCGCCCCCGCCTCAGGTAAGCCCCGCCAGATGCTCATCAACCCGCTGACCGGCCTGCTGGAGCCGATGCCGACCAGTGACAGCAGCTCGGACAGCGAGCCGGAGCGCGCCCGCTCGCCCTTCCCCGAGAACTCCAACTCGATTTTCTCGGACGAGGAGTCGAATCAGAGCCTGCCCAACATGTCCGACTCTGAGGCGAGCAAGATGTCGCTGCTGAGCGGCGCGTCGGACAGCCGGCGCGCCAGCCGCGGCGGCACGCCCAGCCCGCGCTCCGTCTCTACCAGCCCGGCCGCCGAGAAGATCAAGCTGCGACTGAAGCTGGAGAAGGCTGAGCCGGTCAGTCCCGTCAGCCCCACCTACAAGGTGGACGTGTCGTTCGGCAGCAGCGCTAACTCGACACGTCGACCCGACCGAGCCGCCGGTAACGGCGCGGCCGCCGCGGCCGGTGGCACGCCGGGCGGTGAGGAGCCGCGCGTGCCGCCGCTGCACATCTCGCTGCGCGGACGCAACGCCGCCGTGGTGGTCTCCAAGGAGGGCGGCGCGGCCAAGTCCAAAGACAAGCTGAAGCCCAAACTGAAGAGTACAAAGGACAAGGAAGAGTCGGCGTCCGAGGCGCTGCTGACGCCGAGTGACGAGGCGCCGCTGAAGCTGAAACTGAAGGACCCGGCGCTCAAGGCGCGGCCCAAGGACAAGGACAAAGTGAAGCGCGTTAAGCGCAAGGAGGACAGCAGTGATAAGGGCGTGGGTAGTGTGAAAGTGGCGAAGGTGTGCGAAAAGGACGGGACCAGCGGCGCGCCTCCCAAGGAGCCCTCTCTGGTTAACCACGTATTTGGTAAGCGAACCGCCTGCACTGGCTGATCGGGGGTGATGGTGGTGCTGGCTTTGGTCTTGAGCATGCTTCTCGTGTTGGTGTTGTGCTTAGTTTCCTATCCTACTAAGTCCTTTCAGGTATCGGTTGTAATTTGCGACAATCTGAATACTAGAAACCTAGATATTGTATTGACGTTAGGAGCTGAGCTTGCAAACAAAATTTAAACTCGATGTTTATTTGATATTTGCGATTTATTAACGATTGGGCTTAACGAATCAGCGATTTAATTTGTGGTTGATAAAGCAAAAGTAGTATGATGTCTGAGGCGGACCCGTGACGCTTTTGTCTAGCATTCGCAATTCCCTCGATCGGTCAACAATTAGTGGTCCCCGAACAAGTAGACGTCCCCATCCCTTTCCCGTGATTTTGACTTTTTTGAATGCATGCGGTATATGGGTCACAAGTCAATTTAGTCATGGGTGTCGAAATTGATCCACTTCAAATAACTTACAATGACTGGTCTGATTGCGCTGAAGCTTGGCCTTTTGCTGGGCAGTGGGCTCCCAACCGGTGATGCGTTTTCATGTATCATAGTAAGTTGTGGTGCTGCTGGAGGGTAGGTAACTACTAAGGGTCGCTTCTCTGTCTCAATTGCGGTTGAGCCGATCGTGCGCAAAGCTGACACTCCATTGGGAATCGACGTAATGGGTGGCCCGCGCAAAGCAGTTAGAGTTACACTTTGGAGCCCGTGTGCACTCAAAATGATTGCATTTAGGGCTCGTTTGTTTTTACATAAATGGTTCCATTGGTTCATCAATCGGAGCTAATCTGGGATGTATTGTCTAGGTAGGAAAGTCTCTAATTACTTCCGAGATGCCTTTAGAATAGCTGCATATGCATGAATATCCCTTAATTGGCGTAGCCGCTCGTGTCTTCGTTGGAAGACTATCGTCTCATCAAAAATTAGCATAATGTCCAATAGGATTAGTTCGACTGATACACCACACAAATGCGCCAACGACCACCTTGTCTGGGTGGTTTGAGACTTCAATGCCCTTACCAATTACGATAGTATCTTTTCTAACGTGGTGACCTGTGTCAAATAAGAACAGGCCAATTCTCTGTTTGAAACAATATGGATTATCTCAGTCAGGTATTATGTGTTGCTTGCTTCCCACATCTATTCAGTGTTCTACTATGATTATGTCCAATTATAGCCTCAATCGCCTATCTTGGATCTTTTTTTCCAAATTATTATCAACGGCATGCAATCTTCATCGTTAACACGTTGCGCCTTTTCATTTAAACATATAACGGGCGTTCCAGCAGTTGCGTCACACATTCGATAATTATCTCTGCTCTGCCGTACCCCATTAGCGGCTATTCTGAGCGCCCCGCCCGCCGGCTCTGCCATCCATAATTCACTGAGCGGCCGCGCACGCAGCCAGCGTTCTGCGCGACCTTGAAAAACGGCCCATTCCACCGCCCGTGGCCCCGCCTTACGGCGAATGGCCGCCCTCGGATGGCCGCCATGCCCCAACGATAAACAGACTCGAGCGGTTTCACAAAATGCTTATTTAGTCTATTTTGAATACGTTCAATCAGTTTTAGTTTAGGGTTATTAGTTTAGCTGGTTTACGAAACGTGTTAAAGGAAAAGGGTCACCTTTAACATGGGGTTTGAAACTGAGATGGCCATCTTGTAGCCCGTGTCCGAAAACCCCGAGAGTGTCCCACCTTACGGCCGATTTCGGCCTCCATTTGTAGGTATCGGCAATTTTAAAAGAAAATATGCCAGGAATGCGTCCTTATCCCAGGAATGCGTTCTTATCCTGTAATACAGCCACCCGCGGCGAGGCTTTGGTTTTTAACCAATCAGCTCCAATCAGCTCAGCTTTAACCAATCAGCTAATCTGACACAAGCCGACGAGACTGTCTCCTGAAGGCTGATTGGCTTGAGTGTGATGTCATCGCTATGACATCATACAGAAGGTGCGGTAGAGAGTACAAACATAGTACCAATATGTTAAATAGTTTGACATACTTTTTTGCGAATTATGCACTTCTGGCACCAGATTTAAAAAGAACATGAAAAATAATAATGTCAAAATGAAAAGCAACGATATCTTCATATTTCACGAAGGTGGCACTTTTCCTTTAACACGATACGTTCACGATTTCTTTGTGGAAGTAATGTCAATATTTCGCTGCTTAATATAAACATACATTATGATAGTTTTTTTTCAGTCGATCGCATTTATTTCGGATTGCCGCCGGCGACCTCGGCACTTTCAGCCATAGACTGTAGAGTTTCCGTTTTACATGTCAAACTGTAAAGTCGATCGTGCTCGGTATATCGGGAACGGCGATCTCGCTCCGCAGTCACGCCGAATTGGAGTCGAACAGAGCCGCATGGCTGCTGCCGAATGCCGCGACCGTTTCCGCCGCTGCGTCGGCGTGCATGCTGCCCTGCGGCTAGCCATTCGTCACAATTAGAGATAATTGCCTTCAGTGCCGAGTGGCTGCGGCTCCGGACGACCCTTTTGACTCGGTGTTGCGCGCTTGGGGTTGGTCAGTCGGCTGTCAAAATGGTCCGTTTGCATGCTTTGCTCTGCACGCTCTGTCGAATAACCCTCACAATGCGTATTTATAGGATGTGTAGTATTTTGGGTGCTATGGATTGGTGTATGGCTTTCTATTATTATTCAGTGTACTTATTTTCGCAACCTTATCCTGCCTCTGTGTACATATTTTTATCTGTGTACTATCTCTGGTGCTGGACGTTGAATGTGTTTTCGAATAGTATAGCTGTATTGCTATGCACACATGTTGCGGAGTTGTTGATCCTCTGAATCCTTGCATGTGCGTCTATCTTATTTGTCGATGCAGTATGCTTATTTTCATGTATTACGTCGTTTACCGATCCTTCATCCGAGTCACATCACAGTCACATCTAGCCTCTTTTGTATGTAATCGATGCGCCAATTTTCTATCACTTCATGCGTTTTTGCTTGTGCTGTGTAATGCGTACCTACCATTATTTCTTCTTTCCTCGGTGTTTGTAATTACCTGGTTGCATGCGAAGCCGTTTCTTGTTAATGTCATGTATGATGCAATGTTTCATTATTTATCCTCGTCGCATAGCATCGTAGGCTACCTACCCGCCAATGCCATTCTGAGTAATGTTGTGCGTCTCGTCTAAGTTACCTACATAATATCCTTGTCTAAACGATATTGCCACTGGTCCTATAATCCTAAATGCCATCCGATATGTGAGTCTGTCGGTCACTGGTTTGTCGATGATTACTTCCAGTGCTTTTCTGATCAGGCTTTGGCTATCCTCTTTTTGTGCATATTTGTCAATAATTATCAATGTAGGTAACGTAAGCTGTTTGCCTGCTATCCATGTTTTCCTGGTTGACCCGTTTCTGCGTCGCCTACAAGTGGTGACCCTGTCTGTCTCACTCCTGCCTGTCCGACCTCTGTCTAACCCACGCCCGGTCGCCGGCAGGCCTGCACGACGACATGGACCTGAAGCACATCCCGCCGGTGCCTCCGGAGGACATCTTCTCGCCGGACCCGTGGGAGCCGCGGCCGGCGCGGCCGCCGCCCGAGCCGCCGGCCGCGCCGCCGCCTCCTCCGCCGCCGCCGGCCGCCTCCACCTCTCTGGCGCTGACCGTCACCACGCTACCGGCCACCCAGAAGTCAGCCTCGGCGTCAGCAGCGCCGGCGGTGACGGTGGCGGCCGTCACCTGCCTGCAGCCGGCCAGCACGGCCGCCCTGGAGAGCGCGCTGCGGGCCGGCCGCGCAGAGGGTGATGCGCTGCGTAAGGAGGTGCTCACACATTGCCTGGAGAAGAAGGTGAATGATGTGTGCGCCACCTCGACGGCGGCCGGCGCGCGGCTGGGCGATGTGCTGGGCGCGTGCACCTCGCTGGCGCTCTCCAAAGTGGAGGGACTGGCCGACAGTCCTTCGGTGACACCCAAGGGTGACCCGAGCAACGGCCAGGGCGAGGACTCGGGTATCGAGTCGATGGACACGCAGTCGGAGAAAAGTCCGAACCAGGAGGAGAGTCCCCACCGAAAGGAGGAGCTGGACAGTGAAAAGCACGAGCCCGCCGCGCACAGCCATAAGACTGAGTCGGTACCGGTTTCGGTAACGGACCAACCCTCGGAACGAGTGCCTTCCCGTACCTTGAAAACGGAGAGCATAACAGTGACTGTAAATACGCACAATTCGAGTGAAAGTGTGTGCCCCGCCGCGAGTGTTGCGAATGCGAAACCCACCAGTGTTTCAGGCGACGACAAAGTACAAGTTGTGAATAAGGTAAACAAACGGGAGGAGCCGGCCGTCTCCATCAGCTCAAACTCTCTGGAGACTCCGGCGGCGTCCGCCGGCGGTAGCGGCGCCGGTGCCGCGCCCAAACCGCCACCAGAGCCGTCAGGCGCTGCTGGCACCACGCTGACGGTGCAGGTGCGCCTGCCACCGACGCTGACGCCCGCGCCTGGTGTGGAGAAGCCGGTGAAAGCGGCGCCAGTCGTACCGACGGCGAATGCGGACAAGTCTGCAGCTGCTCCGACCGTGAAAGTTGAGAAGCCGGCCGCGACTGTCTCGGAGAAGGCGCCGGCGGCGACTCCTGGCGCGGCCAAGTCGGCCGGACCCCAGGAGAAGCTGTCGGCACTCGCTGAGAAGCTGTCAGCACCGGAGGACAAGGCTACGGCGTCTGTGAGCAAGCCGCCTCTACCTGTGGACAGGCTAAAAGAAGAGCCCAAAGCTGTGGTCAAAAGGTCGCCATCGGTGGAGCAACCGCAGTCGGTGGTTGGAAAGCCGGCAGCTGAGGAGGCGAAGCCAGCGGCGGTCTCAGAGAGCAAGCCCTCGTTGACAACCAACTCTGAGCCGGTCAAGATCTCGGTAGCGCAGGCCAAGTCCCTGTTGACCGCTGAGGCTGAACCTGTCGCCGAGAAGGGCAGCACGGGCCACGCTCAGCGCGTCAACAACATCAACAACATCGTGGCGAAGCTACAGCGGTCCTCAGACCCGACGGGGGAGCACTCTTCAGCATCGGTCAAGCTGCCGACCAGCGCGACCGACGCGTCAGCGTCTAGCCGGCTGAAGCCTGAGACTCCCGCGACGGTGGCGTCGACAACGCCGACGACGTCGATGGGGTCGACGGCGACCGTGACGGCTCCCGCCGCGCCACCCGCCGTGTCGGTAGCGCCCGCCGCGCCGGTGGCCGTCGCCGTGGCGAAGGAGGCTCCCGCAAAGCCGGCTGACCCGCCCGCAGAAGCGAGAAAGCGGCCAGAGCAGACGGTCACCTCTGCCACGGTCACGACGGCGCCCGACTCGCGGACTGAAGTGCCGCCGGCGGTGACGACCAGTGCGACCGTGTCGGCGGCAGTAACGACCACGTCAGCGGATGCCAAACCGCTGGCGGAGGACGCAAAACCGCAGCCGTCGCCAGCCGCGGCGGCAGCGGCCGCCTCCGCCAGCACGGGTCGCACCACGCCGCTCAACCTGCCGCCCGGCTCCAAGATGCTGCCCATCAAGCTGATCAAGGCGGTGACCCCGGTATCTCGGTCGGGCGCCGGCTCTCCGCTGCCGCAGGTCCCGCTGCAGACGCCGTCGCTGCGCGCGGCGCCGCCGGCGGCCGTGGCGCTGAAGGCGCCGGCGGCCAGCACCCCGTCGGCACCGGGCCGGCCGGCCGAGCGGCAGCCGTCTCCCGAGCCGCCCGTGCTGAGTCCGGCCGCCTCTGACGAGGCGCGGCCGCCGGGCGTGAGGCGCAGCGACTCGAAGGAGCTGCCGCCGGACCTGGAGCAGCCGTCTGCCGACGAGCCAGAGCTGCTGCGCGTCAAACCGCCGCTCTACACCTACTCGAACCCGGACAAGGCGCGCGAGTCGCCGTCCACCGGCTGCTCGGAGGGCACCGAGCCCGAGGGCGCCGACTCGACGGCCGTCGACCCGTCTCGGCTGCTGAAGGAGATCCTTCTGCAGAAGGAGGCGGTCTCCAAGGTCGAGTCGGACCACAGCTATTTAAAGCCCACCCGAAAGAGCCTGGAGGAGCTGTCCATCCAGATACCGGACTCGGAGGCGGAGGAGCGGCGCACGACGCGCTGCACGCGCGCCAACTCGCGGCTACACAGTCCGACGGTGGCCAGTCCGACGCCGGCGCGCGCCAGTCCCGTGGCGCGCACCGGCGCCGCGCCTAGCCCGCGCGCCTCCAAACGGCGGCGTTTCGAGTCGGGCGGCAGCAGCGTCGCCAGCGACGACCACCCGCGGCGAGCCGACACTCCCGACGCCGACTCGACGGGCCCGGAGCGCTCGCGCAGACGGTGCTCGGAGAACGCGGCCGGCCTCATCAAGGCGTGCATGGGCATGGACGAGCAGCGCACGCGGCCGGGCACGCCCAACGCCACGGGTCGCCGGGAGGAGCCAGCGCGCCGAGTGCGAGCCGCCGCGGCAGCCGCTGCCGCCGCCGCCGCCGCAGCCGCCTCCAGGAAAGGTGAGTAGCCGCCGGCTGGCATTATTGAGACAGGGATGCTTTGTGCGTTAGACGATATTGGTAAGTGCATTGGTTAGGTATCCGACGACATGTACTTGCTGAGTGCTTTTATTGAGCTGATTAATGTAACTCGACTCGTGAACCTGGCTTATGAATGCCATTACCTATGTGCTTCGACGTCTATTTTTCTTTGACTATCTAATCCCTCGACCATGTTGGCTGTTTTGCTGCTAGTCTGAGTCCGATCAAACTAACATTAGCTGTAATGTAAAGCTGTCCGTGTTTCTTATCAAATCCACATTGCAGGAATTCGATTATGCCGAGTCCTGTGTAGCTCCTTCCGAGCAACATGTTTCAGCTTATTACCTATCTAATATCGTCAGTCGTATACCTATCTACAACTCCTACAAGCCCATCCTAGTTATCCAACTTATATTGGAGATTGCTCAGATCAGATTGCTTACATAAGACCATAAGCCAGTATTTTATTTGATGATAGAAAGGCTACAGGGCTTAGGTTTACAGCTAAGCAGTTTGGTGGCACATGCTTTTTAATAAGCTAATAGTGCAAGTTCTTCCAAGTTCCAACAGCTTAGTGGTTTCGCCAAAGGGTTATTGGATGGTATTTTTGCAGACCCTATGATATATTACATACGTAGGGCGTTAGTCGGCTTCCATTGTATTCTCCTCTTGCAACTTCCATCTGGGAGGTGCATACATAATTGTATACGTTGTCGGTACGATCCCTCCCATCTGGTAGCCATGTGAGTTACCCTGACCCCCTCCCGTGCCCCCGCCCCCCGCAGAGGACGCGTCAGACGACGAGTCGGACCGACGCTCGACGCGCAGCACCGACGAGGCGCGCGTGCCCAGCCGCACCACACCTCGCACCAACCACGCGGCGGCGGCGGCGGCCGCGTCGTCCCCCTCACCGGCGCCGGCCGGCGCTGCCGCCACCGCCTCCACGGCCTCCGCCACCGCCGCCGCCAAGAGCGACGACAAACTTAGTCAGGAGAGGTGAGTTTGTGCATCCACGGAGCTCTTGGTGTGTTCATGCTGTTGTATGAAGGACCCCTTAGAGCGAAGAAAGCTCTTTGTGTTTAGTGCCTGTGCTTTGTGTAGGTTAGTAACTTATTCGCTATCAACTGTACTGGATAAACCGATCAGTTGCATGGAATATGTTCGCTTGATGTGCTTCATGAATTATTGATTCACTTATTAGGTCATTGTTTGTCATTGCTTTCATCAGCTGTGAACTTTGCCTTTGATTCGTTCATTTGCTTATTCGACTTTAACTCATCCAAAGACTATTGCTCAAGCATCAGCCCAGTTACCTTCATGGTTCTCCCTGACTGACTGCGTATTGGCCTACACTAACTCCACCGTCTCTCTCCCACCAGGTCGACAGGCCGAGCGTCGCGCTCGCGGGCGCGGGAAACCAAAGCCAACAGCCGCTCGGGCTCTGCCGAGTCTCTGGATGGCAGTACCGGCCGCAAGGGGCGCCAGCCGGCCAAGGGTCGCGCGGCGGCCGAGCAGTCGGAGCGCGAGCCGTCCGCCGCCGCTACCCCGGCCGCCGGCAAACGGAAACTGCGGAACAGCGCGGCCGGACAGCTCGGTGAGTCGGTGTGCGGGGCGCAGAAGGCAGGGGGGATACGGCGAGCTGGAGCTGGTTTTAGGGAATGATTGAATGGGAGATTAGAACTGGTGTAGCTTGAAAGCTGGATGTTTTTTTTTTAAGGCAGAAACACTGGGGATTTGAGATATCAGGCGAGGCTGTTGCCTCGACTTGTGGTGGTATGGTGCGTTGAAGGGTAGGCTGCATCGTATCGGTGACTAACCATGCCACCGGCGGCTGCTTTTGGCTGTCACGTCTCCTGGCAATAGACAGTGACCGAGTAACCCTCGCGGGTACCTACCCTCTGTGGTGTGGGTATCGGGCATTTCCCGTTGTTTGTTGGTGGATAAGATCGGTGCGTAACCCCGAAATCAGCTGATATGCCGGGGGGGGGGGGGGGAATTAAAACGTCGTTTATGACATACATTGAAACTACTTAGCAACACAAATGCCATTTCAGCTCTTATGCGTAATAATGCCTTCTAAAAATCCATCTGCGCCCCTCCTCATTGGGCCGTTCTGCAAGTTCCGAGTGTCCGAGCGGGAACGTCATCTCTCTAGCTTTATGCGCAGTTGTTCCATTCATACCAGTGTTGCTATGCAATTTGGAAGCGCGGAAAAACCCAGTGCAGGGCCGCGCCCGGGGTGTATGACGTCATCGTTTAAAGGTCGGCTGGCTGCGGCGCTGACCGGCCCGCGGTGGGTGACGTAATACTGACGTTACCCAGCCCGGTCAGCGGCTGGACGTGTCACCCGTTGTGTATCCCGTGTGTGCAGCTTTTCTGACTGATGGCGTTAGTCTATGTATCGCTCTCTGTGCTTAGCGGCCGCCCGGTGTCGTGTTCCACCTTTCTAACCGGCTGCCGTGTTTCAGATCCGGAGGCGTCGGCGTCGAAGCGGAGGCGGGTCTCGCGGGACAAGTGACGCCGCCGGCGTGCCATGCAGCGTTTGGTTTTCGCCCGTTTTCCTTAGTGCAATTATGTCCTGAAATTTAGACTAGCGTGGGCCGGCCGGCGGGCTGCTCCGCTGGCCGGGGGTGGCGACCGGGCCCTTCCCGCCTGCCCCGCCCCGCCCGCCCGCCGTCAGCCCCAGTCTGTCTGTTGGTTTGCGTTCAGCTCTGCCGACCAGCGTACCCGTGATCTCGCAATAATGAACTTTTGGGGTCCGCGCCGGCCCGGCTGGTCGATCGGCTTGCGAATAATTATGTTTAAGCCTTTTATTGTTGCAAATTAATGAGTTTACCTGCATAATGTGATATGACAGTGTCGAATGTGCGCGACTCGGCGTTTTGAAGGAGTCGGCGTGCATGGGCGTGCGTGTGCGTGGTAAACAGATCATGTCTTAAACTTTTGCAGTACCGGGCTCTGGCGCCCCCGTCTGGTTTGTTGACATGAAGACATTCAGTGCATTGGCGTGTTGCGATTTGCTATCACATCGGTGTAAATACTGTTGGGTGGTCGACGCGTGCGTGGCGTGTTACTCTCATCGTGGGCCGGAGAGCTACAAATATTTACGGGCGCACGCGGGCGGTGTGCTGGCTGGTGCTCGCGTGGCGCCGAGTCCGGGCGCAGCGCGCCCGACCGGGGGAGTCTGTATATAGTCCCCTTCTTGGCGCTGCGTAACCTTTTTTATGAGACAACACGTACTTGGCCCGCCCACTGCTCGCCGATATTGTAAATACCTAATGTGTACATTAGTTGTGTAAGAGTACCACATTATGTACACAAATCGTTAAATCCACGGACATAAATGACTGATTGTTTGATGGAACCCGTTTCGGCTCAGCGGAAATGATGGTGACAGGCACTGTTGCGAGCGAGGGCCGATGATAACATCCAGGGAATGCGTCCCCAAATATCACAAGTCTTCGCACCTAGGAAGACATGATTTTAGCGTTATGAAAGCCTTCCGACTACCCAGAAGGCTCGACACTTACCGGCATCGCGGAACAAAAATCCCACTGCGCAATAATTTATCATATTGACACTGTATTGGATGACATTTTCACAGCATTCCCACGGGTTGGCACGCCGCCAAGTCTTCTGCGGGCAGCCTCGACGAGTGGCGCTCACTTATCAACAAACGCTCCTGCGGCCGATGGCCCCGTGCCAACCACCTGGTGATCTTACATACCCCTCCACGCTGGCTTGGCGCCGCCGCGGGGCAGGGGGCCCTCACGCGGCCTTGGCACAGACAAACGCTACAGTGGTGCTGGCACGTGCAGCGGTCTTGGCCCGGCGTGAGACGCGCCCAGGTTAACATTGGCAGCGGTGAGGACACATGGGGTCTGCGGAACGGCGGAACGGGAGCTCGGGCAGAGCTGCTCGCCATGGAGCGAACGGGCGTCGAAGGAGCCCTCCGGCCCCGGCGTGCTGACAGAAGCTTATTCTCGCAATGTTCAAATATCTTGACGCATGATCGTCCTAAACTCTTCTCCTAAACTCATGCACATACAGTTCACGATCATCAAGGTCACAGCCGGGTTTGCACAAGAAGCCGTTTGTGTCTCTGCGGCTGTCGTCACTAATTCCCTAAATGTTTCGTGCACCGTTATTGCAATGAGTACCTTGGCAGTTCACCGTGACAAATGATGCATTATTGTCCATACAGGAGTGAGCCTATATGTACATGACTTAAGGATACACAAGGGACCTGCCCACGCAACTGTAAGATGAACTACCGCGCCACTGATTGTTGGTGAAGGTGTGATGGCAGCGACCTGTGAGTGAGGGTCGCATATGATCGCTTAGGCACACTTCTCACATGTTTTCATATCGTAAATTCACACTTCCCTTATCCCTAGAACAGTCATCTACCGTCTTCAATTGATTTCGACTTTGTTTCATCGCTTGCCGAACGCCGTTGTTCCAGGTCCATCTCGATACTGCCTGCAGTCTCGGGCTCCCGACGTTCGGTATCGGCGACCTCAGAGGGTAGCGTCTGGTGGCACTCGCTGCCGACGCTGCTTCCCTGTTCCACAGCAGCTGTGTAGACTGGCGGGGGTGCCTCCAGCTGCGGACACTCGGCCACTTCCACTGGGGAAGACTGTCTCGGAATCACACCACTGCCAGTTCTGCAGTCACCCTCAGCACCGCCCACGCCCCGACCGCCCGTCACGACCTCATAGGGCGGCGGCGGCGACCCACGCACGGGCGGCGAGTACTCGGGAGGCGGCGGCGGCCGTCGTTTTGCCGCCTCCGCCAGTCGAACTCGACTCAGTTCGGTCCGGGCGATCAGCTGCGGCCCGTCGGCGAAGAGCGCCACCACCACCGAATCGGAGTCGGAGTCGGAGTCGGAGTCGGCGCCGCCGCGCAGCATCCGTCGCCGGTGCTTGCAGCAAGCGGCACAGGCGTCCCAGAGGCAGTAGAGCAGGATACAGAGTACCACCAGAACCATGGAAACCATGGCCGCCGCCGACTGAGCCAACTCCGAGGAGGGGCCCATGATCGGCCTCACTGCCGGCTGGCCACAGCCGAGCACTCGGGAGCGACTTCACATGTGCGAGACACTCCCACACCGACGGAGCGCCGCGCGTCAGACTGGACGCTCACGACCTGGCGACTGGCGTACTGTTCGGGTCGAGCCCCGCGCGCTCCCGGTCACGTGGCCCCGCCCGCAGGCTATTTCTGCCGACCGGCCACTCTTGGTTTTGGCCGAGAAATGGATTGCACCGGCGTTGGTCGTCACTGGGGTCCCAGCGCCCAACAGACGATGTCGTGGATTATAGATACGCGCCCACTTCCTGGCAAGGAGCTTGAAATTATAAAAAAGTGGAAAATTGAATTTAATTTGAGGAAAACCTTTTTTATAATTTGACATCGAATTGCCGGCTATCGGAAACCATTGCCCGTTTACCGTCCGCCTTTTGGACTCGCCCTCGGGCCGTCTGCATTTTCAGCAGACCGGGTCCCGAGATGTGAGCGAGACTGAGAGACATTTGACCAAGTCGCCTCCGCCCGTGTCCCATTCACCAAAACGACTTGGTGAGCCCACGGCACGGCCCTATAAAAGTAATATACGGTCATAAAAGGTCACCAGCAGTTTTGACCTTTTATGGCCAAAAACTTGCTCTTTGGACGCAGGCTCAGCGCGTAACGTTTCGGCTCCACGAATATGCAGCATGAAATCGTGCCGTGCGGTGTAGGTCATGACCTCGATGACCCTCGGTCACATTTTCATATTGCCACCGGTAACCTGAACCAGAAGTCTGATGAAAGAGCATCCACAATAAATAAGCTGAGTGCGCATTCAGCATCAGCAGCCAATATGATAAATGCTATTCAATAAAAGGGCGAATCCATAAGCCAGCGATCCCATCCGGGCGATTGTAGTAATCCTTCCATCTCGCGTACCGTTTCTCGAACAGATCGCCGCTGGAGGGCAGCTCTTCGCCGGGGAGGATGTGCCGAGTCTTCTGCAAACGCAGTCAAAGGTGGCCTGAGGCCCGGGCAGCACGGCACACGGCAGTCACACTGGAGTGGAGAGTGAGGAGGTCGAGGTAGGGGGCGGAGAGTGCCGAGCGGGAAACAAAGAGCGAACAGCGAGTCGGAAACACCGAGAGCGGACGGCGTGCGGGAAGCATCAGGAGCAAACGGTGAGCGGGAGGCATCAGAAGAGGACGGCGAGCAGAAGACGTCCGGCGTCCCCGTACTCCACAAAGCGGTGAGTCCGTCTACCCCGGGAAACGGAGTCAGTTGAAGGATTCTGACCTAATTAGTCTGTTTAAGTTCTTAGGGTCTCTTGTGCTCATCTTAGAACGTGCAGGCGCGCAGGAGAGCAGTAGGGCAACTTCAGTTTTAAGCACGGTTTTTGTTTCTTTTTGTCAATATGTATGCAGAATTAATGTCCGCTTTTAGCCGTCCAAACGTTTTCGGCACGTCCACTGTGCACTGTGCAGCCCGTTTGAACGAAACACGGGAGAATGCCGTCGCCTCTGTTGTTTGGTTTTCAGCCCAGCGATGAACGTCACTGGCGCCACTAGTAACGTCTCTGCAAGGCTCTCTATCTCATCGAGCATCATCGGGTTACTGGCCGCCTACCTCAACATCAGTGGCGCGCTGGTCAACGCCTCTAGCGCGCCACGCACTTCATCGAACCTCTCAGACTTTGCCAGCTCCACCGCAACGCACCACAACCTCACTGGCGTCTCATCTGGCGCCGCCTTATCCAGTTCACCATTCATCCGTATCAATAGCTCTGTTTCCGCCGTCAACCACTATAACGTTACAAGCGCGCTCCCTCACCACTCAAACATATCCAGCAATCTGGTCGCCAACCACTCCAGTTACCCTGGAAATCCAACCGATCTGTTCAACATCATCACGAATATCACGAGCACACCACATAGCCACAACATCCCCAAGAATGCAACTAACAGCTCCACCGTCTCCAGCTCTTTACTTAATTACTACAACATTTCTGACATCGTATCTGGCAATATTAGCACGTCAAAGACACCAGCACGTCACTCCAGTGTGTCAGGCAATTTAACCGGTAAAGAAGGCAAGTCAACTGAGACCTCTAACATCGTCAATATTGCATCCCAGCCCTCTCACACCCCTGGTATTTCCAACAACTTCTCCAACATAACCAACTCATCTACTGACACGTCTCAAAACATCACCGATAAGCCCCCAAAGAGCAATGAAGCCAATCCCGACACAGGCGATAAGGCTCGTCTGGTCTTCACGTCATCCATCATCGCAGCCATCTGGGCGAGCTCGCTGCCTCCCGCGGCCGCCATCTGGCGCAACTGCCATCTCCACCGCGCCTCCTACTTCTACGTCATGGCGCTCTGCCTGCTGGACTGCTTCCTGGGCTGCAGCATCGGCGCCATGGTGGTCACCATCGTCATCTACCAGGGCATCTCGGACGCGCCGTGTCTCGTGTTCGAGGCGCTGGTGAACGGCACGATGCACACCATCAGCGCGCTGATGCTGGCGCTGAGCCGCGACCGGTTCCGCTCTGTGCGCGACCCGATCGGCTACCGGGCCGCCGTGCGCCGCTCCGTGGTCTGGCGACACCTGGCGCTAGCCGTGCTGTATGGCCTGACGCTGGGCGGCGGAGCGTTCGTGGCGAGTCGGCGCTACCTGGGCAGCGGGCTGCAGCTCTATACTCCGCTCTGCGACACGTTCGACTGGCTGCTGGACCCGCTCAACCGGCCCGTCGCCCTCGTCAGCGTCAGCGGCAACATCGTGGTCGACTTCGGCACCATCGTCTACAACGCCAGGATCATGCGCTGCGCATGGAAGGTGACTAAATCTGTCTGTATTGGTTACAAAGTCAGGTGGCATGGATTAAGTTCAATTGGGTCACAACTCACAAAGTTGGCGAGACGGCCGAGCGCCACCGTGACATCACCATTTGCCTCCCAACCAGTGACGAATGCGGCACAGCATAGCCGCCAGGATCCCTGGCCCTACTGTGTCGTGTACTCGTGTGTGATCCGGGTCGTGGCCGGTCTCACTGGCCTATTGTCGACTCGCAGCGCTGCACAATTTATGTCCCATTGAGCTGCTAATTTCATCTATTTACCGTTTAATTCATGTGCTGTTTATAATACATCGTACCCTTCTTCCAGGCCAAAAACGAGATTGTTGGAATGGCTGGCGCACAACGAAACCTGACAGAAGAGGCCCAGCGGAGACGGAACATGAAGATAGTCGTATTCACCTTCAAGCTGGCGTGTCTGTTCGTGGGCTGCTCGCTGCCGTACAAAGTGGCTATCCTGCTGTACGGCCTGGGTCTGAGTGTGCCGCGGCTCGTGTTCGATCTGCTGGGACTGATTCGGATCCTGTACCATGTCGTCGACGGCTGGATCGTGTGCACAAACTCGGAACTGCTCGAGGCCATGAAACTCATGCTGTGTCCGTGTGGTAATGGCGAGTAGTGTGCACGACAAGCTGTGATCACAGCTATAGAATTGGGCTGTAAAAAACTGTAAAAAGTGTAGATGTAAAGTTAAAACGAATATTATTTATCAAGCAACCATAATTCGATGTACATTTTTTTTCGGCTACTAACTAGTCGTTGACTAGTAGCCGAAAAAACGTACATCGAATTACAATGTCTAGTCGTAAAAGCTTGAAATCATACAAGCAACCATAGTTGAACTTTTTGGTTGATATATTTACGAATATAAGGTGCCGACTAAGCATGAGCCAGGAAGTTTTTTTTTTTGCGAGTGGCGTGAATGCATGTGACAGAGGCGCCCAAAAATAGCTGAGAAGCTTTTGCGCAGGTTTCAGCCGCGTAGCGTAACATCTATGAAGAAAAATACTAAAATCCACGGTGACCCAAAATCCAGCAAACAAGCAACTAACGCCCTACACCATCTTATCACCCCCCCCCCCCCGAGCCAGGCCAGCCTGAAATCAGGGTCGTTTCCGGTTTCGGTGCGGTCCAGCATCATGGCGTCCGGCGAGTCGGTCATCGGTCAGCTTACGGAGCTTGGTAGAAGGGACCCGAAAATTCGCGCAGCACAGGACGATTCCTCGACACCTTTGCGGGGGCATGGCGTGATTTGACCGGGTCCCGCACAACATTTATCGGTAAATGGCGTCCATGGCCTTGATAGTATGAATAGCGAGCGAGATGTAGCGGAATTTCACGCTGTACCTGAAGGCGCGGATCGGCTCGCTGCAGGCTGAAGGCAGGCGCATGGTACGGTGCAGCAGCCATCAGCTGAAACTCACTCCCGTAGCCGAGCTCGTCGTAAGTAACTGCAGGTGCCACCTTCTCCTCGAAGCCGTTTCTGAGTTGAATTGAATTGCGTGGATGTTCTCGCTGAAGTGGCGAGGCCGTTGTCAGTGTGCCTAGACACAGGAGACTGAGAGCCAGCGGGACACGCATCCTGCAACACATACATGCATTTGTGGGTATAGGTAGACATAACTTGCAACGGTCTTCGGGACGCTCTAGTAAAAAACGTAGCATAACAACTCGACGCTTGAAGCGAACTGTTGGCAAAAAGACAAAATGGGTGAAATAAAATGCCAGAAGCGCAGTTGCAGTGAAGACCTAGCAGTTTCATTTGTATCCCATTATTACGTATCAACATCTTTCTTAGTGAAGCACAGTAAAAAGCGAATGAAAAGAGCGAAGCAGTGTAATGGTTCAGCCTTTCAATCGAGCTTGTTACTATCTCACCTGCGGTTGTGCAGCAGTTAGAAGACCTAGATGAAAGTGTTGAGTGTGTCCGTCGTCCTGCGGTTGTTGCCCGTCGCTGTGGATGACTGCTTGCAGAGAGGCTTTTATATGTGATCTACTGAGCTCACCTCGTGACAGAGGAGATCAATGGCATTCCAAATAGCCCATGAATCTCTCATGCACCCGCCTCCTCGGAAAGTACGTGGCAAATTTACACCTGGCTCATGGGAAGACAAATGGAGGAACCACAGGTGGCTGATCGATGTGAATGAGTCCAAACCCTCCCCCCGACGGCTGTATGTCAACGGAGAACAAAGCCGATCCACAGGAATATCGACAGGGAGCAACGAACCGACGCCAGAACTGTGACGGTTCATTTGCGTCATCGTGATGGTGTGAGGACCCCTCCCCGGCGAGGTAAGATGACGCGGCAGCTCGGACACTTGTTTCAGGTTGGGAACCTCGCCCATCGCCGACATGACACTGAGATCGTGTTGCAAAAGTTACTGCATAAAAGACTTTGTGCGCTATTTCGACCGAGAACATAAAAATGGAAGGATTTGTCTTGGATAACTCAAAGAAGCTGAGTTGAGAGGGGAGCTTATCAGCATAGAACGCTGTTTCAAAAAGTTATGCTAGTAGTCTGTAGATCTAGAAATATACATTGCTCTTTTATCCTGTATGTAATTTCTTAAAAACCATCTATTGAATAATATTGATAAGTGCGGAATCATCAACCCGAAAACTCAAGATCCCCTCCGCCTCGCCCAAGAACAAGGAAATAACCGAATCTGGACAGAAGTGCTGTATTATCTTTGCATCTTGTTTCTTTTCTGCTTTGTGCAGCTTTTTTCCTGCCCAGTCGGCTTTTCTACACGTCAAATACAGTTGAAATGTGAACTAAAAGAACCACTAGCTCTCCGGTACGGCCATCCACACCCGACGAGCATGGAGAAGCAATGCAGTCCACGGGCGCCGTCTCGAGGCAATGTCGCGAATGCTGGTGGCGCACGGAGCTCACGGAAACAGGCCAAACCCCAACGGTGCCGCGCCGAGACCCAGGGCGCTATTCAGGTCTACAGAACAATGTTCGACCGTTGCACCAGTCCAGACACCCACGGTCCCGAACGCTACACCTGCCACCACAGAGCACGTCCAGTTCAATGTACAGTTCACGTCCACCGGTCATTGCCGTGAACGCGGAGAAAACTGAGCGTCCGTGACGTCACAGGCCCAGTGTCCACCACTGGAAGGCAGCGCGCCGCCCGGGACGGTCGTCTCGGCCGCCGGCGAACTTCTGGTTCACCTTCGGCGCACTGGGGGCGCTGCGAGACACACAGCATCTTGTACCTTAGTAGGGCGAGTAGAAGTTTGACCTGCGATACCTGAAAGCAGCAGGGATGACATCACAATGTGCGATGATCTGGGTAGAATCATCGCATAAGTTGTCATCTTTGATGCCACAGCCCCAGAAAACAGCGTCCTAAGTTAACTCATTTCAAGTTTAATATTACAGCAAACAAGTGAGCATTTTTACCATCACGCTCGGTTGGCACCCTGCCCCTTGGATTATACATAAAGCCTATCATGATAATGAAACCTCATTTTAGCAGCGTATCTAGCTAATGGTAATATTTATGCCAATTGTACGTACAGATTCCAGTTCCGCACTTCGTTAGCGATTCCTTAAATAGTTCCGTTTAAGGCCTCCATGCGCTTATGTGCTCCACGAGTTGTGTTCAACCAATGTGCTCCGCTTCACATATCCTTGGCCAACAGTCAAACTTTAAAAATGCTCACAAAATTGAGCACCGATCTAAGGATTGATATTCCAAACAAAAGACAAATATTACGTGGCAGCAGAAAATATGACTTCTTAATTCGCAGTCTCGCACACATAGGTATCGTACAACGTTAAACAAGTGAAACGTCCTGACCCCTGCACGGTCGACATTAAACATTATTGTTCTAAATAGATTGTCAAGAGGAAAACAGTTGAAATGCGAGCACAAATTATATGTGTAAATGACAAAAGGTAAACTAAAAACCAGAATGTAACCTCCGATTTATCAGCAGGATTGCAAGCAAGCGCGCCCAACCACATTCCCTTAATATCTTGATCGACCTCTCTTTTGGCAGGCAGGCTCTAACACTACAAAATGTGAAATTCAACACCATGAGTCATTATCACCCTAAAAACATTTCCCTGAACCAATGAAGGCAGCCTAGAAGTGAGCGTGAGTGAATGACTAAAGCACTGATTGTGTAGCAAGCCGACTGATCAACTTAATCGGCCGTCAGACCGGCATAATGGCCTGACCGATTTGACGTGACCGATGGACACTGACTAAATGGCTCGACTGATCAACGTGATTGACAAGCTGACTTATATGAGATCAATGACCAACTGAATGACTTATTCCTTTAATAAGAGAACTACTGTCCAACTTATAGACAGATTTGACTTGACTCGATGCTAAAAGTCTGACCGACTTGGTTGACATTTGAAAACTGCCGGCCTGATTGACTGACTGGTTGACTGCCCGCCTACCTGCCTGCCTGCCTGCCTGACTGACTGACCTTGGCCGGCGCCCGCGGAATCCGCCGAACCGTCCTCGTCCGCGGTACCTCCCGCCGCGCGGCGGACGGTTGCTGGTCGAGATACCCGGACGGTTGGTCCGCTTCGGCATCACCTGTCAGGGGTCAGGACGAAATGCGTTAGAGCTAGGGTGGGGGTAGGAAGAGCGTCATAGAGGATCAAGCACGCATAGCACACTACAACTCTAGCTCTCTGCGGACAGGCGATTCCATAAAGTTTTATGTCTTTGACAAGTGTCTGCATAGTAAAATGGGATAGAACCACGTAAAAAAAAAAAAAACTGGGCGATGACTGATGATGCATGTCATAGAAAAGTAAAAATGACAGAAATGCTACTACAATTAAAAGTTGAATGACTTAGCTAACCGATTTGACGTGACCAACGGTCCGACACGGAGACTGTGCTGAAAAGCCAGTGTAAATGATAACAACGTTAGCGTCGTCTCACCTTGATCTGGCGTCCTCTGAACAGCGACTCGTCCAGCGCCATGGCCGTCTGGACCGAGTCCTTGTCGGCGAACTCGATGTAGGCGAATCCCTTGGGCGAGCCGTCGAACTTGTTGCAGAGGATCGTGACGCGGTTGACGGAGCCGCAGCCGTGGAAGTGCTGCTCCAGCTCCTCGGCGGCGGCGCCGTAGTCGACGTTACCCACGTAGATGGAGCGCGCGTCCACCTCCATCTTCTCCTCGACGGAGAGGTTGAGCGGGTTGGTCGCCGGCTCTGCCGTCGGGGAGGAGGGGTGTCATCATTTCGGAGAGGTCAGTGGCAACAGGGAGAGAGGGATGAAACGAGCCTTATGCCTGGTCCTGATATAAGCATTTGCCACGTTATCACAAACAAAGCTAGCATCGCATAGCAGCTTCCCTTATGCACAGTGCACAGTTCCTTTCTTTGTGTGCTAAATGCACATACCTACACTAAACAGTACCGGCGTCGATCGCCCAGTCGTTGGGGGAGTGGCGTATACAGTCGGCCGGTGGTCTCACCTGTGGTGGGGCTGCCCAGGTTCATCTGTTTGTCCACCTCGGACTGCATCTGGCGCAGCTTGTTGGCCTCCTCCTCCATCTCTCTGACACGTGCCTTGATCGCCGCCAGCTCCTGCCAGACGCAGACCACCGGTTGGTCAGCGGCGCCAACCAACAGTCGGGCATGGCATGCATCGCGTAAACGTCTACAATACACCAGCAACCACATGTAAAAAGCACAAAGACAGCTGTAAATATTAACCACTGCTATGAACACAGCAATGACGGAAAGAAATCAATTACAGACACCGTCTTCAACGAGCGACAAACTTGGTTATGACTATTGACTTGGCTATCCCTTTAGCATGAACTCTAACTACAATGAACCCAGACACGGGTCCAGCTTCAGGCCGTCACATAGCCACCATCGTCAGTCGGCTGTGCGCACAAACTCCTCTCACACCCATATCAAGTGTGCGCTGAATCGGCACCGTACCGGGTCGTCCATGCTCGTGTCGCCGTCGCCGCTGTCGTTGGTCGCCGACGCGTCGTTGGTGTTGTCGGCACCGTTGTCGGCACCATCGTTCAGCTCTTCCAGCAGCTCATCTTCGAGGCCGTCTCCGCCGGCCGCCAGAGCCAGCTCGTCAATATCGGCCATTACCGCGGAGCACGGTCAGCACAGCGCCTGAACGGACAATGGGAAATCAGATCCCTCAGGTCAGGTCAGGTCAGGAGACTAACTCTGGCATTTTCATAAAAAGTGGACATCATTTGACTTTTATTACTGCAAGCCTGTGCAGCAAATTCTCCTGCACGTCACCAGCATTTATTAAATAGAATGAATTTTACCTGTTAGTGCATAGTAACTTCTCTCATTTTTTCAGTATTTTTGCAAAATCTTTTGAAAATGGAAAACAATCCACAAAAAGTTTCAAGAGCCTTTCTGGCTCCCTCAACCAGTGTGAACAAGTAGGAATGGCATGACAAACCCAAATAACTACACTAGTTTATACAAAACAATAACAGGAGGTGTTCAGCCTGAAGCCAATGGCAATATAGCTAAATCTAGAATACATTATCCATCACTTGTCAACAATCAAGTTCTATTCACCTTTGTTGTACCTACTACTCAGAGAACATCATAGGTTAGGTTAGACTTACAGCTGACTGTGTATGTCTCTCTGTCATGCCCTCTCTGTATAGGTACACAATTTATAATGTACATTTATCATTGATTTGGTAGCTGAAACCTTTGGAAATGCTCATAGTTTGTTCCATAACCTTCCCTTGTTTGTGTTTTACCCATGTGATCATAGCACTTGCTGCCTGGAGTGTCTTTTGTGTATTTTTGCATGATGGACAGATGGCAAGTCACCAACTCACGCTAATGCATCTCCAATTAAATCCCCTCAGGAAAAAATGTCTGATAATTCAACCACTTGGTGTGCCACAATGAGAAACAAAACAGTTGGAAATATGAAAATCTGTCATGCCATTATGGAGCAGAATATCCTTGAGTGATGTCATACTTTGGAAGCTCTGCCCCGTGCGCTGGCTCGTAATGTCTAGGTACCCATAATGTCTGGGCAATGGGCATGCATTATGGATTTAATGGAATAATACTCCTAAGCAGGCCTCATTAATTGCCAGATCAAAAAAGGTAGAGATTTAGGATATTTACCCACACAGCCATATCAGAAATTGATGAATTTTATTTTCCTGAAATGTTAAATAGAAAGTTTTAAATCAAACATTTGTTTCAGTTGCACACGAATACATACATCAGCAAAATACATAAGTTTAGGGAAAATTAAAGAAGCGTCTGGGGAGTTTATAATGCTACAAACAGCCAAATTACACCATTCTACCTCAGAATCCTTGACGAGGCAACTGCCAGTTAGGCGTAAAAAATTGATAATAAAAACCAAAATCATGTCATCAATGTGGAAAAATAATCACCAATGAATACCAATTCATAATTTCAGAAGATTGCCAAAGCAGCGATTGTCAAATGAAGTCAATCGTAATTCAAATTATCCTGAAAACAAACAACTCTGTGGTTCATTCGAAATTGGACAAATCAAAATCAAAATATAGCACTTTTACCTCGTAACAGAAGGCTGATGGTTGACCCAACTTATGTCAAACAGTAAAATATTTCTATCAGATAATTATCAATGAACACCACAATCAAAACGGAGTTCAAAATAATTAAATTCCAATCTAATATTTGCTGGACGCCGGCGTGCGTGTTGAAACGTGTTGAATCCGGCGCACCTTGCAGAAATCAAGGCAAAAGAAATTTACTGAATATTATTCATGAAAATGCTTTGAGGAACTTTGAGGAATGACGTCATGAAAAAATCACTGAGAGCGCTGCGTTCAAGGCTGCGTTGTGTGCATGAGAGCATGGAGGAGAGAAGGATGAGAGCATATGCAATATGCATTATTTTTTTTTTCTAAATAATGCATATTGTCTGAATTTGATTACCCTTAAGTCTTAATTTTGATTACCCTTATGGAGCAGCCGGCAGCGCAATATCAGTAAACCAAAGGCCCTATATACGCAGACTCAGTAAACGTTCTCTGATGACCCGTAACGTCTGTAATAATTGAATGAGGACTTAACTCAGCAAGAAATCGTTCGGGTCGGAGCTTTCGAATTGTATTACAAAGCTTCGTCAGCGTATCGTAATCGGGTTCGGGGGTATCGGTCGCAAAAAAGAAATGCTAGCTAGCATTTTTTATGCGACCGATACCCTCGAACCCGATTACGATACGCTGACGACTGTAATACAATTCGAAAGCTCCGACCCGAACGATTTCTTGTGGAGTAAAGTCCCCAATTATTACATTAGCAAACTTCACATCATGTCTTTTGTCCGTAACGTCTATTAGGCTTGTATTGTATTGTATTGTATTACCTTCATGGACAATCCACGCGGGGCGTGGCGATTACAGTCCAGAGTCTGAGTCGGGCACAAACAAAAACATGCGGGGACAAGAAACACAGGCATACAGATTCAATCGCTGGACATTCGCTCTCTCTATATACAAACGGACGATTCAAGACAGTACACCGCACACGGATGTCGCACCTCCTTCCTCTGACACGGGTCATCGTCGGGCGGTCGCCATCGCCGGACAGACTGCGGCCTTGGCCGCACGGGCGAATAGGGCGGGGCGCTGTTCGATGACACCGGGAGGCAGACTGTTTAGTAGCGCCGCGGCCCGGTAGCCGAATCGTCGCTTGCCAGTCTCGAGCCGCGAGCGTGGAAGGTGGAAAAGGTGGTCCTGTCGAGTGGACCTCTCTCGCGCGTCACTGTTATTCATGAAGATGGCAGCTAGTGCTTCGGGCTCGCCGTTGCTTATTATTTTCTGCGCAGTTACCATGGTTTTAACATCGGCCATAGCTTTCGGAGGCATCCATCCGAGTGAATCGCGGAGGCCAGAGACGTGATCGAATTTCCGGCGGCCGAATATGACCCGTGCTGCAAAGTTTAGAATTTTTTGAAGTCGGTCGAAGTTTTTCTGGGAGCCATTTCCATATACAGTGAGGCAGTACTGGACGCGCGAGATGACGAGTGCAGTCACGATCGTTTTGAGGATACCGTCTGGGAGGCAGTGTCGTGCGTGGGAGAGGCCGATCAGTACGCCCATGCAGCGACGGCTCAGCTCGGCCACGTGTGCTTCCCAGGTGAGTGCGCCGTCGAATACAACACCCAGGTTTCCCACCTGCGCGCACGGCAGGAGCTCAGCGTCACGGAAAGAGATTTTGAAGCGAGGCAGGTTACGTAGGTTTTGTCGGCTACCGAATACCATCAGTTGAGTTTTAGAAGCGTTGACTTTCAGGGCGTGTGCGCGGAACCATGCGTTAAGTGACTCTAGCGATGCCTCCATGCGCGAGATGAGACTCATGATGTCGTTGCGTGGGCCGCTCACCAATATCTGGGTGTCGTCTGCGTACTGATAAGCGGTGGCGTCTCCGGCAAATAGTGAGAGGTCGTTGGAGAATATAGTGAAGAGGAGGGGACCCAAAGCCGAACCCTGGAAAACTCCTACGGTGTTTGGGAGCGGTCGAGAGGTTATCTTACGGCCGGTTTTGTCTTTCAGGGATACACTCTGCGTGTGTCCCTGAAGATAAGCGGAAAACCAGGAGGTCTCAATACCGTAGATTTGGAGCTTTTTGACAAGGAGTTCATGGTCGATGACGTCAAAACATTTGCTAAGGTCTATGAGGCATAGCATTGAGATCTCACCCCTATCGGTGGCGGCAAGGATGCTATCTGTGACTGACAGCAGTGCAGTCTCAGTGGAGTGTCGGGGGCGGAATCCGTGTTGGGTAGACGAAAGAAGGTGGTTATGGGTGAGATAGTGATAGAGCTGCTGATGGATTACACGCTCGATGATTTTCATGATTACGGGAACTAGGGAGATCGGTCTGAAATTGCTGGGGTCAGATGGGTTGCCCGACTTGAAGATCGGTTGAACGATAGAGTGTTTCCAGGGGTCAGGAATGTCGGAACGGGTGATTGAGACGTTAACACGCGCACTGCAGGGGGGGGGGTTGTTTTCAACCCCCCCCTGTGGTTTTTCGCAAATTGCGAGAAAACGGCGGCGCGTAGCGCCGCCAAATTTTGCATACCTGTTCTCACAACTTATGCACACCTTGAGTAAAAATTTTGACCCCAGGTGACCTATGGTCAGGTCACCAGGTCAGGTCAAGTGACCCTACCTCGAAACGTAAATTTCGAAGTTTGCAATCCCACCAAGCCCACAGTTGTTGAGATATGACCTTGAAACCCACAGGAAGTAGTAAAGTCATCACGAGCTACAACTTGTATATCTCGGAATTTTTATATCGATGACCTAAGGTCAGGTCATTTTTGCGACCGGCCCATTATAAGTCAATGGGAGAAATTTCAACTTACTCTGAATGCCATCCTATGACTTCAATACGCTCAGGATCATAGTATTACAGGTTCCTGTTGGTGATTTCACCGAAACATATCACTTATGACCTTTGGAAGGTGATCTCCAGGTCATCTTAGGTCACCTGAGGTCACCAGCGGTTTTTCTTCAATAACTTGAGATTGAGTAGAGATAGAGACTCCGTTCGACGTTTATCGTGTTTTTCTCGTCAATGCGGATCGAATGATACGCAACATGACCTATTTCAGTCAGGTCATGACCTTGACCTGAGGTCAAATTTTCAACTTGACCTTTCGAGGTCATATTATATATCATTCGATGCGCCTTGACGAGCTAAGAACGATGGCGTTCGAATCGATCCTCTGTCTTGTGTGCAAGACAAGTTATTCAAGAAAAACTACCGCGAAATTCCTGTTGTGAAAATCGTAACATTTTGTCTTCGGTGACCTCTGGTGACCTCGTTTTTGACCTGACCCAAAAATGATCTAAGTATTTCTTGTCGATCTCATCTTAACCTATCCAACGCCGTTTACCGCTTGTCGCTACGTTGCGCCGTTTTTGAGATCTCAGGGGGGGTTGTTTTCAACCCCCCCCCCCCTGCAGTTCGTGTTCGGCTCAGACCCGCTGCAGTGCGCGTGTTAATGATGTGTAAAATGATGTCGCCAATAGTTTGGAAGCATACTTTTAACATGCGGATGCATATACCGTCAGTGCCACGCGCGGCAGAGTTTCGCATGCTGAACACTGTGAGTCCGAGTTCCCCGAGAGTGATGGCCCTCGGCCTAAAGCTGCATGCGCCGACACGGGGTAGACGTACATTTAGATCAGTATCGTTGTTTTGTGTACTCAGTTCGGCGGCAATGCGGGGCCCGACAGAGACGAAGAAGGAGTTCAGATCGTCGGGAGACAGATCGGGCTGAATATTTGGACTAGTGATGTCAATTACGGAAAATCGAAATACCGATACCAAACCAAATACCAACCAAAACCACGGGAAAATACCGAAACCAAACCAACTTCGGAAACTGAGGGAAATACCAACTTTTTACCGATTTCTTAGCCTCTTATACATTAGTGAAGGCTTATTATACCAACAAAATACCAAATAGGTACATTACGATTGAAATACCAAATACCATGTTGGTTTCGGTTTGGTATCGGTATACCAAGAAGTTGGTATCCGATTGACATCTCTAATTTGGACCATCTTTCTTTCCAGCGATCACTGATTTGATGCTTTGCCAGACTTTGTTTACCCCACGCTCGCTGATCTCGTTTTGGAGGACGTGACGGCGGTCTCGGCGTAAGGCGGCACGGACGGAGCGGTTAAGAGCCTTATACTCGGGAGACTCGCGGCCTAGCCGACGTAACGCGGAGCGACGCCTGGACATAATGTCGCGGGTGGCGGCAGATACAGGGGGCGCTGTAGGATTTCTTATCAGCACATTTTTGAGGGGGGCATGGTCGTCGAAGACAATTCCCATTCTATCGATGTCCTTGATCCATGAATTCATATCCGGTGCGTCCGGTGCAAGTTAGCGTCCATTGTCTCCATAGCCCCGTTTACATAGGGATTGTTGCATCTTGCAAGCTTATAGCTCCGCCCGTTATATTGCAAAAGATGCCAATGGTGCTTTACAAATTACAATTTACAAAATTATCCCCTCTAAATATTCAAAGATCACTGCACTGAAATTATCGCAAAATAAATGAGCTAGGACCTCGTCAATCGTCAAAAATTCTATGTAGGTAAACGCAACTCATATCCGGGCGAGATTGGCATAGTCCGGTGCGAGATATCCCGCGCCCCGCTGGGGGGGGGGGAGGGCAGAATCTGCCACCTCCCGTTTTTCGCCAATAACTTCCTAACGCGTTACACCAGCGACGTCAAACTTTCAGTACCTTATCATACATCAATTTCACACGTTCCCTGAAAATTTGAGCGAAATCCGTCGGAAAATGTTTGAGAAATTCACGTTTTTGTGACGTCATATTCGCCATTTTCGCCTCAAAAACGGCAAAATTTCAAACGCCGCTATCATCTTCATTTTTTGAAGGAATCAAGACGTAACAAAAAAGGTTATACGTGATTCTACTTTGTCTATCAAATGGCTTTCTCGGTTTTTTGAAAATTTTGGATTTTGGCCCAATTTTTTTTTTCAAAAAACAAACTGACTTTTTTGGGAAAATAATTATAAAATCCAAAATTTTGAAAGTATCGAAAAACCGGAATATATGTCAGAGCAGTAGTCTATGTGCACCTACATACCAATTTTTAAAAGAATCGGTTAAAAATGTGGGAGTTATTCAAAATTTTATGACGTCACGACACACAAAAAAATTTGAAAAATGATTTTTTTGGA